TAGTTTATAAAAAATGAATGTATATAGATAGTTGGTTATAAATACTGCTACATTGTCACAAGATGTGTTACAGGTAGTTCTGTCTTTTAGATCCTTAACCCCTTTTAAGTCAGAGAACAATGTTTTTACAGGCCTTTTTTTTTTTAATACAGATTAAGTAAAGCGAATACAGCATGTTGTTTGAGCTTTATACATGATGGCTGGACAGAAGCCCCGTTTCCTGTCTTTTTGCTAACTTTGAAGGTGAAGACGCCACTCAACCTTTCTTTGAATTGTATCTAAAGATGAGCTCTGCGGTGTCGTCATTAGCACTGTTGGATTAGCGGCGTGGATTCTCTCACAGTCCAAAAGCGGCTTCGGTTCACTGATGAACTGATGACTCTACGCGTGGATGGAATGAACCTTTGCTGTACATAGATATGTGTACAGTTCTTGCAGGGATTCCACTCAGCAGCTTAAACTTTTGCTTTCTCCCCTCAGCTCAACCACCTGCGCTGCCTGCAGGATTTTGCCGAGGCTCAGGCCACCTACTACGCCCAGTGTCATCACCACATGCAGGACCTTCAGAGGGAGCTCAGCAGGTGAGGATTCATCTGTAGCATGTGTCTGGCAAAGGTAGATTAGATTACAATAACTTAGTCAGTTCCAAAAGTCATGGGACTTGAAATGGTTTCGCAGAGTGAACCGCAGCGCGTTGACCTGCATTCTAAAGCCCCTGTGAGTGTTCTGATGTGTACAAATTAGGGCTGTCCATAAATGAACTATGAAAAAGATGAAAAATTAACTAATTAATCACATATTTTGAAACGAATTAATCGCAAAAGGCGCGGCCTAAGTTAGTTTGCGTGTAACCGAGAGACGTACCGAGCCAACACAACAGGTCATCAGACTGGCTGCTGGTCCGCCTGAAGTCATCCAGACGCACTTCCTGGAGCACAACACAGTTTGTTTAATGCAAACAACAAATAAAGAGCAGAAAGTGGTTATTTATTTCCATGATGGATAGCGGAAAGTATTAGTGTTATATAGTAAATGAAGGCGAATTAACTATAAAGAGTCGGGCCTAACGCATCTTCAGCCTCCGTCTTGCTCTGACTGCAGCCAGCGTCGGTTTCTGGGTCAACTTTGTTTACTTCCGGTGTGCCGGAAGTAAACAAAGTTGCATTAACTGCGTCAAAAATATTTGAACGCATTAATCGCATAGATCAATGCGTTAATGTTGACCGCTCTAGTAAAAATAGTTTGTTGTTAGTTATGTTACTCGTGAAGGAATAAATCAATATAAGTCCTATAAACCTTGGAGACACCGGGCTAAAGCACATCCCCGCGTGTGGGCAGCAATCATGGAAAGGTTCACATTGATGGAGTGTAGATAAACTACTCTAGAATAGGCTTTGTGCAGGCCTCAGGGCAGAGAAATGGCAGGAGTTCAAATCTGGATTACTTTCCTAAATCCGGCTCCGGTTGGCCGATCTGTTTCAACCACTTTGTTCATAGTTTGATCCTATTGGTTCCCACTAACTCTGGAAAAGAGCGACAGATCCCACTGAGAAGCCCAAACGGGTAGAGCATCAAATGATGTTGATAAGATTTACTAACTTGTTGGAGTTGTGTTTGGAGTATTTCCCGGATTGGTGCAAATCGTAGCCAATCTAATGTTTCGAACAGTGTTCTATTATTCGTTGGTATTTTTCTTTATCTAAATCCTTAATCTGGCTTCCTATATTCACACAGATGTGCTAATTCCATCAGCACCCCCCACTCTGCCCCTGTTGTGTGCCCCGACCCCGTCTCCTCTGCCTTCCTGTCTGGACCACCGTCTCCGGGGGCCTCCGTGTCCTCTCTGTCCAGCCAAAGGCCGCTGGCTATGGAGCAGACGCAGCTGCCCGTCACCGGCACCAGGAAGGCCAAGGTCCTGTACGACTACGAGGGCCACGACGGGACCGAGCTGTCGCTCTTGGCCGATGAGGTAAAGTAGGATGTGGATGCTCGACCTGCTCATGAACACAAACCAGTTACTTTTGGCTCTGATACAGAATATCAAATATTTCATACATATGCATTTCTGATACGTGTTTTTATCGTCGTAGTTGTTGTTACATTTGAGTTTTCATCACTTGTCCCTTGTTGTTAACGACACGAGGGCCCCGCCTGGAACAGTCGTTGTTTGGTGCCACTTTATGCCGTGCAGACGGTCCGGTCATGTATGCTAGCAGTGGCTACGTCCTGGCTTGTTTCCTTCACACATGTCAAATAGTTGACTAAAAAGAAAAAATTAGGTTTTAAATAAAAATGAAGTTCAGTGCCTCATCAACTCTGCAACCTGGAAATCCCCAGAGATTTATTCCAAGCAGAATCCTGTTCCCTGGAAAGGGTTTCAAATTGAGATTTGCACGTTCAGTGATACGGTCTCATTAGCTTCACATTTAATTGAGTAAAACTATATATTTTTATTCACGAAGTGATTAGCAGCACACCGCCATGAGTTGTTGACTGTAAACTATCATATAAGAAACTATACTACTACTATAAGAACGTTTGGTAAAAGTTACATATTAGCTACTGAAATGATTGCGTTTTGTCATAAAATATATACATTTTTTTTATTTTGTACATCTGAAAATGTTCTGTTGTGTGTTTCTCCAGCTCATTACTGTACACACCGTACCAGGAATGGATCCTGATTGGTTGATTGGAGAACGGGGGAACCAAAAGGGAAAAGTCCCCGTCACCTACCTCGAACTGCTGAGCTGATGGACCAAACAAGAGGACACACACACACACACACACACACACACACACCTGTGTGCATTCAGTTCAGTAACATTTTAATCTTAAACACTCATGGTATCTGTTTTATGAATGCAGGTGACTCGTGGGAGGAAATGCATCTGTATGGGTCATTATGAACTTCTCCCTCCTATTTTAGTAACGTATGTTCGGTCCACAGTTCCAGCAACACTCGCTCATTTTGTTATCAGAGCACTGGATATTTTTGTGTTAAAACTGAAATCCTTCTGAATCTTTCAATTGTGTTTTACCAAGAGGTATTCAAAGACATGCATAATCCATTAAAGCATCGTTCTGCTTCACAACATTATGACTTGGGTCTTATTTTGGAGTTTGTGCCGTTTGTATTGTTTAGGAATGTTAATGAGCTGTACTTTTATAGCACTTTTCTGGTCTTTTGACCACTTAAAGCACTTTGACAGCCATTAGAGCGTCACTCACCCTTTCGCACGCAACCATGCAAGCTGCCAGCCGTCCATCAGTAAATAACATTCATCCAACCGCTACGGGAGCAATTTGTTCCCGTCCACGTCCTCTGGTCGAAGGACGACCCTGCTTTCCGCTGAGTGTTTTCATCATAGCTGAGAATCGGGAACAGAGTGAATTTGCTGGCACACAGTTTGAGGAGGGAAGAAAATACATAGTTGCAAAAAGAATTTCTCCAGACTAAACCATGAAAGTACTGGGGGAACTTTCTAGTTCTACTTTAAGTTTGCAATGAATATACTACATCATAGTGAATAATAGAATATTTTTGGAGAAACATAATCGAAAGGAATGTCTGGTATCAGGAACCGGATGATTAAAAAGTAAAATTAGCCTTAAACAGTGTTACAACAATGCTGAAGGCGTTCTCGCTGACTGCAGGCAGAAATGGTCAGAATAACGAATCCCTCATTCTCCACATGGATGAGAAAACAGTGTTTTCCACACTCTTGATCGGCAGCCTTTCAGCTCCGTGGATGGAGGAGATCGTCTCATCGCACACAATATGCAGGCCAAAGTCAGGCCAACTGCCTGAGGTCAAAAGGGCAATTGGAAAGTTGGAGCATCTTCCAGTTACAAAGAATTTCTGTTATTTGTGTAACAACATTAATATAGCTGTTGTACAAGGGAGGTTAAACGGGTTTGGTTTGATTTGTGATGAGCTGAAAGATATTATCGATGTAGTGAAACATGGCTCAAGGATCAAGACCAAAGAACAGACTCACGGACTAGTGGGAGAGTGGAGTCTGGCATGTTGCATTACGTGTAAGATAACGTAAGTCTCACCGGATTCCGTGCAATAAGGGCGGGTCATAGCTACGTGTAGGGTTGCAAAGGGCCAAAAGGTTTCCATGGGAGGTTCAGCCTGGGAATTTTGACCTTTTTTTTCAATGCAAAAGCATATAACAGAGAACGTTAATGTAGTTAAGAACAAGGACTCTGGATGCAGCTAGTAAATAAACATAAAACATTCTGCTTTTAGACATCTTTGTCACCACCTAGCATTTAATTACTTGGTAAACTGAAGCCACGTTCACTTTTAATACGTTTATTAACAGCAGGCGGACCTTTTACAGCAGTAAGATGTATGTACGTCACACTAAAGGAAACCATCACCTCCAGTGTTTCCCTGCCATTCAAAAAGGGGAAGTCTGGCCCACCCGGGAATGTCTCTGTTATTTTACATTTACAATTATCCACTGGTCCCTGTGCACGGGGGACTTCCGTCTCAATGGGCACGTTCCTACCAGCAGACAGGCCGCGCCTCGGAAGGCAAAGGTGGCTCGCGGCCTGATTATTTGCGGCTGTTGGGGTCCATCAAAAAGCACAAGTTGGGCGACTTACCATGAATAAAAGTAATTACTGCAAAAGAAAGGCTGAGAAAAAAAAAACAGGTAATCAAAACTATATGTTCAAGATGTACGGAATGAGTTTTTTTTGTGAAGAATGTAGCCAGCTATGGAAAGCCAGCACATTTAGAACTGAAATGATTCAGGGAAAAACACTAATACCAGAGGGTTAATTCCCGTATACTCCTGTATATATAAGAGAATCATACGTTTGATTTTACATCACAAGTTGCTATCAGATGTAAACAGTAGTTTAGTGCAGTTGACAACTGCCATAGATTGTTGGTTCCCATAAGATGACGCTGAAAGATATCGTGACCCTGGAGCTTTTTCTTCAGAGCCACTATTTGGGCCAAATATCCTCCGTTTATTTTAAATCAAAATGTAATGACGTTTGAGTACATTCATGCTTATATCTTTTTTCTTTAGGACTAAATTGATGTTTTTAGCTCCATTGCTGATGAGCCTGCAATAACCAGAATATGTGGTTTGCTCGATCTGTATTAGTGGAATGATCAATGTAGCGATGCAATGTGTGCGTTTTTGGATGTTGCTAATTACTATTAGTATGTCTCGATATCTCATTGCCAAAAACGGTCTTTTTCGAGAGCTTTCCGCTGAATTTCAGTTTTCATTAAGTCGAACGCGGATGACTACTGAGCAAACTCCATCCACAACAACTGGAGCGGAAAGCTCCAGAAAAAGGTTGTCAAAGGCCTAAAGAGCTGAAATTTTTTGTCAAACGATTGAATATTCTCTTTCTTATAAGAGCAGGCAAGACTGAAGAACAGAGCTTGCAAACTGTAGAAACCGCCTCCACTCCACAACGTGTGTGTGTGTGCGTAAATTAATTAATTCATTTAAATTACTTCCAAAGCACACTTGTTTTATCTGGTGTTTCCTGTTTTTAACTTGTGTGTCGTAACATTCCTTCAGGAGGGGCTCTGAAAGGTCCACACATCTTGTCATCACATACTTTTCCAACTTGTGCTCCTTAGATGTGCAATAAACATGCATGTGTGTCACAGTAATATGTGTCTATTTCTTGAATATCCACAGCAATACAATAGGATTAATCCTGAAGGAACCTTATTTTGGAAGAAATATGTACGATCAACTAGAAAAGACAATGTCAATCACCGACAACAGCCATCATGTGACTGACGGAAGCCACTGAAAACACATTTCCAGGTTGTCTTGGTTATTTGTGCATGTATGTTGCACAGTGGAAAACAGAGCAGTACATTTTGTGCAAAAAAAAAATCAGGAATGAGTAACATTTACTGCCAAAGTGTGTTTGACATACAAGACATTTGACATGGCGGGTGCATAGAATGGACAACGAGTCAAATAACAGCCTCTCAAAATGTCAACGCGAGATACAAAGAAAGCATGGTGTCTTAAACGCGACGTTCCCATACAACTCGTTACAGTCGGTTTTCAACACTCAACACTGTGAAAACACACCACACAGCTATTTGATCAGTTTTAGTAAAAAAAAATCAACCTTTAGCTAAAAGATAAGTAGTGTTTGTTAAAGAACTTCACTTGCAGGCATGATGTTAAACATTCAACATAAAATTAAAATAAGTGAATGCTAACTTTTCCTGTTTGCAATAGACATGGCAGCGGTTCCCCTGCTGTCCCCTGTTTACCAACTTATCATTTGTTTCCTGCAAAAAAGTAAATGATAACCGATTTTGTTGGTCAATAACCTGTTTTTTTAGGGAATGAGGCGAAAAATGCCGTTGATGCGTTTTAAACACTTGAAGAGATATAGATGAACTTGGGTGTGTGTTGTTGTGAGAGCGTCTCCACCCCTCGTGGTCTACTTGCTGTGGTCCTGGACCCAGTGACACAATCTGAGGCAGTACGTCTGCGGACTGACGGTGGAGAAGGACCGGCCTGGATGTCTTAGACTCTTCCATAAATGCTCCAGTCTCTTCCTAAAACTATAAACTGTGAAGATATCAATGATGCCGATGAAGTAGCGCTGCTCAGGCCCATCGATGACGTGCAGAGGATTCTTTAGATTGGGCAATAAACGTCTGTTTTGGGCCCTGAAGTCTGGAAGCTCAGTTGCGTCACCGCTCGGCACCGAAGGCTCTGGACCAGTTTGACTAATCGACCCGCCACCACATGATGCAACCGCTGCCTGCGAGGGCGCCAAATAGCTACAACCTGTTTCAGATCCATTCAGAGAGGAGTCCTCTTCCAGGACGGCCCCGGGGACAGCAGCCGTGCCTGCGTGGACGCGGCTGCCGCCTGGATTCACAGATCTGAAAGAAAGTCACAGCGGAGATAAAAGCTGTGAGTTACTCTGTGTGGCCTAATTCACAAGACAGACTGTATTTGTTCTGAAGGGATCCGGATGTGTGATGGCAGGTAGACGTCATAACGGCAGTAAGAGTAAGAACAATGAACTAGGATCTATTCTATGTTATTGTGTACTTAATTGAGCAATTCATATTACAACTAAGATGTTGTATGATTTCCAAAGCAAAGCCACATTTTGTAATGAAGAAATGTGTTTTTTGCTTCATTTCCAAAGGAACAGAAACAGACCAAACCTGGATATGGCTTTGAGAGACGAACTGAGAAGAAGAGAAGAACTCTTTGCATTCAATAGTACGTAGTAGTGTGTCGAGTTACACCCCCGAGGAGTAGCGCCATCTACAGTGGAATCTATCCAAGACCCATCGGGGTCGAGCTCAGAGCAATTGTTGCTACGATTGATTGTTGATAAGATTTTCAAAAGACGTCCAATGTAGGTATGAAAAGGTACTATATGACATATATTACAACAAACCGCATGGATGTGAAGCGGTATTAGCTCAGCATCCTAGTTTGCGTATCATCGTAGCAATGTGTCATATGGGGAGCACATGTCGTGTTGCATTACATGTTGGGGGCAGGCCGGTGAAACAACCATAAGACCACTGGGATCCTTCTGCAAACTTCAATCATCATCACTGTGTGGTACTGCAGAAGTACAATTTACTGAGCTTCGGAACACTATAGACAGTTTTCAGTTCTAAAGGGTTTGTCTGGTTTGCTCAGTAAGTTCAATTAGAATATCATTCATACGAGACGACAACATTCCATTTTTGCAGCACTGCCGGTCAATCAGCTTCTTCCGTATCAGAGGAACACGCTGCCAGACGTAGAGCTGCAGCTCGATATCACTTACTTCAACAGTTATATAATCAGTTAAAAGCTGCTCAGCACCGCACTCATTGAGCAAATGGTTTTTACTACTGACTTTTAATGTGGTACTCAGTAGCTTGGTAACGTAAGTGGTGACATTTGTGTTTGAACCATGAGTGTAAAGTGTTACCCAGCTTTTTTTAAGTAAATAGCACTGATTTCTTTTCAGTGTGGGTATCAGGAGATTGATTGAAGACAATATCGTCCACTGGAGGTCCTGACCTGATTCCTTTCATCGGGTCCTACGTGTGGAGGCTTTCACTGACTCGGCCCAGTTGTTCATTGTTAGTAGAAGTGCATTATGGGAGGCCGTTAGCCATTATGGTTTCAATGCCTGAGAAGAACAGCTCTACAAGGATACATCTCTGCTGGTTCTGAGGCCTCTGTTGTTTTCTTTATACCTTTGGGAGGGATTATTAAAACTTAAAATGTGGACTATCATTTATATGAAGACAATATCCACCTCCATCTTTCCTTCAAACCCAATGAGGTGTTCGGGTTAATTAGGCTCCTTGACTGGGTCAATGCTATTTTTTACAACTGACAAAACGGAGGTTCTGGTCATTGCACCTGATGATCCTGTCAGCAGAGCATTGGTCCACTCGTCTTTGTTGTTTGACCACCATGTTGAAAAGCTGTGCAGATCCACCTCGGAAATATCAGCAAACTGAGATCCATTTTATCAACAGCACATATATAGCAGATCTCTGTGTGTCAGTGAACCCGCCCGTTTTTACAGTTAACAAAACTTCTCTTCTCTCACCAAGTGTCTTACGGTTAATATTGCGGCGGTTTTTTAGAGAGGGTCCAGGCGGTTTATGGAGGTTCTCCCCCCCCCCCCCCCCCCCCCAACGCTCTCAGATCTCTTCACTGGCTCCCTGTAGAGATGACGAGGAGGAAGGGAAAAGTACGGTGGCTCTGAAGTGCAAATCACAACGGGAAATAGGAAAACACAACGACATTAACTCCTTATAGCAGATAGCTGAGGACGGACCCTTCTGATTGGACAGACGGACTGTCTGTCTTTTAACCCTCTTAATCCGAAGCCTTTCGCCAGCGACGCAAAGTGACATGGAGGATTCAAATTACCGTGACTCCTTTAACTATTTGCACAATCGACGTAATTCTAACTGAGAAATGCCGCTTTCTAGATCTTATGGCAATCAATAAATCCGTGGCGGGACTGAGAGCCTGTGATGAGGGGGGAGGTGACACAGCAGGAAGTCACGGAGAGATGGCGATGTTTTACGAGTGTCTTAAAAGTGTCCTACTAGTGTTTCACCATTGTTTTAGATTAGATTCGATTAGATTCAACTTTATTGTCATTGCACAGTACAGTGTACAAGTACAAGTACTGAGGCAACGAAATGCAGTTTAGCATCCAACCAGAAGTGCAGAATAGCAAAAAGTGCAGAGTATGTGCATATGTAAAGTGTAATAAGTGAATAAATAGATATGTACAGTAAGAAATAGATATGCAATATGAACAGTAATTGCGACAAGAATAGCAGCAATTGAGGTAAGAAGTGTAGGTATGATAAGTATATGTAAAGTGCAGGTGTAAGTATTAGTGGTGGTAATAAGTGAGATGAAGTGTTTTACCGGAGTTTAGTTGTTCAGTTATATTTAGGTGTTGTAAATAAAAGGGGGTGCTGTGGACGCTGTGGACACTACGGCCGACACGGCTAGGGGACCGGAGTCCGATTCCTTGGCGTGAGGAATTGGATGAGTGGCGGGAGTGCGTGACAAGAGACCGAAATGCGTGACTGTCACGCTCAATGCGTGACACTTGAGAGCCCTGTATCATTTCCTGTTAAAAGACAGTCAGTCCGTCTGTCCAATCAGAAGGGTCCGTCCTCTGCTATCTGCTATAAGGCCCTACCCTTTCCGTAAGAAGTTAATGTCGTTGTGTTTTCCTATTTGCTGTTGTGATTTGCACTTCAGAGCCACCGTAGAAAAATAGTCTACAGGACAAAGATGGAGGACCAGCTGCTGCAGAAAGTCATCAGCAGGGCCTGGGAGGGCCTGAAGGTGATCTGGCTACAAGGGGACCAACCACAGCCTGTGGGGGACAGAAAGTGGGTGAATGACCTGAACCTATTCTTCAACAGATTTGGTCAGCCACCCAAACCTGCTGCTGCAACCCCACGTCTACAAACCCTGTGGAACGTGAGGAACGTTAATAATAACCGAAGAGCTTGTAGTCCCTCCAGAATGGATCACTACACCACACAAGCAGGGAGACAAAATGTTGGGAACCTCTGTCTAAAAATGTAAAAAAAAAGGGTTAAAGACACTGACCTTTTGGTCCTTATAATGAGAGTAGCGAAGGAGATACTCTGGTGGCGTTCATCCTGGTGTAAGGGCTGATAGCCCAAGAGGAGACTGTAGTCCAACACATTGAGCCTCTGCAGGAAGTGCGTGTCAATCTCCACCTGCCGCACCAGCCAATGACGCTGCTGGTCTGCACACAGACAAACACCACAAGTCAAACATGGCTCCTCAGAAAGCAAACTTGTGCGGTACGTTTGATATTCTTATCTTACCACTGGCATCTAAATAAAACATTGGCATCATCAACGGTTCCTCTGATTGATGCATATTGTTGTTGGAGGCTGTACATGAAGCAGATTCCCTTATGACTCCCATCACACAAACATCCCCTTATTTCTCCTTACCGAGGATGACAGACTGGCCCTCGAAGTTGAGGTCTTTGAGAACCACAATGATCTGGCTCCCCTCTGGTGCCGGCTCTGTCCACCGACTCACCTCACAGCCCTTAATGTCGTACCTGCAACACAAAACACACATCCAACCGCACGAGGATGCTGCACCCTCCATTCCTGTGTAGTAAAACACAGCAACACTTTGCTTTGTATTTCCGGAGGCAAGTAGATGGTGCTGACCTGGCGCTGATCCGATCACCGGGATAAAATACACTTTGCATAACAATGAAGTATTTCTGCAAAGGACATGCAAAAAAAAGGAAATGGCTTCATTACGCTTTGAACATTCATCCATTTGAATACTTTAACAGTGACATTTACATATATTTGTACCTTGCTTCTGTGTGGGATTTTGATCCTGTGAACACCTTGAAAAAAGTGAGAAATAATTCAGTCCAATTCTCTGAAATGTTGTTAAATTCTAACATATTTATTGTTAAACATTAGTATTAGTTAAATTCATGTTTCTGGCTGTCTCTTTTAGATATGGTTTGGTCTACAAACTCCTGAAAAAAAACTCTGAGATTCTAAATCAAATTAAATTCTATATAATAAGTTGTGCACTTTTACTGCTTCTCTGCTGTGAGGGTTTCACAACAGAGGATGTCCCCTCTGTACAGATTGTAAAAAAAAAGAATGGTATTGAATCTTAGCTCAAAATCCCAAATTGGCCTTAGAGGGATCAAATGTTCCACAATATTCACTATCTAGTCTCCAACTGGATCTGACCTTTGGTGGTGTTCAATGTTCAATGTTGCAATGACTGAGTGAACCAAAATACTAATATATTTCTTTAACCCGCTCTTTAACTAAATATCTCTTACATCCGTCCCAGTTATGTTTATATCGCCTCTAGGCTCATGTTTTGATTTATTACCCCACTGCTGTCCAACACCTCATGAAAAAGTCAGTCACGCTGACTTATAAATGTTCTATAATCATAATCATGTGAGCGACTGTTGCTCAGTGTTGCTCAGTCATCCTTCAATAAGCGGATGGGCGTTTTAATCCCTGGCTTTAGTCCACATGGCGACATGTTGACAGGCAATACACTAAACCCGTAGCTGTGACTATAAGGTGTGAATGTTAGTTTCTGATGGGCAGGTGTCACTGTGTGTGGTAGCTCCTCCCATCAGAGTAGGAATGGGTGTGAATACATGAATGATGACATGTGGTGTTAAAGAGATTAGAGTAGTTGGAAGGCTGGAAAAGAGAAATACAAGTACACTTCATTGACCATGGTCACTCTACTTTGGTTACCTGGCCCAAATTAAAGTGGGTCATTGTGTGTGTGTGTGTGTGTGTGTGTGTGTGTGTGTGTGTGTGTGTGTGTGTGATGTGTGTACCTAGGAACTTGACGAGCAATGAATGGGGGAACTTCCTCAGATGTTCCATGTAGATTTTCAAGTTGGTCAGAAGGAATTGAATTTCCCTTTTGTTCTGAGTCTTCAAGAAGAATCGCTTATCATTTCTAGAAGTCCAAAAGCACCAAAGATGAATATTTCTATCCTCTCAGTAACACAAGAGTCTGACCCTTTAAAAAGTTATTATTTTGATTCTACAACTTTATCCACCCATTTAACCATCTAACATCTATCTATCTTCAACCGCTTATCCGGGGTTGTGTTGCGGGGGCAACAGCTCCAGCAGGGGACCCCAAACTTCCCTTTTCGGGCCACATCTACCAGCTCTGACTGGGGGATCCCAAAGCGTTCCCAGGCCAGTGCAGAGATATAATCTCTCCACCTAGTTCTGGATCTTCCCCGGGGCCTCTTCCCAGCTGGCCGTGCCGGGAACACCTCCCTAGGGAGGCGCCATGGTGGCATCCTCACCAAATGTCCAAACCACCTCAACTGGCTCCTTTCGACGCAGAGGAGCAGCGGCTCTACTCCGAGCTCCTCGCGAATGGCTGAGCTTCTCCCCCTATCCCTAAGGGAGACGCCAGCCACTCTCCTGAGGAAACCCATTTCGGCCGCTTGTACCCGTGACCTAGTTCTTTCGATCATGACCCATCCTTCATGACCATAGGTGAGGGTAGGAACGAAGATTGACCGGTAGATCGTGAGCTTTGCCTTCCGGCTCAGCTCTCTTTCCGTCACATCGGTGCGGTAAAGCGCGTGCAATACCGCCGCCGCTGCTCCGATTCTCCGGCCAAACTCACACTCCATCTTCCCCTCACTCGTGAACAAGACCCCGAGGTACTTGAACTCCTTCACTTGGGATAAGGACACATTCCCTACCTGGAGAAGGCAATCCATCGGTTTCCTGCCGAGAACCATGGCCTCAGATTTAGAGGTGCTAATCCTCATCCCGACCGCTTCTTACTGGACTGCGAAACGCTCCAGTAAGAATTGGAGATCACAGAAAGAAGATGCCATCAGGACCACATCAGCTGCAAAAAGCAGCAATGAGATCCGCAACTCCCCAAACTGTAGACCCTCCTCCCCCCGACTACGCCTCGATATCCTGTCCATGATGACCACAAACAAGATTGGTGACAAGGCGTAGCCTGGCGAAGGCCAATCCCCACGGGAAACACCTTCAACTTACTGCCGAGCACCCGAACACAGCTCTCGCTTTGGGCGTACAAGGATTGGATGGCCCCAAGTAAGGAACCCCTCACCCCGTACTCCCGCAGCACCTCCCACAGTTTCTCTCAGGGGACCCGGTCATACGCCTTCTCCAAGTCCACAAAACACATGTGAACTGGATGGGCATACTCCCAAGCCCCCTCCATGATCCTGGAAAGAGTTGTTCCTCTTCAATCCTTGGTTCGACTATTGTTCGAACCCTCCTTTCCAGCACCTTGGAGTAGACTTTACCAGGGAGGCTGAGTAGTGTGATACCCCTGTAATTGGCACACACTCTCTGGTCCCCCTTTTTGAAGATGGGTACCACCACCTGGTCTGCCACTCTTTTGGCGCTGTCCCAGACTTCCAAGCAATGTTGAAGAGGCGTGTCATCCAAGACAACCCCCCAACACCCATTGCTTTTAGCATCTCTGGACGGATCTCATCAATCCCCGGGGCTTTGCCACTGCGGAGTTGTTTGACTACCTCAGTGACCTCCACCAGGCCAATTGACGATGATCCCTCCTCCGCCTCCAGCTCCGCCTCTACCAACGAGGGCGTAGTAGCTGGGTTCAGGAGTTCCTCAAAGTGTTCCTTCCACCGCCCGATAACCTCCTCAGTCGCGGTCAACAGGGTCCCATCCTTACTGTACACAGCTTGGATGGTTCCCCGTTTCCCCCTCCTGAGGTGCCGGATGGTCTTCCAAAAACACTTTGGTGCCGACCGAAAGTCCTTCTCCATAGTTTCCCCGAACTCCTCCCATACTCGCTGCTTTGCCTCCATCACGGCAGAGGCTGCTGCCCTTCGAGCCTGTCGGTACACTGCAACTGCTTCCGGAGTCCCACCGGATATCATAACCCGGAAGACCTCCTTCTTCAGTCGGATGGCTTCCCTGACCACCGGTGTCCACCACGGAGTTCGAGGGTTACCGCCCCTTGATGCATCTAAGACCTTGAGGCCACAACTCACTGCCGCGGCTTCAGCAATGGAAGTTTTGAACATACACCACTCTGGTTCAATGTCGGCTACCTCCACAGGAATGTGAGAGAAGCTCCGCTGGAGATGTGAGTTGAAAATCTTTTGGACCGGGGCCTCCTCCAGACGTTCTCAGTTCACCCTCACTACACGCTTGGGTTTACCGGGTCTGTCCCGAGTCTTCCCCCATCCTCTGACCCAGCTCACCACCAGATGGTGATCAGTTGACAGCTCTGCCCCTCTGTTTACCCGAGTGTCCAGAACATGCAGCCTCAGATCAGACGATATGATTACAAAATCGATCAGCGATCTTTGGCCTAGGATGTTCTGGTACCACGAACACTTATGAACATCCTTATGTTCGAACATGGTGTTTGTTTTGGACAATCCGTAGTACAGAAGTCCAGTAACAAACACCCACTCGGGTTCAGATCAGGGAGGCCATTCCTCCCAATCACGTTCCTCTCCAGTTATCTCCATCGTCGCCCATGTGCAAACAAACATTTACAAACAAAAACACTTCAGGTAGTTATTACATTAAACTGTGATATAATAGGAGAGGAGAGCTGTTGCACAACAAAGTGCAACAAAAGTAGGTCTTCAGGCTCGATACATTGGATTTCAATCCAAAATAAATGTTATTTCTTATGAAAAAAAAGTGTGCAAGCCACTTTCAACAGCTGGTATATGATGACTCACGTCAGGAAGAAGTCGGCCTTGCTCTTGGAGTTGCTGATGAACTGGAGGTAGCAGCTTTCAGAGCAGAGCGACTGCTGATACTCCTGCTCCGTCATTCCTGAAGAGCTACGCAGGCTGGCAAACACAGGGCCTGCAAATGTCTCCATTGTAAAGTCCTACACGAACACACACACACACACACACACACACACACACACACTAAATATGCAGCTACAAGGATTCAACACAAAAACTAATTTGAGCCAGTTTAGTTATTGAAACACATCCACCTACCTTATGAATCTGAGTGACCTCTAATCTGTAATCATCATCTGACAGTTCATTCTAAAGTGGAATAAAGAGGAAAGATGTCTTAGTAGTCCTACTTAATTGTTGATTAACAAAACATTTAAAAAAATTGTGTTAACGTTCTATGAAATAGTTGTCAACGTTAATAGATGAGAACATTGGGGGCGGACCTTAGCGGGCTGCAGCGCTCTGATGACATTGTGCCTCTGCTGCCGCGTACTCACTGTAGCTGAATTGTTGATGTTGTTTTGAATCGCTGCTGCCAATCCCTCCTTCATCATGCAGGTGAGACTGTAGAACTCGTGCTGCTGATCAATCTCAAAAACGCCCAGAAGCTTCCACTGCTGCCTCAAACCTCCCCAACGCCTCCTCTTGACCGTGCCGGAGCGCTGGCGGTGACCGGACATCCCCAGGCCACCCCCGCCTGCTGACATCTCCACCTGGGACACCAAAAATACACAGACCGAAAAAGTATCACCCGAAGCACTGCACTCTAAATGCAGACAGGCTTCCAAAGCTCCAGCGAAAAGAAATGAAAGAGCAAGCGGAGGCCAGAGAGGCCAGTGACAAACACAAAAGACAGCTGTCTGTCAGTTGAGTCTTTTACAGGGTAGCTATGGAAACCAACACAAAGGAATAGTACTTTCATGAGCTGTGCTGTGGTAATGGGATGATACTGGCCCTCCACATCTCTTAATTCGGTCCCATGTATGTCTACATTAGAGGAAAACAATCTAACCTCAATCAGTGTACCTGCAAATTAAAGCAGTGACAGTGATTAACATGACAAGGCAAAGACTAAAAGGGCATTGGGGGAATGGACCGGTGAAAATGTAAAAGGTATTAAACAATGTAAAAACACTTAACACATAAATGTTTGCTCAACAATTGACTGCTGTACGAAACACAAACAATGTTAAAAGTAAGTGACCAAAATCCGTTTTTTAGGGTTAAAAGCTGGTGATATTCTAGTTTTTCCCTGCAAATCCCAAACTAACAATGAATGCATTTACTAATCAGAACAGCCTCACTGCATCACTGGGTCACACGCTCCTTCACTAGAACAAACACACAGACAATTGCTTACTGTGACTCAATCCCACGGACCTTATTGGGGTGAACTGCTCCTTTAACCTTCTATGCTCGGCCCTGTGACAGTGGAGGAGGGATCGTGCTTTGGCCCCAACCCCTTTTGTAACTTGGTTAGATATGCTGTTGGGTGATAGCAACAAGCTCCAGGCACCTCTGTGGCTCTTCTTTCTGTTGCAACACACACAACTACACATTAACTCTGACTGAGAAACAAAAGCCGTGTTTGGGCTGCTGCAGTTGGAACAGAGCATTTCAGACAGGCAGAGGGTGTTGAATCGCAAACACAGCAGAATTTAAAATCAAACGGTGGCGCTTTGAGTGTTAAATGAACGCCCCAATTGTCACGGTGGCTCTTCTGATCCACTTTCCAATAGAAGGCTCGGTTGCTCTTTTACAGTTTTTGCAGCACTGTTGAAAGGACATTCCGACATTGTTTTGCTGTTGCTTACTGTGCAGGTCAATAGTCAAATGAATAATGTGGGCTTCGCTGATCACTGGAAGGCGTTTTGGGGGGAGCATGGTCTGATTGGGAGGGACGGCATCCATCCCAGATCAACACATCTGACCCAGTGTCTCAGTGGACCTAACCCATGACCCAGAGTCCAGACCAGGAAGCAGAGTTACACACGTCTCTGTGCTTCCGTCAGGCCAGTCACCCAACAAAACCATAATTGTCTCATTGTCAGATTCAATTGGTGTACAGAAACCCAATCGTTGTTTTAACCACACCCTTGACTTGGTTCTGGTGTTTGGTGTTGGGCTGGAACATTTAACACTGTCTTTCCACAGACAATTATCTAATAACCTTTGAATTTCCACCAGAATCTGCTCCTCTCAGCAAAGGCTTCTACAGTCGATGCTTATCTGATAGCACTGCAGCCACGTAGAGGTGATTCCTTCTGCTCTAAGTTCACTATCGTGTCTCAAGATACCAGAGAACTACTGTGAAAACTTCCCAAATCAATCATCTTGTTGACAGTGCTGCAGGATCTTTGACAGACGCTATTGCTCCTCTAGAAAGGACAGTGGTAACTAGAAGGATAAGTATAAGTAGAACCCTCCAACCTGCAACTTAAAGCCAACTGCTTGAACAGTTATGACGTTCCACTAAATTAGAAGAATCCAGGCTTGTTTGGCGAGTGCAGCACACATTGGTAGAGGAAACACTGAAAGTATTGTACATCTTAAGTTCTTCATTCAGTACACAAGACCTCCATTACATCCTGTCCATCCTGGGGGGAGGATCCTCCGCTGCCGTTCTCCATGAGGTTTCCTCTCTCTTTCCTTCAGTTTTTGGGAGGGTTTTTCCTGTGCTGATGTGAGGGCACAGATTCCAACATGCGTCTCATGTGTCATGCATCCTTTGTAAAGAGACAGGTGACAAATGGGCCTCACGCTGTCTGTTTCCTTTTGTTTAAGACTTTTTTTTAAATATCTGAAACAAAAACTCAAAATAGGTGTAGGATTAAAAACTATTTGGGATTGAACATGTTTTCTTTCAGTTCTGGCGTTATAATAAATTATGTATTTTTTTCTTTTCACTTACATATTTTGATATTTGAGGTCATATATTTTTCAGTAGCAGATTTAATATTTTCAGACCAATTTTTCATTATTTCTTATCTTATTGGTTTCAAATTTTTGTGTCCCTTTCAGATTGTATTTTCTTAGTTTTAGATTTATGGGCAAATTTGGATTTCAGTTGGTATTCTTGAAGCTTAAGGAGCAGATCATCTATCAACAAAATCATTCAGGAAACAGAAGTGTTCTGTACATCATATTCACGTCATTGGTATTACAAATATCAACGCTAGTTTTTAGCAGTTCAGCAGTATCTGTTCTGTATGCAGTATATGCAGTATAACAGCAATAAACTATGCCAGATGGTGCCTTTCAGCAAACGTGCTTTAATTTGTGACGTTCTGCACTTGTCGTCGGGGCACATGAGCTGAGCGTTGCTGCCAAGACGCTCCAGGCCTCACAAATCAGAGCTCAAGCTGTTATTGTGGCAGCGAAAGTCAGCAGACGCCCGCGCTCACAGAATGTCTCTAACTCATGACAGAGACAGCACAGCTGCAAAAACGAGGTCCAAATCAGATGGTTGGTCTGCACTATTTTTACATTAGCAAATAGTTCTAAATAAATATAATGCAGATATTTGCAGATAGAGATGGACTTTACCGAACAACCGGAAGGATTTAGTAAAATATCCTGTAATCAAAAATACCAACAAGCAAAAGTTGGGGCTGTTCACACATATGCATCCTGATTTGAAAATGATTTTACATGTGTGCATGTCATATATTTAAAAGAACGTTTCATTTGCAGGTTTTTCCGGACTGTTGGACATCAGGTCTGGCAGCATGTTGTTCGACACACACTGAGTGATGCTGAGTATGCAGCTTGTTGACGACCACACAAAAGCTGTTTTTCTGCTGCTGGATGACAGGGTTAATGTGGGTCAACCTCACCAGCCCATCTGCCCACCACTGTATATGAAACAGTTAATAGCTGCACATATTTACTGAAGATAGCTAGTACTTTTTGTACTTGATATCTTTAGTAAAAATCTATACAATTTTAAACATCCAACAAAATGCAAAAGTCTGGCTCTGATTAAATGGGACACATCAGCAAGCATGTAGACCGAATATCAGAACGCCCTCAGATAAAAATCACATCGCAATTTCCATCAGTGTTAAACAATCCTGGGAACAATGAAAGAAATGCCATTTAAGTTCTGAATGGACTAGTAAGGTACTCTTTTAATGTTGCATGTTTACTTGCCTCAGTGTGGATGCAGAGGAGAACAGGTCGATGCTCGGCCGCTGGACTGGACTGGTGTGTGTGTGTGTGTGTGTGTGTGTGTGTGTGATGACACGCAGCCCTGCGGTCACACCCACAGGCACTGACTGCCCAGCCGCACTGCACTGGCAGCATAGTGGTGGTGCAGTGATGAAACAGGAAGCACTGAGTTACAAGTAACGTGGTCTCCCAGTGGTGCAAACGTACAGCAGCAGCACCACATGGTTCTGGAAGTATACAACACAACAGGATCTAATTGAACGCCTTGCCATGTCTTCTACCTACTGGAAGCCAACGCCCGGCGGCTCGTCTGAAAAGCATGTTGCGTGTGAAAAAGCATCACGCCAAGAGCTAGAGGCTCTTGGAATTGATTTATCTCAAAATCCATCACAAAGGGCAAAGAAGTCAAAACCTCAAGGAGCACCATGTGGGGTTTAGTGAGATCTGGTACTCATCTAGTTCATTATCAATGAATGATCTGCCCATTAAATAAACTGCCCTTTAAAACAATATAGAATAGTTTCACAAAGTTATTTTTAGGATTTATATTATAAATTTAATCATTTTAAAGCAGCAACAGCAAAACCCCTATGCAAAGCCCTTAATATCTCAAAGGAAACTAATGTAAAATGTTTATAAGATTTCTTGGGTTTTCTTCACAGGTTCACTTGCGCTTCGACCGTGTGTTTGGTTGTGCAGGTGTTTGTGTGTCTGCGTGTGTGTATTTGGTCTGCATAGCTATCTTCAGATAGGGTTGAATGGGACTGCATGGAACACAGCCTGCTCTGTGTAGAATGTGTGAGTTGTGTCGTTGGTGGAGGGGCCCCGTCCCTGTAAAGCATGTAACCCATGCTACAGGCTGGAGATAATTATCAGATGGTTGCAACTCATTTCTTTCAAGGAATTTCTCCCAGTCATGAGATAAGACATTATTCTGAGATACTAAGTCATAATTGTGAGATGCTAAGTTGTTATTTTCACTTACAGGACCTTTATTCCTTTCATCAATAGGCATTTTAACAATAACAATAAAGTAAGCCTCGCCCACTATTAAAACGGCTCTATGCTGCTGCTGCCGACACACGTACCAGTATTCCAGTACTGAAACCACTGCAGTGCAGAAAATAGAATTTATTTAAAAAAAAACATATTTCTCATCATCGTTTTACCCATTGCCCCTATTACCAGTCATACTGCTGTACAAAAAGCTGGTTTTCCTCCAAAACTATTTACAATCAACATTGACAAAACAAAAAACGGACACATCATTAATATTTAAAGATTTCGGACTCTTGCCGCTTTCAGTGAAGTTTCCCCCACAGTGAAAGATATTTCACCTCCCTTCAAATCTGCCACGTCACTGTTGACGAACGTATCGGCCCAATTACAAATATGGAGCATAATATTAGAGGACTTGATATTTACATAATCATATCATCAGATTCTCTCTTAGAAGTGAGGGAGTAGTGGCGTAACGCCGGCTCCTTCAGAGAGCGATGCATTGTGGGTACCTTGAAGCACTGCTGAAGCCCTCCAAGTGTGTTCATTCTGCACACATGGCATCCCGGGAGAGGGGTCCTCCTCTGACCTTCTCCCTGAGGTTTCTTTCCCATTTCTTGGGGGGGGCATATATACAGACTGCAAAGCCCCCTGAGGCAAATTTGTAATTTTGGGCTATATAAAATAAAATGAATTGAAGAGTTTCATTAGACTAGTGAAGCCTGCAGGATGTCACGTGTTTGACTGTGACATGGGAGTTCTGTTCTTTGCAGTAATCAGAGGGTGATGGATTATCTCCTGCATCCCAATGAAACCTTCAGGTGTATAAATATGACACGGATATCACTGCTTGGCTTTAGGATTATTGTTGTCACACTTTCTACTGCTCACTAGAGGAGAGAACATATCAACTGATTGAATAGCAGCCATTTTTTTATTTTGTCATAGGTTTTCTTTTTCTACACTACAACTTGGGGGCACAAATGTCTTTCAAATTAAACACATCTTCTTAACTTAAACTGATCCCAGAATAGATACAAAATACAAAATGAATGTCAACGAATACAATTTTCTAAGGCTTAACATCAGCTGAGAGGGTTTAGCATCGCGGCTATTTTCACATCCATAAATCGACAGCCGTCCCTCCGTCCTGACATTAGTCCACTTTCTTTGGCTTACGGTTCTTCCACATGATAACTGCAGTGAAGGCCCCTGTGAAGATGAGAGCAGTTTGGACTTAGATAAGGCGTTTCCCTTCACACGTGGAGCATGACAGGGTTTGTCGGTGCAGAATGCAGACAGTACTCACCGATACAGAGGAGCAGTATTACTGCTGCGACGCCAGGCAGAATGACCGAGTACTCTCGAGGAAGAAAGTACTTGTGCAGGAGGTGATCGTTGTCCACGAAAGGCTGGAAGAGACCAAACAGCTCATCATGAAAAGTGACGCAAACGCTAAGTGACAGGTTTCATGTTTTACACGTTACTGTGTAACAGAACCTACCAGGACGATGACCCAGACCGAGTAGTACGTGAACAGCAGGAGGCTGAAGACAACAAGACTCAGGCCAACAGCTTGGTCCACCCCCGTAGCCTGAGAAGAGACCAGTAAACACTGAGCAGAACGCATTGTGGGGCTCTTATAAGTCACAGTGACGGACAAAATCTCAAACTAATTATTCTACGTAACTCAGTTAGTTAGTTTAACTAACTGAGTTAGTTAGTTTAACTAACTACCAACAGCTAACTAGACACAAAGCAGAAAACACAGATATCCTGACTTGTAATGCAAATAGTTATTAGCCCTTAAAAAAGGTTTTGTTGAATTAAGCTAAAATAGGTTAAATAATAAGGGCTTTTAGGTCAAAATATGCTGTTCAGTTGCATTGTGGTAAATGTAGTTGAGTTGGAAATTCAATTCATTTTATTTTGTACAGCTCAAAATCTCAAATCTCAAACACGCCTCAGAGGGCTTTACAGTCTGTACACGATGTGAGGGAAGCTACGAACAGAAGCTAACGCTAGCTAACCGTGTGTTAGGAAGCTTCTCTGCGGGACCAACTGCCTCAATGTTCAGCTGCTATTTGACGAGTTATAGCTTTAAGTTCTAAGTCAAATACGAGTGTTTCTCTTACCATCTCTGTTTGCTGACGTTTCCTGCTCTTATTCTTCTTCTTCTTCCCTTTCCGGTTAAACCGGCGGATCAGACGCCGCTCAGAGCCTCTGCCGCCTCCTGCCGGTTGATCTGCAAAACACGTCATACGGATACGGACGCTACTGCAACTTCATTTACAATACAGGCCTTTGTATGTATGTATTTGTATCTTGTTTTTGTTACAGCCAGGCAGACACACATTAATGAACGTAATACGATATATATATTTTTTGTATACAGTTTTCTAAATAAAGTCCAAACAGTGTCAGTTATAGCTGATAGCATCACCTACCCGTACTGATTTGGTGAACACTGTTCGATCAGTAAGTTCAGTGCTGTAGTGGTAAAATTAGAGATGGGTAAACTCTGAATTTTGTGATCATACAGACCTCGACGTGATGCGAAGCAACGCAACACAAGGCGTCGCGACTCTGTAAGGCTGTCTTGGCTATATTGCATTATGTTATCAGTAAAAGTCATATACAATCAATGACAATGAATACATGTGTTAGTAGTTTGTAGTTTATTAAATCTAAGAAGACAGTGAAGAAAAGTATGTCAACACAACACAACAAGACAATTGCAGATTAAGAACTATCTACATACGGAGTCTCCTTTTTACAGTAGTGCCCAGAGGGCCTCCTTGTCCTCCACGTCAGGTCCTGCCTTGCACAGAGGAGCCATGAAGTCCGCGAAATATTGTCTGACATGAAACCGGTCCGTGAGGTAAGAAAGGTCGGGGACCACTGGGCTGATCCACAACGTGTATGTTTACACACCTCCTGGATCCTGATTGGTCGCCGCTGCAGCCGCAAAGCACTGATTGGATGCTCACAGACCGTAATACAGCGCAGATGAACATGATTCAGACTACGGCGTTTATATGTTCAACAATAGGAAACGTAGTCTTAGCTGTTTTAAAATTACACCAAGTTTATTTCGGATTATTCCAACGGAAGAATACAAGGCGCAGGGAACTTTGAGGTGCGTAAACGCCACTTAGAGGTGCGTAAACGCTATTTATAGGTGCGTAAACGCTATTTCCAAAATTCCAGAGGTGCGTAAACGGCGTTTACGTGCGTTTACCCTCAGCCCTGAGTAAGTTCCCCGTGGTGTGTGCTTGCAGTGCTCTGGGGACGCTGGCTCCATGCCGTCCGCTGCTTCACAGGTGTTTGGGGCAAAGTACTCAAGAACATCTTTAAAACAACTCTGAGAGCAACCGGGATCCCTAAAACATGTTCATGTGAGATAAAATCGTGGCAGCAGAATTGTGGATGGGCTGAAGGTGAGGAAGGGATTTGGTCTGCTGATCAAATAGTAATCTGATCAACTTGTCATTGGCCTAGTTTTTTGAGTGAAATAAATTGTCCAATGCCTAAAATGTTTCTGAGATGAAGAAAGCAGGATTGAACTTTTGAAGATGGTTGCTCAAAGGTTTTGAGTGTTCATTGGACTACTAAGACGGTTTAATATTGAAGTCAGTGAACCATCTTCCAATAAATCTTTTTCTCTTTTCCAATTATATTTTTGTTGGGCACAAATTAAAAAATCAATCTCTCCACATGCCACATCCTCTGTCCCAAAACCCTAACATGGGCACAAGAACCCCCCCCTTCCCAATAAAAATGCTTTTGAGTGGGGAGAAAAAAGGAAGAAGAGGATCCCCCTACTAGAATGGCCAATATGATAAACATGGCATATGTACAGAATGAACAACGCAGAGATTTACAATATGTTCAATGGAAATGAAAGAAATGGTTAAGACTAAAAGGTAGTAAGCAGAACAATGATGGAATAATGATAATAACAGCAGCTTTGTGCTTGTAAACGGTGAATCCTCGATGAACACCAATGCTGGCCACAGAGTCCCACAAGGTCCTGAGCTTGGACCGATTTTATTTACCCTCCATATGCTTCCTTTGGGCGACGTTATCAGAAAACACTGCATAAACGTCCATTGTTATGCAGACGATACTCAACTGTATCTGTTGATCAAGTAAGAAGAGACCGACCAGGTTGTTAGACTTCAAGAATGTCTTGGAGACATCAAAACTTGGATGACCGGCAACTGATGCTAAAAACAAAAGTTATCGTGATAGGCCCAGTGTCACACCTGTATGTCAAGTTTTTTTTTTCCTGTCTCCACATTTATTTTGTGACTTCCTGTTTTATTTTGGAAATTAACTCTCCTCTCGTTTCAGGTTCCTTGCCTTTCCTCGTGTGTCACCAGTCTGATTGTCTTCCCTGATTCCTGATTGTGTCCACCTGTTCCCACACGTCTCTCATGTGTACTTATAGTCTGCGTCTCCCCTTGTCCTGTGCCAGTGTGTCATGTCCTTTGCCTTGTACACCAGCCTCAGGAACAGAATCAAGCCCAGGTTACCGTATCGGTTTGAAGTAGCCACCTTGTGGTCTCCTTGTGCCGTTTATAGTTTAGAGCCCTTTGTGGATTGATTGTTTTGTTAATTCTGCTGCAAGAGAGATTTTGGTTTTTCTTTTAACTATTCAGCTCTCTTAGTTTTTCCACGATTATTTTCCCGTTCATCTCTCTTCGGAGAAGTTTTCTGTTTCCAGGGACGTCCCTGTGTTTTTTGTTTTTGGATAATAAAAACGTCAGCTGAACCTTTTACTCTGCGTCCGAGTCCTCCTCAGGAGCTCCCCCCGTGACACCCAGAGCGCCTTCGAAGTCGGCTGTCGCGTGATACGGTTTCTATGGATGGAATTGTTCCCGTTTCTAGCAGCACCGTCAAGAATCTTGGAGTTCTCTTTGACCAGGATATGAGCTTCAACTCTAATATAAAGAAGACTTCAAGGACTGCCTTTTTTAATTTACGCAGCATATCAAAAAATAGGAACTTCCTGTCTCAAATGCGTTGGTTACTTCTAGACTGGACTACTGCAATTCTTTGTTATGAGGCTTGTAATCTAGTATTTGCAGTAGTCTAACAATGGTAACAAGGTAATGTAATAGTAATGTGACTAATAATGATGATAGCAGCAGCAGCAGGTGTCAGCAGTGCCACGGCAAGAGGCAGGAACAGGGTCCACACGGAACTGTGATCCATGGAAACCTGTGAGGCGAGAAAGCTCAAACCCTCCAGGGAAGAAGCTGCATTAATGATGTGAATTATTTTAGAAAAAAAGAGAGAGAAGAGAAGAGAGGAGCTTGATGAATCCCACAGCAGTCTCCGCCTACAGGAGTATATATATATTATCTGCAATAAGCTGAGGACATTTTCTTACATACACATTGGTTGACCGTGTTCTGAATAGTGTTTTCAGGTTCACAGCTTATAGATCTTAGTATAACCAGCGTGATCATTGCATTTGATGTCCATGTGGCCAAGAGGGAGCATGTAAATGCAAAGGAGAACTGGACCCAGTACTGACCCTTGGGTCACTGTGGACAGCGACACGAGTGCGCTTTAAACGTGCTCTAAACTGTTGGAGAGCAGTCTCGCCAAAACCATCAAAACGGAGTTACTGCCAGTATCACCGGATAGCAACAGCTCCTTTGGACCTTGTAGAAGGGTCGTTTCTGCGCAATGCCTTTCTCTTAAACATGATAGAAAACATTTTAGTTGTTGGCCTTTTAAAAAGGAGTTGTTGGGAATCTGTTAGCCGGGTTAGACCCTCATGGCTGCTTTTGAGCTGGGAAGCAGCTCCTCAGGGAGCTGAAGGTCCGGTGGTTCCACACTTCTATATCTCAACGGTTGAGGACGCTGTGCTTCTAGGAACACTTCTGCTGACTCTCTGGTCCAGGGGTCTTCAACGTTTTTCAGGCCAAGGACCCCCAAACTGATGGCGAGGTGGAGCAGGGACCACCTATTCTACGGCGTTTGCTCCCCCATCTTTTATTTTTGAGCTTGGCGCTCTTTAGACGTGAGCATGAACACGATCTGATTGGCTGGTGCCTGCGCTGTATTTGCATGAAAGGAGCTGTGAAGGAAGCGGTGTCCAGCTTGAGAGCTGCTGAGGGAAGCTCAATGTGTGTGTTGTGGACTGAAAGATAACATCTTCTCCATCAATTTATCCGTTTGCTACAATATGTTGGATTCATGTTTAAAGACATTAAATTCTGAATCTGAAGACAAAAAAAAAATTGGTTGAATTTATTGTTCTCCAACACTCTCGTCACAATTATTAACAGGATTTGTACTCTATGTGACTTTTACATGTATTTCCCAGCATTTAATACAAGAAAACACTTCACTTCAAAAAAGAATTAAAAATCATCCATTCACACAAAACAAAAGTACAGACCAAAGGTCAATTACTTAACGTCAGCATTCTAAGAAGTCTTTTCAAAGTATAGATCCAATTTTAACAGCAATTTTAATTTGATAAATTTGAACTAGACCAGTAAAACATTGTTTCCATATTCTCTCCACAAAGAAAGCCCACCTATACATTTGAAATCAAAATCACAGCTCTGAATAGTCCCAATTTAATGATGCAACAATGTGTTGATTTTCAAATCACCTGGAAAGACCAAAAACCTTCTGTAGGAGCCATTAGTTCTCAACGGCTCACTGAGATCAGTCACTACCTTCTTACTGCATGCAAAAACATTTAGTAGTATAATTGTTATAAATTAGAAAACAGGTTACAATTGTCAGGTACAAATAAATCATTATAAAAAGTATTGAAAGAACAAATCAAAGCATCAGAAAGCCCCTCCGATAATATCCCATCTCACCACACAATGTCTCTTTGAGATGTAATTCCAAACACATAAAAGGAAAAGCAATTGGATGGATGCACGTGTAACCATGGTTTCCAATCACTGCATGTGGACGGGGTGGGACCGGCCCCGTTCCTACTTAAAGAGAACATTTGTTTAAAGATACAGAAATGACCGTAGGGCATCGAAGATAAATACCATGGTACGGTATGAATGTTAATATGGTTCTAGTGCTTATGTGTAGATGGCAATGGAAACCTGTGGCTGAGCCCCATGTGACACCCCCGGTATCCGCTATGTTTACCAGTTTAATCCTACATCTCTACTGTATTTATAGAGATGTACCGATACCAACACTGATATCAGAGACCGGTCCGATGCGGATTCAAGCTGGATTTGATGAATAAACATTCAGTAGATTTATATCTACGAAATGATTCATTACATATAGTTAGACAAATAAAAAAGTATAATTAGGCTCGATGTTGCCTCGCACATAAAGATTGATGCCAGTCAGTGAGGCCTGCAGCTTATTGATTATACACTCGTATAATCGCTACTCTGTGTTGGTCAATATCCAACGAGCAGGTTTCACTCATGGCGACCTAAAAAGTCCTACCACTGAATCCATAGAACAGGACTCGATGAATCGGTCAGTCAAACATTCATGTCCAGCATTCCCACACACAGTATAGTAAGACTAGTGAAATGAACACACTCTCCGTCCCGGCTCACTAGCAGCTTTGTGCTGCTGCAGCTGTGGGACTGACCTCAGCACAGTGCCATTGTCCGCTATATAAATACACAAAGTGCAACACAAACTGTCCAACTATGTCGCGCAGTTCATTGCAGCATCCTCACAGAACCCAAACAAGAAAAGAAATAATAGTAAAGACTTGCTTAAAGCTGCGCTCATCTTTTGGACCAAAAGTGTGTGCAAACTGTTCCCCCGCAGCAAATGATCAACTCTAAAACGACTCATTACAAGACGGGCCGGGTCAGAGACTACTAACCCAGTGGAGCATTCAGCCGCCACGCAGACAGCCATTTCTCAGGAGTACAAAAGACAAAAGAAAAAGCAACACAACTCTAAATGAAAGCCGATGCTGCTCCTCGTCTTGTCAGCAGCAACAACTTTAACGTGGCGATGTTGCGTTTGCTGCCTCTTCTGCAGCTAAACGCAGATCTAAGACCCTTTTCTATGCAGCCTGTCGCAATGTGACGCATTTGATATCCTGCAGTCTGCATTCCGGACTCTCTGTGCGTTTACCAGGAAACGGTACCTTCCCTGATTAGTATAAAAGACGATTAAGATCAACGTATTTATTAAGTCCAGAGAATGGGCGGCTTCACATGGCCGGCCATATGAACATCCGTCTCACGAGCTCTTTGATAGATTCACCCGACTACGGTTGTCCCATAACGAGAGCATTGAAATGAAACAACAGAGAAGACATTTCACGTGTCATTTTACACAACTATACAATCTCCATATTCTTTTAGTGGTTTTCCCAAACCTCACAGAACAAACATGTGCAAAATAGTATGTCAAGTGTGTATATACAGTGATCACATGGCATCAAAAGAGAGAATTTCAGAGACCTTCTGCTGCATTTGAAGGGTTTTCATAAAGCCTTGAAATGATGACATCATATACCATATCATGACTTTGCATATGATGTACGAACAGTTTATATATTTAAACGTTCCAACACATTTTTATGGATGTAAAAGAGAACATCCTCTCATTTTTAGGTACCTACGCTTTAACAAACGGCCAGCGTCGCTGAAATGTAGCACAACAGCTGTAAAAAACAAGAAGAACCCAAGTGAAAGGAATGTGATCGCAATTCAACATAATAAAGTTAATTACCAGAACATCACTGAACTGAACGTCCTCACAGAAAGAGTCAATTCAGTCATTTCAGGCACCTCAAATTCATGCTGTGAAAGTAATTTGTCATGACTCTGAAATAACAAAGCAACATGAATTGGATCATTATAACACATACATGTATTCGAAATAATATATTATATAGAAATAGACCTTTTTTTCTTAACTTGAGGTAAAAATAATGAAAAAAGGTGCGTCCAATATTTAATAAAATAGATCCATTGTATGTTACAGACCTCCCATCACCTGATTAAATAAAGAATATAGTCTTCACAGTCTTTCCCCAAGCCATGTCCACTTGAAGTATGTACACAGTCCCACATATTCAGTGTGTTAAAGTTTCCCTCAGTGAGTCTCGATGACCACCGGCTCAAAAACACCAGCTGTTCCTCTGGGGAAACACAGAGACACACGGTCAGTTTGCACAACAGAAGGTGTCCTGGACGAACGGAGGGACCTGTACCTGTTGGAGAGCTGCGTCCCGCTGAGGGCGGTGGTCCCATCTTTGCAGACAAACAGTCTCAAGTTGCTGTCTGAAGAAAACGAGGAGGAAGAGTTACTCGTGTGACACCAAACGTTGAGCGGAAACCGAATCCCGACGACTTAAGCTGCGTCACACCTTCATTGTTGCTGCTGTCGGAGAAGTTCTGACTCTGGACAATCTTGTCCACAATGTCATCTGCATCAATGCGGGTGTCGTCCACACAACTGGGCTGCTTCTCCACGCTCTCCTTCTTTCTCCTGGTGTTGGGGGGAAAAAGAACGCGTCTTAGAAGTACAAGAACATCGTGCAAGAAGCAAAGGAGAAGAAGTGTTACTTCCTCCTATGACTCTCTCACTTCGCCCAGCGTCTGATAACTAGAGCTGATTTAACAACTCCATGGGATTTATTAATACAACATCACCAGCTTCATCCACCGGTATGGTTCACAGCTGGATTGGTACGCAGCGCATTGCAATAAGGCAAGAAAAGTTACCGTTTCAATTCTACTTATTATCATCTGTTATGTTTTACCTGGTTTGTTGTCCTTTGGCTTTCTTTCTCGTGAGTGATGACTTTGTATTAGTGCAATGTTACCAGAACCCATTAAGCATCTCAACAGAGAGGGTATTCAAATCCTTTACTGCAGTACAAGTACGAATACCGCAATGTGAAAATACACCACAACAATTCAAAACCTTACTGAAGTAAAAGTACGTCTGTATTTTTGTCTTTGTACTGGTTTGTGTTCAGTCTGTGGTCCAACGGAAAACTCCTCCCCGAAAGGGAAGAATTTCAGGCATGTAAGTTTACACATTCCTGAGATTCATTCTAAACCTTTATCGGTGAGATGGAGTTCAGACATGCACCACATGCATGAGCAGATCTTTGTCAAACGAGCAATAACATATTCCAGAACTTGCCAGCGCAAGTCACTGCTCCTGCAGAACTGACATTAATCAAAACACAATTACTACAGAAATACCAGACTCAAAGCTCGCCGAGGACAACTTTGTTTACAAGTCGTTTAAATGGCGCAAAAGCTTAAAAATACAAATATAAATCCAGTGTTACGTCCCTACTGGTGTTTGAACCTGTAAGGGTTGGGTAGGAAGGCAGGACTCAGATGCAGAGTTCAAAAGCAAAAACGACTTTAATAGTCAAAAAGGAAGCAAAGCAAAGGCCAACGGGCAAAAACACACACAGGAACTGGGGGCAAAAGGCAGGCAGGAACCAGAGACATCCAGGACGATAGACAGGGAACATCCAGGACGATAGACAGGGAACATCCAGGACGATAGACAGGGAACATCCAGGACGATAGACAGGGAACATCCAGGACGATAGACAGGGAACATCCAGGACGACAAACAATGACGCGACGGGAGACACACACCGATTAAATACACTAGGGAGGTGCAGGTGATTGGACCCAGGTGGAAACAATCAGACAATTACAGGGGATGACAGGACAAGGCAGGAAGTGAAGTTACCCAGGGAGACAAGAAGCAGAAAACTACATAATAAGACAGGAAATAAAACCACACCGTGACAGAACCTACTGGTTTGCCTCCGCTCGGGTGTTGTTGTTTACTTGACAGCAGCAGCTGTTTCCTGCCTCGTTCGCCTGATTTGTCACATATTCACAAACATTTTGCTGAAATCATCTCATATCTACTGCAGCAATTAGGATTGTATAGTGAGCACCACATCACTGCCACGTGTAAGGAAATACATATGATAGATGGATCCAGAAAGTATGGGACATCTAATAAATTCACAAATTCAAAAAAGCCCCAAAAGCCGATCGTTACAAAACGATGTGGTTCTGTCACGTTAACACACTGAGCGTTGTTACTGCATGTTGCTCGGCCCTCTGTGACCCATCAACTCTCTCTATACACACACGTTACAAACTACCCTGTGTGCGTTGTACACAGAACCTGAATATCATGCGTACAGAGACTACACACTACTGAAAAATGGACAAAGAAAGTAACAAAGTAAAAAATGCATGTTGTTTTGATGTTTAAAACGAAATGAATAGAAAGATGCGGGTGTGTGTGTGTGTCTCCACCTGGAGGATCTGTTGGTCATGAGGGCAGCTGCAGAGGGCAGAGGAGGTCTCCCTGGTCGGGTGGGCGTGCCGTGTGGCTGCAGCTCGGTGGGGGTGGAGGGAGGTATCTGGGAGGGTGGAGCGAGGCCACAGGAGACGCTGCTGCTGGAGGACGCGTTCCTCTCGTGACTGAGGTCAGTCAGGCTGGAGCAGCGAGAGTGAGCTGTGCTGTAGCCTGGAGGGGACGGGAGGGTTATCATTGACACACAGAATTATTCACTGGCGCTACAGGCGGTTTGTTGGGTTTTGTTCCGAAGAAGAAAAAAAAATTCCTGAATATTCCACCTGGAAGTATGTAGAACGCTCTGGAAAAGGCCCTTACAGGCCCGGGGATCAATCATTTTTATGATTTAGTTTATGATGTTTGCCGCTGCCCCAGTTATAGCTGTTGAGCTGTATAACATATTTGTTGATCCTGGTCTTTGCTTGCTTCTGGTAAGCTTCATTCAAAGTAGATTCAAAACTACTACAGGGAGTATTTTATTACAATAACAGAATGAAAACTGTATTTCTGTTCATTTCCTTTTCAATTTTTAACCCACTGAAGTGACATAAAAAGTATTTTCTGCTTAGCGCCCATTTTGCAATCCAACATTACAGTCACTTTCATACCTTGGCATTCAAAATACTATACCTGGGGGGCAATACACACGCCACCTGAACAAACATCTAATTACCTACACTTTGTGTTTGTGTCCTATTAGCTCTGCTCTGTTCGATCACCACCACTGTTGCTGCTTCCACACATCTGCAACCTCATGTCATGGTTGATCAAACCCTCTCTGTCAAACACCACATCAAGCACAAAAAACACCTTTTTCCAACCCTCATCCTCCCTTTCATCACCTCACCACTCAACTACTCCTATAGCATTCCGTACGGCACATCCACCAAATTGATCAACAAACTACAATAAATCCGGAGTTCAGCTCTCCCACTCCCAATTTACCTCTAAGTTAATACTAAGTGTGAATTTTAACATATATCATGAGCTAAAACCATTGCAAACAGATGGGAGATCATTGATTCATATACTGACGATCAGTGGTCCTTAAATCAAGCCTTGCGGCACTCCCATCTTGTAGGTTTTCAGAGGTACCGTATTTTCCGCACTCCAACGCGCACTTAAAAGCCTTTCATTTTCTCAAAAAACGACAGTACGCAATTGGTTAATCGGTTGATCCATGCTGGTTGTACACGGCGCTCAAGGCGCTCTGCCAAACACGCCAAAGCTCGGTCTACGACGGCGAGATGCTGAGCGGCGCTCAACACGTGAGATATGGAGCTTGTTTCAGGGCGCGTCGGAGAAACAAAGCTGTCGTTCTCGCCGAACACTTCATGAGATAAAAGAGCGAGAGACGGCGCCCTTTTCTCTACAGTAGCTGAACCATCTTAACGGGGAAAATAAGTTATTCTAAAAGCAGCCGAAGATTTAAGGCGTGGATGGCGAGGGGGAGGCGGGAGCGGACGCACCTCACGGCATTGATCGGACCCTGAAAGCACCGTCTCCACCTCCCCACATCCGACCACATCCACCCGCCCCGACAAACGTTTGACTGCAGGATCTTATGCGCATTATAATCCGATGCACCCGATATATGAGAAATGTTCTAAAATAGGTCATTCATTGAAGGTGAGCCTTATAATCCGGTGCGCTTTATAGTGCGGAAAATACGGTAATCTTATTATGTTTTATGTTTATCCACACAGACTGCTGTCAGCCACATGGCCGAGGGATCCAGTAGTTATGGACAGATTTAAGTAAGCCAGTTTGTTGAGTAGTATTTGATGGTTTACGGTCTGCTTCAACAACTTCAAAGAAGTAACAGCATGTTGCTGTAGTTGAATCATTGTTTTTCTGAAAACACATTGCATAGTATCATGATGGGTCTATAGTTGCTTAACGGCTGTCTCTGAATGTGTGTATAAGGGTTATTATTATAACTGAGAAAAACTGTAATTGAAGAGTCAAAGATCATTCAACGGTCTTTTCTACAAGTTTTCAAAAAGAATAATAGTGTGCAGAAGCTTCTCTCATAGAACACAGGGTGGATTTGCAGTTTGTCTACCATCAATTGCTTCTGAGACGTCCAGTCTTTACTGTGGAACCGTGCAGGGTGTACGTGATGACTCAGGTTGAGGAGCCTGTTCTACCAAAGCATCCCTGGACAAAGTCAAAGCTCCAGAGAGCCTCTAACCTGATATCTTGCTGTGCTGGCTGGCAGAGCTGGAGCTGCGGAAATGAGCAGTGTGAAAGACCTCATCTGGGCTGCACACACTCCGTCCCTCCTCAGGAAGCCCTGCGGAAAACACACACACATACATGGATCTTTAATATCGTCACTTTGTTATTAGTGGCATAGAGCGGTCAACAGCCAACCTGAAGGCGCTCTCAATTTGTTGTTTCACTTCAATACAAAGAATTTCAGAGCTTAGGGCTCCCTGACGAAACCAAGGCTAAGAATCATTTTCATTCCTTCCCATTCTCTGTTTTAAAAAACTATCCATGTGAGCGTTAAACACATTGTTGGATTTTGGTCTTTCTTGGGTTTTGTTGAAAATAGGAAATCAGCAGAAAAATTAATAATATTATGATTGCATCAGTTTTGGACTTTACTGTTACAATGTGACTGTGTTCCCAAATATAATAACTGCAAAAATAAGAACCACATTGTAACAAGTTGGTTTAACCCTTCATTTCCATCCGGTTGATGCGGACAGTTACCTGAGCTACGTACTGAAGACTGTTTGGGTTTGAAGGCTCCAGGACCCTCAAAAATGCCACCTAGCGTCTGCATGGTGGAATCAGTGCTCTCACCCTTACAGTCCAGCTGCAGGGTGGGGTCCCCAACCAAGACAGATGTGGTTGTGCATGGAAGTCTGATGGTAAAAACACAAAAGAAACTATGAGTACTACAAAAAGTCAGGAGCAGGTGCATGCTTGGATTCTAAAAACGTAAGGTAAGATCATAAAGTTTGGCCTGCGGCTGTGATCATTTTATTACAGTAAGGTTCTTCAAATGTTTCAAATTGGTTCTTTGTGGTCTGAATGAAATGTCTAACACATACTTTGGTCACAGGGATCATTATTGACTGCACCCTTTTCAACCTTCGTAAAATAAATAAACAAGTATTTGTAAATAAAATGTAATTATAGTATAATTTCAATCATTTTATTAAAGCAATAAGGTACGAGAGGCTGTACTTTATCGTCCAACAGTCCGGGGGCGTTGTTGGGCCAGACGTGGAACCGGCAACCCGGTCAGTGAAATTATAAGAAAAGTAAATAGCTGCCTTTCAGCGCAAAATAGTTGGAGCCACCATACGTTGTTGCGGTGCCAGCAACTTAATTAGTGAATAAAGTCTATTGTCTCCTACGTGCGTCTGAGCGTCCTTACAAGATCTTACACCATGTAATCTACTTCGCTACTTTTAAAATCAGAAGTCGCTATTGAGTAGGGCTGCAACAACGAATCAATGAAATCGATAAAATTTGATTAATAAAAGCGTTGGCAACAAATTTCCTCATCGGTTCGTTGGGTCGCGAGACAGTCACACACTCCCGCCACTCATCCAATTCCTCACGCCAAGGAATCGGACTCTGGTCCCCGAGCCCTGTCGGCCGCAGCGTCCGCGATTTCTTGATTGCCATAAGATCTAGAAAGCGGCATTTCTCAGCGTTCAGATACTAAACAGTTAAAGGAGTCACGATTATTTGAATCCTCCATGTCACTTTCTGTCGCCGGTAAAAGGCTTCGAATTAAGAGGGTTAAAAGACAGACGGACAAGACCTGTCCAATCTGAAGCGTCCGTCCTCTGCTATCTGCTATAAGGCCCTCTCCTTTCTGTAAGGAGTTAATGTCGTTGTGTTTTGCACTTCAGGGCCACCGTGCGCGTCACTAAAGACCGAAATGACTGACTGTCACGCTCGATGCGTGACACGTGACCGCCCTGAAAGTGTGTCAAGGGCAAAATATGCAAAGTCGACGTAACCTGGCACGGGAGCGCCGCGTCGTCCCGTTTTGACGTGAGGAACGTCACGGGCCTCCTGCTGTTTATTTGTCATCCAGCTGATCAAGCTAGCGTTAGCTCGCTAACAACAACAGTAAAGCAGTTAGCAGGACTAAGACATGTTTTTATTTACTCGCCTCTTTTGTTTATTCATTTTTCAATCTTGTATTTCGCTTTGTCCCATATTGGTTATTGTTAACAAATATATTTGTGTGTGTTTAATGCTGTCATTTACGGTAAATGGTAAATGGACTGTACTTTCATTTGTCATTTGTACTCTAGTACTTGTAATTGAGTACAATTTAAGCAATGTAACAGTACTTGTACTTTTTCCACCTCTGGTCTCGTTTCAGTAGTCTAGAGAGAGAATAGTCCCCGTACGTGCACGTAAACAGCATTGGGTGGCGCACCACCTCATTCATTCACACCGCTCATGACGTCCCCCCTTAATTGTTCGCTTCCAAAAGCTCGCATTGCCCCCAACAGATCATTTGTGGGATTTCCGAGGTTTTTTCAGCAATCGCCACCGAGCTAAAAGCTAAAATGTCAACTAACGGTCGTGCAAAATCTGACTTGTTACCTTGAGTGCGCATCGATATGGAACGCTCAGGTCAATGTGAACAGCAAGTGTACATTATCGCCCAATAATGTACCTCTCGTGACGCACTCTTAACCAATCAGAACACTGCATTTCATCTACATGTGTTATAATGATTTTATAGTGTAGTCAAAATCGCTGAATTAGTGTATTTTCCTGCTCAGAAACAGGGAAAGACGCAAAGGGAATACAGGTCTTTGCACGTCACCTTCAGTCAGATAAATCATATCGCTTGAACCCAGTTACACCCTGAACAACAAGAGGCTCCTCAACGACGTCTGTTGACGTCGGCAAAACCCAGATCTGCCAAACAAGTTGTTTTTCATTACTATTAATTCATCCCAGGAATCATTAAAAGAACGTGCAAGTTGTTTTGTTCTAGCGTTTGGGGGTTGGTAGACAATATCAGACAGCCTCATTAATGTGTACAAGAGTTTTGACTGAGGGGGGGGTCCACAGGGTCAGAATCTCTGAAACAGAGGCACTCACGTTTTAAAGCAGGGATCCCCGGACAGCAGAGTCGTTTCAATTGTTACCTTGAAAAAAAGATGGATGTTACTACACTTTAGTGTGTGTGTGTGTGTGTGTGTGTGTGTGTGTGTGTGTGTGTGTGTGTGTGTGTGTGTGTGTGTGTGAGGGGGGGGGGGTCATTTTCCTCACCTTCAGGATAGAATTGTCTTGTCGAATGTTTTTGGTGTCATAACCTTCAAGGATGCAGCAGCGAACTGTGGAGCCTGAACCAGCAAACTCTGCAATGTTGAGATCAGCAAAACCGAGCTGGAGCCACAACAACATGGACATGCACGGAGACAGACAGACACATGGACAGACAAAGACGGACAAGCAGTAAGACACACAGACAGACAGACATGCACACAGATGGAAATTTGATGTTTAGTTGTTTTGGAATGATTAAGGCGACTTCAAAAGAAGTTTCTTTAGCTTTGTCTTTCTTTGACTGTTTGCATTCATTTGCTGTGGATATTCAAGTTCCTAGAGGATGATTCTTCATGTTTTAAGGACTACTTAAATTCATCATCAAGTGAGTGCATTTGGGGAACCTAAACTGCAGCTTAATCCCTAAAGACGTTTTTTCCCCCAGTCCGTGAAACATTTTTGCAGTTGAATTATTATCACACATTTCAGAGTGTCTTTTATTAATCATTCTTACAGATTGTCCTTTTTACTATGTTTGAACAGACAGTGCAGGAAGACGTTACTCGGCATGGTTACACCCTCGTAATCAAGCAGGAAAGAAAAAGGCTCCCTGTCATCAGGGTATGATATGACAATATCCTAATCTTTATTATTGAGCTCAGGTGATGCTGTAAACTACATGACTGGTGCTTCAAGTTCAACTGTTACCAAACACACACACACACACACACACACACACACACATACACACATACACACACACACACACACACACACACGCACACACACAGCATGATCTTACTGGCTACTCATTACCTCTGACGGTGCCCTGTTACATGGCCCTGTAATGTTGACACAGCTCATTTCTGTACAGCTTTTAGCATCACTGACTACTCCGCTCTTTGAATCGGAGTTCACACCATATACTAATGAGGAGTTTTGATGTCCTCTATATTTTCCTGGTTACTACTCACATCGTCAAAAAATAAACGTACCTTTGAGAAGGACTTTCCTCCTTTGAGCTCCTGAACAGACAGAGAGCACAACAGTCCGTCAGAACACTCCGTACAGCATAATATTACTATTTTCGTTGCACAGAGATGCTGTGGGAGAACCAGTTACTTGCATCATGCAGCAGGTATAATCACTTCTGCATTACAGTTAGATTTAACATTTAGATTTACAATTAACATTTACATTTAACATTTAGATTTACAATTAACATATACATTTAACATTTAGATTTAGATTTAACATTTAGATTTACATTTAACATTTAGATATAACATTTAACATTTAGATTTACATTTAACATTTAGATTTACATTTAACATTTAGATATAACATTTAACATTTAGATTTACATTTAACATTTAGATATAACATTTAACATTTAGATTTACATTTACATTTGACATTTCTATTATTTAACAACTTTGTGTTACTGCCAAACATTATCCTTGGAAAAGTTATTGCATGGATTTACATGAATTTCTCTCTAAATGTTTGAATGAATGAATATTGTCGTGCTTTTTGGTTCATATGATAATGCTAAATGTAGCAAAACTGCACAGGATTTTAGAACGTGCGACATTTTACAAACGGCGCCCCATAGATTTTGGGGGTATTGGCACTGCCTTTAAATGATGATGAAGAGAAACAAGAGAGGGGGCTGCTGGGACTTGTAGTTTACCTTACGCACAGAGACCCGGCAGACACAGGGGTCCAGCACTCCAGTGTTTGGACTGGCACTCATTTTACACACAAAAGAAAACTTCTTCCTCCATCGAACACAGTTCTGCTGCACCTCCTCCCTACACACACACACACACACACACACACACACACGGGTTGACAAATAAAACGTAATAGTCTCTTTCCAGTGCTGTCTGACCTCTGGTCCCCTGTTAACTGGCCCCTGACTAATTCACCATTAATTGTCACATAATATAAGAGACATATAATGTGCCAAACATGAGGTTGTATTATACTATTTTAAGTTATTGTTCCATTGTACGCAAGATGATTCCAATGTGGCCTCGGTCCTGAGGCAGATGCATGTCCTGAATCACGCACGGCCAAAGGCTCTTTGTCCACAGGCAAGATACGGTATCCATGTGATGTGCAGGCAAGCTGTGACCTCCGGCCTCAGAGGAGTTGACCAACGCTATTATCGTCCTGGTGTTCTTTAGTAGCGCAGCCAGCAGATGCCAATTTACGACAGGCTCCTTATTTCTCTCCCTATCTAGTCTATAACACTTACAATCTGCAATTCAATCATTTCAGCTGAAAAATGGCTAATAAATTGAAACAGAGCTGGATAAATTGTATTGACAGTTTGAGAGGCTTTATCTTTATTTTCAAACACAGGTGCATGGGAACGAAATAATGTCTTAACATAATGTTGTCGCGTTGCTTGGTCGTACACATATGAATCTTTCTAATAAAGCTTCAATTGAATTGTAGCATTACATAATAATGCTGGATTCTGACTTTACAATGGATTTGTACGCAATAAAATGATTAAATCCAACCACATTTTTTATTACAAGATCCCACTTAATACGATTACCCTCTTGACTTTTACTTGACACTGACGTGTGAACTTGGATTTACATTTAGAAAACAGGAAGAAGGCCGGGGAATATGGCGGCAAATCAGGTTGATGCACGCGCGTAAATCAAACATGAGGTTCAGAGGGAACCTCAAAGCGTTCGATGAGATGAGAAGACTCCTTAAGCTGGAGAGATGAAAGCCTTAATGCGGAACGTGCTCCTCCTCTTTTCATTTGTGGAATTTTGCAATCAACAGCAGGAAGTGAGGACTCTTTGGACGGATCCAGGGTGTCTGTCTATCAGCAGGCTTTTCTCCCTAAACTAATGAATACAGAGCAAAGACCAACTACAACAGCTGAGGTTACAAATCTAATACTAAAGTTCTGCACTTTATTCTCTGAACACACGCAGGCATCAGCGTGCTTGGCTTGTCCCGACTTGGCTGATGGTATCAGTCCCTGCTCGTGTCGTCCAGCTCAACGTGCAGATTTAGTCATGCATGTTTTTCAACCACAGGAATAATTCCTGTCCCTCCCTCCAAAAACACTAAATTAAAGCTACATTGACCCACATAAGTATTCTCCGGAGCTCTGTTTGTGACCACATGTGAAATATATATGTTTTCTTTCATATATTTTCTGTCACGCCGTCAATCATAGGAGCGTGTGTTAGTATCTGACGGCATAGTTTTCAAAGATAGATTTTAACATTATCTTTATAGAGAAAACTCCCGCCCTGCTTATCTGAAAGGTGACCTGCCGTTTACAGCCCCTCAAACAACCGGCTGCCTGGGAGGAGCAGAAAGCGCCGGACAGGTTCTGCCACTTCTTCTCTTACAGCCCGAGCTTCCGGCCTTCACAGACACACCATTGTACAAGTAGACACAAGCAACGCTTTCCGCCACAATGAAGCTACACTTTTAGAGCGTTTGACTCCCAAAGAACTGGAACAGTCTGACTTAGTGACCAAGGCGTACATCTTTCGTCATTTTGACGAAGTCTCTTTGCATTTCACTCCGTTGCATTTTGCATCAACATTTTTTGTTCAGTCTGTGTACTATTTAGGATTGAATACAAACTGGATGCAACATGAATGTCTTGCATCGCCTCAACCGGTCTAGACGCGCCGCATACTCTGCTGATGCTACTAATATGTAGCTGTGTCGTTATCCTACACTATAATGTACAATATTCAGTGCAGTGATGGAATGTTGTAAAAATGACACATATGGTTCGATCCCGTTTGTTAAAAGTGCCACGTCTCATAATAAGTATCGTACAGCTCGGGTTACCCGCACACAGCGATGCTACTATTCATTCATCCTTCATTTATTCTGATTCGACAAACGTCTGCAGTGCCCCTACATTATGTTTTGTTGTTTAATTTGGGTAAAACTTAATTAAAACAGATCTTAATTCATCTGCTTCCACTGAAATGAATTTGCGGCCCCTTGGTTGTTTTTTTTTAAATGTCCAAGATCAATAAACGCAGGTGAGCCAAGTAATGACGCTGAAGGCATAAATTCAGTGAGGGGGACTGGAGAAGCTTGTGTGGCCCCCAGGGGCCCCGCTGTCTATGTGGGAGCGCCATGAGCTGATCGGGGTAAATCAATCACGTCGGTGCTGTTTAACGTTAGAAGCCGTTCTCCTCTCTGTTGTTATAAGTTACCAGATGTTGTTACCAGATGCAACCCTGCAGCCCCCCTCACACCTCCTGTCATATCAGAGCTTATTCCCTCCCACCACCACCAGTGTCCGGACTCCCAAAGGCATCCTGGTCCAAGCCCCAACAAACTCTGCACTTTTAATACCTGTGCTTGTTTTAATAAATCCGTGTTAAAAGCTCAGAAGTCTCTCCTGATTGAAATGCAGTAAGTAGTTTTTAATAATCATAGTATAGTGCTTGATACTTGAAATCATCCTCCGAAAATCTAGATTATGGGTCACTTCCTCCTCCCTTGCTCTCTCAGTCATAGATCTGCTGGTGGCTAAATTCCCAGTCGTACTGGGAAGATTTCTGCTTTAGTTCCTTTCCAGTTGCTATGTGAACAAAATAAGCATTAATAAGAAAATGAAAGTCAAAGTGGCAAACCAGGAGTTCAAACTCCACAGTGCTGATAGCGCGAGGCGTAATAAAGCAGTAAAGGCGCGTCGGGACTACAAAGACCAAGCAGTGAAACATCATTGTGTCAAAAGGTCCAGCCTGTCCACGCTGAGTCTAAAATGTATCCGGGTCTGTTAGTGTTTCAGCGTTTTCAGTCTAAACCTGCAGGCCGTTAGTGTAAAGGAAGCATAATATATGCTTCTTTAAATGGAATTGTATTAGTGTGGACGTGGGTGACAAATGTGGAGTTCATTTTTTAAGCAAATAACTGGACACATTTATCGAAACAAATAGGACATTCAGGTGTGTCGCCCTAACGTTCCTGCTGGAGTTATTTGCATGCAGACAAATGTGCTGCCTGTTCAGTGAAGCACTGACGCACATTGTCTGTGTGCACTTTTGATCTCACGGCAGCTAACTGCTCCCAATGTGGGACTAATAAAGGATTGCTTATTATTACTATTACTGTTAAATAAATACTACTATAATAATAATACTGTTACCATGTATTTCACTATAATATTTTATAAAAGGTATTTATAAAAACATGTTTTAAAGGACAATTGTCTAATGACACTGTTTTAATTTTTTTCAAGTTTGAGTTCAATATTGCTCTCATTTCTATGCAGCGTTGAGGCCTAGCTTAGCACACACACTGGAGAAATGAGGCTACATGGCTCCAAACAAGAATAGCAAAGCAGACAATGGGAGGGTTACTTTCTTCCCTGTTTCAAGGCAAACTGGAATCGTGTCATCGCAGTGGGGCAGAAGGACCTGTGCTCACAGAAAAACTGGGCAGATTCAAAAAATGTCTGTGAAGAAATACTTACACAACAACTCGAGTCCCAGACGTGTTAAAATAACATATCTTTTTTTCACTTTGTGCGAAATTTAAAAAAAAGGGGGGGGGGGGGTGTTTATTTGCTGACATATTGGAGAGTATTTGTCAGCTATAGAGAGATCTGGGAAACTTTTTCCCCCCCCATCTTCCAATCTTAATGCTAAGCTGGGCAAACCACATTGACCACACATGAGGTTAACATTAACCATATTACCAACATTTACCACATCTGCGTTAAACAAAGAAACGATGAGCTGTTATTTACCCATCATCAAAGTTTACTTATTGATGAGTGGTAAGTTACATTTCTTTCTCCGGGAGGTTTAGTCTCTGCTTGCTAACTGTACAGAGAGTAAGTTTAACCAAGGGGGAAAACCTGAACATTAATGGTGTGCTCTCATTGGGTTAAACATGGAAAAATGTGATTTGGTCCAGAAAGGAGTGTCTATTTTTTGTTGAACCCGAAGATCATGAAAGAAACCAGCAGCTAATTCATATTGATCCACAACTGTAATTACCCAAACCGTATATGCCCACGCAGATATACCGAAGTTACATATTGAATAAATCACAGTTGCAAAATACAACACATTCTGCTTTTTAGTAATTGAAATAATCTAAGTACCTGATAGAGAACCACTTTTAGTGCAACTACTTACAAAGATATAGTTCGTATTTCTGCCAAATAAGCAGGATGGAGAGGACTAGGAATTGCTTTGGCCGAGACAACTCCTGTGATCAGAGCCTGCAAAGGTCCAGACGTAAAGAGAAGCTTTCCATCCTGCATAGTAAATTATTTTGCTCCCTCCGGCCAAGGAGCCATTGCACAAGTGACTTAACCTCCACATGGTTCCTCAGAGCGGCAGCGAAAGATCTGTAACATAAACTGCAGTGGACTGGTTGAACTGCAAGACAAGCGGTTTGACACCGGTTTGACAGCGGTTTGACAGCGGTACCAGCTCTTATCTGAGGTGGGAAACTAACAACAGAGGTCAGACATTCACTCCCTACACACGCTATCTTGTAATAAATAGCTTCAGATATTGAAATGGGGGAAAATGCATTTATGAATCGAAGTCAGTAGGAGCAGATGAACATGAAGAAAGGTTTCATCAGGTTTTAACAAGGAAGTGATAAATTGTTCTAAATACCTGGATGACAAAATGGCAAAGTCCCCGCCATGAATCAGCCGGATTTTGCAGAAAAGAACACCGTTGACGAAAGGCACTGCTGTAAGCTCCTCCAGTGTAAAGTGCACTTGAAACTTGAACCTCTTCTTTTTCATCAAAAAAGACATTGTTTCCAGGTTTTCATGGTATGATGATAACTGCCTATGAATGAAAACTGTAAAATATAGATAATTGTGTTGATCCCGAGTAGAACATTCTACTTTGCTTGAAGATCAGTCATCTCGGAAGTTGTTTTTAGACCTGGAATTGGAAGAGAAAAAAATACACGTATTAAAAGTTATAACCAGAACAAGATGAACTCGGTGTCTTTTGCGACTGCGTGATCGCTGCAGCACCGACAGCTTTGGAAATCGTGTGCTCCGTTTATTTTTCTATCCGACATTGCAGAACGGACACTCTCTTCTTCTCACAGTCACTTGGTGTATTCTAATAGTTCAGACACTGTCTGCACGACTGCGTTTCTCTTAACACCAACACATTCGATCGGTGCACAAATCTGCCACGCAAACACCGAAATCGTTCGGCGGCTCAACGCCTCCGATGCAAAGCTCACTGACCCTTTTCGTTCCGTCCGTCTGGATAGAACGCGGCACACAAGTGGAGCCGTCTCGGTTTTCAGTGCATCTTCACCAACTTTTGTCTCTCCAGCAAAGGTTTCTCAAGAAGTCAGTGAGATGTGCTCCGTGAACGTCTCACGGGGCCAGTTAGGGACCGTCCACAAAGTCTGAGCACGGGCGTGAAAGGAAGATACCCTTCGTAGGCAGGATGTGCATATGTGGAAATGTCCTATAGCCAGTGGCAGCTGTCCAATATATGGCATGGCCACACCTTGAGCGCCCCACCTATAAAACATTAAATAGAAATAATAATGCATTATACGCATTTTCAATATGTGTGGTTTTAAAATATGGAATGTGCCTAGTAATATTTGTAAGTTGTGATATATGAAGTATATGCTTTTCCTACACGTCCCCGGAAGTCATATAACATCCTGTCTCCATGCGCAGGTGACAAGACTGACATACAGTACATACTATAACATTTTATATATATATATGTTATAATGTACGGAATTGGGTGTGTTAACTGCAATGTGTTTTTCATACAGAGGAGGTGGACTCTGGTGGGACCAGAGCAGGTGGACTCTAGTATGACATGCACTCTAGTGGCTCTAAAGCAGGTGGATTCTGGTGGTACAGGGGAAGCTGGACTCTAGTGAGACCAGATGAGATGGCCTCTTGTGGGATTGGACTGTTGGAACCGAGGATATGGACTCTGGAGGGACCAGAGGAGGAGGTGACAACAGGACTTAATGACTACAACGCCCCCCAAAGCCCTGACCTATGGGGTCATGAATTCTTTTGAACACAATGTTATGTCCCACCTAAAAGCATGTACCCGTCCAGGGTGGCCTACAGGTGGCAATCTGACAATCTGGTGACCTTCTGCAATCAAAAGAAGTTCTCAACACTCTAAAGACAGTGGATATGATAGTGGACTTCAGGAAGAACGTAGCTCCACCAGCCTCTATCCCCCTGTGTGGAGTCCTTCCGCTTCCGGTGCTCCATCATTATCCACAACCTCAAGTGGGAGCAAGGCATCAGCTGGTCTGCTAAGAGGGTGATTGGCTGCAACCTGCCGTCCCTCCAGGACTTGTTGGCTCCTGTAGGACTCTGAAGTGAGCAAGACAGATGGTGGAAAAAAAAAAGTTCAACAAACAGCAGGAGGCTGAGGTCCATCAAGACCAAGACCTCAGACTGGATTCTCATTTACGCTTTTACTGTCTGTACCTTAATTTGTTGATAGACCATGTAATTGTGTTACAGAAAGTAATGTACTTTAACACTACATGACATCATTCACCCATTCATACGCTGATGACAGGAGAACCACACACAGTGACACCTGCCCATCAGTGACTAACATCCACACACTGTGGTCGCAGCTACAGGAGCAAGTTTCTTGCCCAAGGACACATCGACATGCGTGTTAGCAGGGCCCGGGATCGAACCGACAACCCCTCTGATTAGAGGACGACCGTGCTCCCCACTCACCCACAGTCGCTCCACAGAAAGGAAAAGACAGCACTGCACATCACAAATAAAAACAACATAGGGCAATCTCCTTAGGGAGACCTGTCCATGCAGAGCTATAGCAGTCTCAGGGCATCGCAGACTCGTTCCTGTCTGTTGGGCCAAAGATTCTCATCCACATCGACCGAATATCTTCTCTTTCGATGCAGCATGGAAAGAATCTTTTAGAGTGTCTTATTCAGCCTCTGCAGGGTCGATGTGGCGCAGAGGCTGTGCTGGGAACCGCACGTTTGGCGGTTCGAGCCCCGGCTGCCCCATGTCCCATGTCGAAGTGTCCCTGAGCAAGACACCCTACCCCTAATTGCTCCCCACGCAAAAATGTAAAAGCCATGGGTTAAAAATGCAATGTAAGTTGCTCTGGATAAAAGTGTCAGCTAAATGACCTTTAATTGTGATGTCATCGTATGCTGCATCCATGGCAGCCAGAAGGGTCATCTGTGTATGTGGCTGGCGATCACACACTTTTCATCTCCATGCGGAGGAAAATTCCTCAATGGGGTTAAGGGATGTGGAGTAGGATGGAAGAAACGCCATCAGCATCCTGTTGCAAACCGTCGCCTGATGATGTTGGAGCCACGGAAACTGTCCCCAAACCATCACGTACTTTGGCAAGTCATCTCCAATCTGATTCGTCTCTTCCTCTCCCCGTCCAATTCATTGTCCTTCCATTGTCAGATAATATTGTGTTGTGCTCCGGCTATTTATATACTTTGTATGTTTCATCAGAGAAAGTCAAGATTCACCTGGGAGCAGTTTACCAATTTAGGACTAATGGAAATGTTTGACATATTACAGTTTTGACATCACTCATACTGTATGACAACTTATTTGAATGTAAAGACTTATGCAATTTTAATCAACACGTCATAAGCAATTGATAATGTCAGAAACACCAGAGAATTGTACATAATGATTTGCAGGGATGTACTAAAGCATTTACAGCTTGTTCAAAGAAATGAGAAACTGCTTTTTTGACGTGCAGCAGTGACACAATGATTGAACAGGTAGTTTTCAGAATTTTAATTCTGATCTGAACGCACAGTAACTGAGAAAAACTGTAATTATTATTATTAATATAAGTAATATTATTAAATATATTATCTGTTTGACTGTTATTATTTGTATTTTATTTTGTATTGTATTTTATTTTTCTATTGTAAATGTAAATGTTTATATTCCTGCATTGTGTTCATTTGCCTCAGTGTCTTTTTGTCCAATGTTTGCACCAACAGTCATGACAAATTATTTTCATGTCCAACCTACTTGGCAACAAATGTTTCTGAACGGAGGAGCTGGACTCTAGTTGGACTTGGGGAGACGGACTCTGGTGGGACAAGAGGAGCTCATCTGTATTTCAGAATGATTCTTCAATCCTTCAACTCCAAATTAGGGACAAATCATTTCAGACAACACAGATTTCTTCCTTAAATGAATATTACAGATGAATATACTACTGCTCCACCAGTGATGCAACTCGCGTGTACACACTGACCTCTTCTGGTCCTTTAATAGTGATGCAGCCAGTAGTAAAAAGAACTGTTACAAAAACATTTTACTTATATTTTATTCAGTTCTGAGGACATACACACTAACTGGAGTGTGCTGGACTCACCGTCCTGCTTCAGGGTAAACCGCAGGATGACTTGAGGACCAAGAATGAAATGTTCAGCAAACAGCAGGGGGATGACTTTCCGCTACTTTATAGTAAAAACCTTATTTCAATATTAAATGCAATATATTAAATAACATAAACACACATTGCCTTTTCACTGCTTCAGTGACTGTTTTTCCAATTCATAAACAACACATCAAAATCCTGCACACACTTCCCTCAAGGCAACTTTTGACAAACTTTTAATTCTGAAGTCTGTGTGCATGCACTCTTCTATGTACAAGGCACACACACACACACACACACACACACACACCCTCACACACACAGTCTTTATTGTGCATCCTCAGCTTGCTGTGGAGGAGGTGGAGGTGTTTTGGGCCTGCTCTGCTCCTCAAGTCCTGCCCCGTCCACTGCTGCAGAGCTGCTGGGGGGAGCTGCTACCTCACTCCCAGTCTGTAGGAATTTGCGCAGGTCTTTAAGTGCAGGTCTAAGCATCTGAACTAATGCCAGAAGAGCAGCCTGGGTTCCCTCCAAGGCCTGGGCCTGCCTCTCTTGGGCGAATGCCTGAGCCTCCTGGGAGCGCCGCATCACGTGCAGCAGGTCGTTCTGGCCCTCCAGGTGCTGGGCGATCTGTCGGATGTGAACGTTGGTGACCCTCTGCTCCTGCAGCAGGCGGGCTGAGTTGAGGGCGATGCGACTCTTCAGCTCCTGAGGTTTGGCCTGACCCTGAGGGGGAGGAGGGGACGCCGCGGACGAGGCCAGCATCTCCACGGGAGCCTCAGCGGTGGGCGTTGAGTCGCTTACAGTAGTGGTGCAGTACTCCACTACACTTCCATCCTCCAGGTTGTGGAAAGTTGTTTCCGCTGGACAAAGAACAGGAAAACAGTTGTTTTATTAGTTATTACTAACTTTCACTTTGGGGGTTTCCATGCAAACATCAAAAGTGAAACCATAGTATATATAGTCCCCATGTTACCCACAGCAACAGCTAATAGTCTTTGTTGTGTCATTTTGTTGAGGTTAAAACAAGAAGGTCAATAGCACTGTCAGAGTCAGGATGTGGTCCACGGTGGAGTTTTTCATCTGGAAGGTCATAAATATGCTAGATGGAGTCTCCTTGAAGCTGATTAACTCTACATGTCATCATTCATACAGAGATGAGCTGCCATACGCAACTAACAGTCAGACGACAATCACAACGACCACGGGAGCAACTCGGGGGGGGAGTGTCTTCACCAAAGACAGGAACACGTCCATACGGACTAGCGGAGCCGTGGATTGAACTAGGACCCTGCTCTACCCCTGAACCACAGCCGCCATGCATATGCAACTTATTTCGTCCTTAAATTACATTTAACCCCCTCTTTGTTGGACACGTAGACTTTTCTTAATCGTCCCTAATTTTGAGTCCAAAGGTGTATTCATTTGACAGATCAGCTGGTTCTTAAAATCTGAGAATGAATGATGTCATTATGAAGTAAGGATTTACTTCACAAAGAAAAATGCTGCCTGACATCAGGACGTTGAAGTGATGAACAGAGAACGAGAAGTGCAGCAGGGGGATGACGGCTCCTTATCTAGGATCTAAATGTTTCCTGCAAGCTGCTAGAACAGCGATCGCTGCTGATCGAACTTTAGAGTTCTGACATAGAACAGTAACTTATCAGAAAATGCTCAAGATCCACCTTCCTGCAGGAAAATGATCAAAGAGCAGATTCTTCTCTGATTTCTCTTCATGTCAGCTTACAGTAGGCCTGTTTGCCTCCGGCGTGTGCTGGCAGACTTCATCATGATCACAAATCTCAACCAATGAATTCCATATACGAAGAGCTACTCTGATGAGGGGATTTGCGGTGTCAGGTTGATAGTATCATGTGGTTAGTAGAAATAAACTTACCAGTCAGTGGCTTTGCTTCATCACAGACTGTTACTGAGCCTGCCGGAAGAGCTGGAAGACACACACAGAATATGATGCTAAAAACTCCAAACAGGAAACGGATGAAAAATAATTCAATTAGTAGGTTCACAACAAAAACACGTGTCTCATCCTTTTAAAGTTTGTTTTCACTGGTTCTATCACTGTAAATGCGTCCGATGCTGTGTGATTCACACACCTGATCACAACAACAACAACAAGAGTCGGGCACAATCCAGTGCCGGCGTCCTGTCTGATATCACATTGCATGTGTGGAACTATCCTGTGAGTAAAGCCGCATCTGGTCACTGCTGCCGCGTCTTCGCGTGCACTTTATTACTGCAGCGTTACACGTGACCGTGGCGGTGCGCGCGCGCTCCTTACTCTCTGCCAGCGTGACGGTGCTCACGGTCACAGGTAAGCCCATCTCCGCATCCGAGTCCCCCGCGGGCAGGCTGATGATGGTGGCCTCCCCCAGCAGGTTACAGATCCGCTGCTGCATGGCCGTGAGGATGACGGGGACCGGGGTGCAGTCGGCGGAGGTCCCCTCTATGGCAGCCCGCGCCTGGGCCACTTTCCGCCGGACCTCCGTCTTCATGTCGGACCACTTCTTCTTCACCTCGGGCAGCTCTCTGGGACAGGTGGTCACGGCGTTTACCTTCCGCAGGATGTCCACCCACGCGTTATTCTTGGCCATGTGGGTGACTCCAGCGTTGAAGTGGTTAACCAGTGTGTGTTTCTGTTTCTCTATTTCTTCCACTATAATGTCCACCTCTCTCTCCGAGAAATTCATTTTTCTCTTTTTCGCGATCGATGCCATTACTGCGAAAATTCGTCTTTTGTTGAAGTAATTGTGCGTAGTGTACGCAAAATAGTAGGCTTTACTCAATTGAAATGCGCAACGTAATGGCTACCAGAATCGGCGTCTTCTTCCTACTAACAACGCTTACGTTAGCTGGGCGTGAAGTCCCGCCCACTGACACCCCATTGGTTGAATGTCTCGCGGTCATGCCTTGTACTCTGTGACTATTGGCTTAATCGAATGCCAATAATCAATGATCTCGATTATTTTCATTAGTAGCTCCTTTCATATTACAGTCTTACTTGGTGACTAATAGTTGTTGTATTTTATGTTTTCATTTCAACAATTCTGTAACAGAAAGCATTAAGCAGTAAATAAAAAAACAAACACAGTGAGGGACGAACTTTTCATATGTTGCCTTACATTTGTACTGAATAAAATGTTAAACTAGTATAATGTTATATGTTAAACCAGTATAATCAATATTTCGCAAATGACTGTAGTGCCATTTTAGCTTCTTGCACAAGGACAGTAATAACAGAAAGACTCATTCTCATTGTATCATTTATTATTCTTTGCATTCTGTCGTTTGTGTGTGTGTGTGTGTGTGTGTGTGTGTGTGTGTGTGAAGCAAAACAAAAGAAGTATATCTACTTACACTATCTTTCGACATTTTTGTCAATAACATAAACTGAAATGAAACTATAAAATGCATGTAATAGTTGAAAAAGAAAACCCCACCAATAAAAATGTAATGACCTTTGCAAATGAATATTTATGTGTACCAGTTACCTGTTACCTAATACATGAATGGTTGGGGATTTACAATGTGTAAAGCCACACAATGATCCACATATATTTGTCGCTTTGCTGTCTGGTATTCAATAAAACGATCCCAAATCTAAACAAAATGACATTACATGTCAGATGCAGTTATCTCTAAATATAAACAGGAGACCACTGTTAAGCCTTCCAAACATTAAGGCCCATTGTCTCATACAGCAGTAGAGCTTTCAGAAAAACCCCAAACGTCTACAAAGTGGAAGTTTGGTCTTTAATTCATTATCTTCAAATAATCAATGATTCAATTGAATTCATTTTTTTCCAAATAGCCTAAAATCACAAATTTGCCTGAGAGTTCCTCACACATATGACATCCTCTGTCCCGAAACCCTCACATCGGCATAGGAACTCTTCACAATATGAAAAAGAAAATCATAACGAGGAGAAAGAAAGAAGAAACTTTAGGGTCGAAGGCATTGATCGCAATGAGCATGCATTATAGCCCATAGCTCATGTTTGAGCTATGGGCTATAAAACATATGGGCTACAGTCAATTTATGAATTCTCAGTTCATCTCCTTGATTCCTTTCCTTGTTTCATCTTAACATATTGGCAGCTTCACCACGGATGAGTATAAACATAGTTCAAGGATATGACTCTCAGCCTAAGCCAATCAGAGGCAGAGAAGTGCTTATATCAGTAAGAGGATTAGTATGTGTCAACTATGCACTTACTAGTTACTTGGCTTGGTGACATATTTTAGGAAAACATTGGCTTGTTTAAAGATCTGTTGTTTACTGTTTTGAAATGTTGTAATGTTCCTAAACTTGTATGATATTAAACAAGCAATAACATCTTAAATAATATATCTAGAAGAAGGACAATTTCAAAATTCTGATTGGAAGCATTTCCTACCAATTCGTAGATTCTTGGTGGTTATAGCAATAGCTGAATAATAAGGGTCATGTCTTCGCCGTTCACTCCAACGGACTATTTCTTTACACAATATTAATGGATAATTAAGCATCGTTTCCGGAAGTTAGCAGCCCAAACTAGTATACAGTTGCAACAGAGTCCATCATTTGTGATCCATTTTTAAAAGTATGACATTTCCTTATTCTGTTTTTTTTAAACAACTACACAACGTTACATGTGCTGGTATTTTGTATGACTAGTGTTCATTTTTTATTTTTTTACTTTAACATTAATGCTAAATTGATGGATTGACAATTCATTTCCAAAACCCGCCCTTCGGTCTCAGTTTTTAAAGCTTTTTAAACATTCAAATTGCCCCCAATGGACGAACACGAAGTCAGTGTGAATCACGTGACGATAAAGCGCCTCAACTTCCGGTGACGCGGCCCGGCTCTGCCTCGTCCGAACGATTCCAGCCAACGAGGGATGGCGAGAAGCAGCCAATCAGAGGCCGAGGGGGGCGGGCCTTGTCGCGTCGCGTCGCAGCAGGGTTTTTCTTTAAGCCAGCGGGTCACCGGCTTGTCGGAACAACGTAACGTTATGTTTATCTTCTTAGTCCGCAAGTTAACTCATTAACAAACATAAACCTCTTATTCAAAACGCTGCGCCCAACGGGAACCTGCATTCTCGTGGCCGTCGACAAAACTGTGTATAAACTCCCCCGTTTGACGCTGTGAAGTAACGTTTGTTAGTTTTCTACCATCGCAAAGCTCCGGCTCCTCGTCTTATCGCCGCGTAACGTTTAGCTGGAATCTTCCATTTCGGTTGGCTTTGCGTTTAAAAAAAAAGTAATTCATCAAGTCACATTAGGAGAAGCGGCTTTCGTCTCGGGGGACCCCCGCTTTGTGCGTTGGTGGTGAGAGGTCTGGTTTGTAAGCTAACCGGCTCCCCGGCAGCGCTTCCTTTCATCGCCGGCTCGAGTGGAGGGAAATGTGACGTCGCCGCGGGCTCACGCGCTCTCCGGCCCGGCGGACGCTCATGTTCGAGGCAGCGTTCGTCTCCAGCGGGGCTCCCTGATGCCTCCTTTGCCCAGCGACCCGGGCGGCGGGGGCGGTCACGCCGAAGAAGAACCCTCCCCGGCTCCCCCGCCCGAAGCAGCTCCCCGACAGCCCCCCGCCGGTGGCTGCCACGCGGACCCGGGCCCGCCGGGGCATCCCTGCGACGTGTGCGGAGGGCCGGAGCAGGAGCACCGGCTGAAAGTCTTGTTCCAAGTGCTGGACGTGAACGGGGATGGAGGCATCTGCGTCAACGACCTGGAAATCGGGCTGAAGAAACTGGGGGTGCACCGCACTCAGCACGAGCTCATGGTGAGTGGGAATATCTGCTCCAGCGGACCAGCTGCTCCGGTCCTCAGTAGCAATGTGTCCCGTCACTAGTAAAGCAAGTTGTTCCCGAACAAGCAGTTATTTGTAGTCCAAAAGGCACCTGGATGTCTCAGTTGAAACTATTCTTGTTAGCCAAGTGACATTGGACATTTCAACATGGAGGCAAAAGCACTTTTGTGTGTGGAGCATTCCGCCTCCAGGCTGCACGCTGTCCTAGAACCGCTCGTCCTGGTTCGGACTTGGTCCTGAGTCCCATTTTGTTGGTGTTATTGCTCGAACATTTTGTGAGACTCCACAATTCATCCTCCACATACCGGTCTGCTTTTACCTCCATTCTTTGACCACTTAAATCCCCTTTTGTAACTTACCGATTCACATGGTCCAGTCCTCCATCGGTTAGGAGGAGCTTCTTCTAATGGAGGCCCCACATGCCTGTGATGGGTCTACTAGGATGGATCAGCTTCTCTGAATCTTGTCCTGTCAGGAGGACCTCGTCTCCGCCCGTGTTTTTAAGGACATAGAATGTGGATTCTATTGCTCCGTTTACATGAATATCTGAACTTTGGTGGGAGTCAAAACATAATCTCTGCTTTCCCTGTGTGATTTAAGACTTATTCTGAATAAGTTAGTTATTTGAATAATTTGAATAATTCAAATAACCACAGAAAGACCAACCTTGTTTTTCAATGTGTGCAAAAGTCAATTGGGATCAGCGGCGTAAACATGGAAGCATGGAGTGTGCGAGCCGTCTTTGTTGAGTCTGCAATGGTGGGATTGTCTCAAAAGAGCAAATACACCTTTTTGGAGATACACATTTTCTATCCTGTTTGATCTATATTGGTAAATTTTAGTTTGTGTTCATTTTTTTGTTGTAGCTGCTTGTCAACAAGGTTCCAGACCTTTTTTTCCTCACCCTGCTGAAAACGGTTTTAATCCTCCGCATTTAGAGTTAACCATCAATAATTCTCCATTTTTTTTCCTTCATAGAAATACACACTAGAATAGAAATATTGTGATTTTATTAATAGAAACAAATCTTAATTTCACTGATGTGCACATACGACTAGTGTTGAAGTTAAACAGGTCAACACTTTCTATTTCTTTTCTAATTGTCCTTTCTTTACGTTGCTGTGAAAAGATCTCCTTCAAACAACTGGAAGAAATAGTAATGAACAATGATGATTACTGAGATCTCCTGTTTCTGACAAAAATACATCACATCGTGATGTAATGTCAGGAGCCTTCAACTCTGGAGGCACCACCCAGTACTTGTATTGAATAACTATATAAATAAATAAAGAGGACTGTTGTTGAGCGGGTGAGATGCTGACGGCGTGCTCGGGACTCCTCCCTCCTCCCGAACCAGGGAGCAAGGCATCACTCAGCAGATTTTCTACTGTGCGGGAGGTGCGACCGGTGGGGGGAGGAACCCTGCTCTTCTCCAGCCTCCTCCTCCTACGCCGACTGTCATTTCCAACCTGCAATCGCATCCTCCATTGGCTGAGGGGCGGGACCAGGGAGCCTGTTACTATGGGCTGCAGCGATTGGTCGACTCGGGCTCAGCTGCAGTGAGGATGCAGGTTTTTTGAGTCTCGCTGTGCTGCATTTTACCGGCTGCTGGTCGTGAAGCCAGCGAAGTAGCTTCATCATCCTCAACGTGAGCTACTTTAGGTGTGCAGCTCTTTGTTGAATCGTGCCTCAGAGGTGTATTTAGGAACTATATTGGATTTTTGTTGTTTGTGTGTCTGAGCCTGGACGTCGATCAACTGAGTCATTTTACATTTATGATGAGCGAAAAAGAATCCAGCCCGAAGAGAAGACGGAGACACTGAGCTGAAGTGGAGCCAACAGAAACCTCTGAGTGTCCTTAAGTTTGCGTAGGGGACAATCGAGTAGACTTGTCCCGTTCTGAGGTGGATGAAGACTCCGTGTTAGTGACGGAGGCTCCTGAGAACCGCAGTGAGCTGCAAGCCGGCCTCCAGGGAAACACTGCAAACTCCCACAGTATTCATTGGGATGGCACCAGCTCCTGACCAGGTAGGATAAAGGACGCCTCTTGACCTCTGACTTTTCCACCCAGTCAGAGATTTTGACCGCTGTGCGTCTCAGAGCTGCCGAGTGTTGTTGTCGTGTCGGCTCACTGAGCCAAAGGCTCCTCCAGAACCACATCGCTGTGGACTCAGACATTTGCCTTGGACTGCCAAGTACAAGCGGTCTGTAGGCAACTAAGCAGCTCCACTGGAGCCCTGCCTTGCTCATGGGTACCTCCGGTCTTATGCAACCCAATTCATACAAAGCATTAAAAGCTAAAGTTAAAAGCTTCGGAAATATTCCACCTGACTTTTCATTCTCTATGTCATTAAAACTGTTGGACTGATTTCAGTGTTTCAGATGGGGCTGGGGGGGCGAGGGTAGCAGTTGGGCGAAAGGTTAAGCCGACTGGGGAGGTTGAAGTAGCCTGTCTGCTCGTGTCGGGCGAACTGCTGTGCGTGGGGACATTTTTCTACTTAATTGCAGACTTTTCAGGTGGGGGGGCTGATATAATGGTAGTAAACACTTTCTTTTAGTGTAAAGGTCACTGAACACTGATGTGTGAGATGCGATATGCTTCATGTCGAACTCCATAACTGCATTGACATCTGTCTCTCTGTATCGGTTCAAAGATCGTGCTGCTTGCTGCTCACTGGGAAATGCAGCGGCAAATAAGAGCAAAGGAAACTGAGTGACTCAAAGGGAGGAATGCCCCTCGAGCCATCTTGCTAACCTCCTTTAACCTAACCATCTTGCTAAGTTTATTGGTGCTCCATTGCTATTTGCGCATATTTAAAATGCAGACAAAATTGGCCCCTTTTATTTATTTCAAAACAATCCAATTTTTGAAGATCAGAGCTGTTTATTTTGGGACGCAATGAAAGTTTTGTAAGGAAAAATAATGACTGAAGCTCCCCGATATAGCCTTTTTTTTAAAATACACAAGGAAAAAAAAGTTTTACTGCTTTGCCTTGTTTCTAAAATACAGCATTAAAATCTTAAATCAAATTTTAAAAAACAACTTATTTCACCAACCTGCGTATACGTGCGCCCTGCAGGCGTATAAGGAGACGATGAGGGCTCTTGGCTCAGAGACTGACCCTCCCCACCCAACCAACGCAGCGCCTCAACACGCGTGTACTTTGCTACTGTCGTGCCTTTAGCGCTGCTGGGATCAAGTTACTGTGGTTCAGTCATGCACCTCCTGGACTGAGGGTCCGTTCCTGCAGTGCATCTTGCACAGCCTACTTCCTCCATCCTGTGCTTGTTTCCACATGCTCGGTGTGATTGTGCCTCTTTGGCAGCCTGTTGGCAGGTTCATTCTGTGAGAGGACAAACGTCCATATTGGCTCCCTGCTCCATCTCCCGCTGGTTCGGGTATATTCGTGCCCCACTTAACTCTAATTCTGTGAATTCCTTCTGGTTGGCTTGGCAGAGATATAGGCTGAAAGTGCTGTGAACTGTCTTTAGATTACTAACAACCCCGTGTGTGTGTGATGGCTGCAAAGTGGTCCAAACTGCAGGCTGAGTCAACAGTGCACAGATGGCTGCTACTGTTCCCCGTCACCGTCCAACGAGCTGTAGCGCTGTTTTAACTACCAGCTACATACGAGTCCAAGTCAATATCCTTTACAGTTAAGGTTGCTCTGTGTTCAGCAAATGACTGAAATGTGTTGACATCTCACGAACACCAAAATGACCTTAGAATTAATCTGGTTTCTTCTCTTTCCAGAAAATATTGAAGGCAGGAGACAAAGACCTGGACGGACAGTTGGACTTTGAGGAGTTTGTTCATTATCTCAGGGACCACGAGAAGAAACTGCGGCTGGTCTTCAAGAGCCTGGACAAGAAGAACGATGGTGAGGACGCACACACGAGGCCTTCGGCTCGGCGCGACCAGAGGAGCTCTGCTCCGTCCTGTGACCCGCGAGGCTGAGATGCAATTTAGCCTTTTACTTAAAAACATTTTTTCATTCCTTCATTTATTCATTCTACAGTAATAATGTTTCCATTTGATTGGTTATTTATCATTTTCCAATTAAGTTAAATTTTGATTGTTTAACACAGGCGTTAAAGAAAGAAACAACGAAAAACATTGTCCATATTATTTTACCCCTTTCTTACTTGAGTTCTAAATTATTGTTACAGATTTGTACGTAGCAACTAATGTGGTCTAATAAAAGTAGGGAATCGTATTATAACATTTCCCTCTGAGATGTAATACATAAATACTACTAGTTTATAGGTTGTACCATCAGTAACCATTCACTCACTGGTGCCACAGCTACAGGAGCAATGTTGGGGTTCAGCGTCTTGCCCAAGAGCACATGGGCACGCGGGTGAGCAGGGCTCGAACGCCCATCCTGTAATTGCAGGTCCAGCGTGCTCTCCACTCACCCACCGTTGCCCACGATTAAGCTGTAAATTGTACTTGTTCTAAAAGTACTAAAGGTATTCTAAGTCAGGCCTGGAGGCGTCCCAAAGAGCTACGACGAACTCGACCCAGGAAAAACAAGATAATCCAGTTCCGCTGGAAGGAGACGTTCTCCCACTGAGAACGTAAAATGTAGAGTAAAAAAACGGGTCCTTTTTGCACACGCGAAACCGGTTAATTGATTCAATTAAAATGAAGCGTGCAGCTCTGCTTCTACGAGGGTCAGCTGGTACCACGCGTTGTTTCTACGCCTGCACAGAAAGCCCGGCGCTCATCTGTAATTTATAAAGATTCTTTTCTGTGGTGTAGGCTGGATCGACTCACAAGAAATCGTGCAGTCTCTGCGTGACCTGGGGGTCAACATCTCTGAGGAGCAGGCCGAGAAGATCCTCAAGAGGTACGTGCGTGTGCTGCCTTCGTCTGCTGTCTTTCAATAACTCCATCACCATGCTTGAAACATGCTTGATGACATAAAATATTTTGGAGGGACTTCTGCTGAGCTCTAACATGGCGACATAGATGAGGTCAAATTAATTAAAGGAGAAAAAGACCCCATCAATGCAGGAGAACAAATGATAAACTAAGATGATCCCAAATGAGTGAGGTTAGAAGCGGCAACAACACAACTGGTGGAGAAGATCCGCATGCAGAGGGAGGGGTCGTGTCTACGGCGAAGCCAGACCACCTCCGCATAGATATCAGAAACAAACCAAAACAGGGATTCAACAACTTTTAGATGGCGTTAAACCAAAAACTACAAGATGTGCCTCCAGGGCCCACGTTTGACAGAAGCCGAGCAACCAGCTGAGGAAACGGAGGCTGTAGATCCACACACACACACACACACACACACACAGACAGATTTACAGATCCAGCGAGCCCACCGGTCACTTGGCCCCAAACCTCAAGATGGCACCGTCTCAAGATCAATCCTGCTTAACTTCCACAGATGTGACAATGTTGTGACCATATACTTAGTTCGGGCCAGAAAGATCACATACAAAGGGAAAGTTGTGGCTTTTGCGAAAGATCATCCCACTAATGTGAACAACAGACTGAAGTACAAAGTACCTTAAAGTGGGATGAGGATCCACTGGAGGACCGGCCCCATTTAAACACGAGGAACCGCGACTATCAGAAGTGGTTACAAACCAACCCCCCGTCAGTAAAAAACTGTGCTGAAATCGTTAACGAAATGCGCGATATAAATCCCTGTCAGAAGGAGTGATTGTGCAGGTGACCAGCGGAATAAAATTCCTAAACTCTGTCAGTGGGGGTGAATATAAGCTTGGCATGAATGGCTGACAACATTGTTGCTGTGCTGTAAGATTGTTTTGAAGTATTCTTTTGGACCTACAGTGGGGAACAAGTATTTGATACAAAGGTTTTCCCACTTACAAAGCATGTAGGAGTCATCGGTGTCATCGGTACTCTTCAACCGTGAGTGACGGAATCTAAAACACAAATCCAGAAAATCACATTGTATGATTTAAAAAAATAATATATTTTGCAGTTTATTGATTCATCAGAAGAGCCCAACTTAATATTTGGTACTGAAATGACAGACTTACGTTTCTGTGTAGTTCTGACCAGGTTTACACACTGCAGCAGGGACTCCTCCATACAGACCTCCTCCAGGTCCTTCAGGTCTCGGTCGCTGGGCAACACTGACTTCCAGCTCCCTCCAAGGTTCTCTGTTGGGTTCAGGTGGCCGGCTGTCTGCAGTGTATCAAATACTTGTTCTCCTGTACTTTGTATTGCTTATTTATATATTGGTTTAATGTGTTTTCTTCTCCTGGTCTTTGTCAGCTGGATATATATATATTTTTTCTCACGGTATAAAAAAATACAATAATCTAAGGACTATTGTTTTACGTAACTATACAAGTTCTGTCTGCGTTCACACCAAAAGAAAAGCGAATTTTCTGAACATTTTATTTGCGCGAGTTTACTCGCCCGACTGTGCATTCAATCGTGCAGGAAAGGCAGCCAGAATTATTACACAAACGTTGGAACCGCAAACGCAGTCGTGTTTGGGTTCAGGACGTCCTCCGTCGCCGCACACAACTCGGTGACTTTCACCAGCGCCTCCACTTTCAGGCTAACCAGCAGCAGTTTGATGAGCCGTTGGGTCGGATCGGTGCCATGGTCAGTCTGTTAGATGCCAACTAACGTACAGACGTTCGATCTCTCAGCTCGTGTCTCCGGTGAGCTTTGTCATCAGGACGGCGGTGATGGCGGGCGGAGCATCTCAAAGCTGCTAAAGGACCCTTTGTGTGCCCGTTTTACCTCAAGTTGATATGGTTCCTAATGAAATGTTTAACATACTTTGGATCATTTAGAACCGCACCCTTTTTTCCCGTGTCTAAAACAGCCCTCCACGGTGACCTGTTTTGACTGCCTGTTCCTTTTTAAATGGTAATGTCCTCTCCTCCCCCCGTGCAGCCGACCTCAGCGCACCTTGAGGGCTTAATTTGCTTCATGCTGCTAGCTAGCTGTTCCAGGTGTAGACTCCCATTTCATTGTGACGACAGAATGATGAGGACGTTCATTCTCAGTCACACAAGCATGACGTTTCTGTTTTTTTTGGGGTCTGTAGAAATACCAGGTACCCAAATTAACGTGTAGAAGCACAAAAAAATTGGAATTTTCATACGTCCCCATTTAAGAAAAGCGGCTTCGGTCATCCCACAAGTTTACAATGCATAGAAAAATAAATCCTTTGGAAAGCCAATGTTCACTTCCTCTATTCAGACTGACCGGCCAGTAGGTTCTGTTAGACGACTCGCGCGAGTAATTCGCTTCGCTTTTGGTGTGAACGCAGCATTATAATCTATGCAAATGAAATGCATTTCCATTAAAAACCTAATGTTTATGTAGTCTCATTAGTTTATCTGTAATTTTAACGGCTAACTTAAATTACAGTAAATATTTTTAAATCTACAGACATTACTTTTTATAAAAAATAGGGGGGAAACCCAGCGCATTACTTGTAACAGAATTTTTCTGAATGGTCTTTGTTCCAAGAACTGTAGTAACACTCTAGTTGTTCATTTCTGTGGGTCAGTGGGGTCCTTGTCTGGCTCCTCTAACCGTCTGTCTGTCTTCTTCTCTCTGGCTGGTCTCAGAATAAGGGGCCCAGATATGACCCCTCCTATCTTGTAGTAAGTAGAAGCTTCTCTAGTCTGCTTGCTCTGCCCCTGATGCACTCTGCAGTCTGCCTGGTTCAGTTACCAGATGGTGGATAAGTACAACCATCGTGGAGACGTAACCGTGGCTTGTCCTTTTTACCTGCTAAAACTGTCCCGATTTGACCGACCGCTTTACATCCTCAGTATGGATAAGAACGGGACGATGACGATCGACTGGAATGAGTGGCGGGATTACCACCTCCTGCATCCAGCAGGCAACATTCCTGAGATCATCCTCCACTGGAAACACTCCACGGTAGGCGACAGACACTCCGAGCAGCCAAGTGTTTGGACAGGAAGTGAAATCTTACGTTTTGAAAGACATTTTATAGGCACTTGGCAATACTATGTGCATTAGTTTGAAGCCCTTCAGGCTGAAACACGGAAGACATTCTATCAAAGTCAATGCCCTCCAACCCGGACGTATGTTTAAAGATGTCCTGCTCATAAGAGCAGGATGGTTTTCTAATACTATTTATTCAATAATGATTTGAAATTCAATTTCTTCTAAAGTAACCCAGAATATAATTATGGTTTCATTGGAATACTTTAACCAAAATTTTCAGACAAACATTTCTTGGAAAAACCTGAACCCTGTAGCTCATCAGACCCAACACATAGGAAGGAATGTGGAGCCTCACACGTGGATGGTGAACGGATGAAATGTAAAGCTTGATCTGTGCTCTCTTCACGCTGGTGGAATATCAGATCAGTCCGATGAAATAACTGATAAATAATGAGGGTGTGTACGGAAGGCTGCTCTCGTGTATCCTCAGACGTCCCTCTTCTCTCCTCTCTCCTCAGAGCAGGAGTAAGAGCTTTGGGGCGGCCGTCATGATGGCGACGTAAAACCACTTCCTGTTAAAGTGAGGAATCAGCTGATGAGAGACTTTGGATGCACCTAATGACCTTTAGGCTTCCTCCTCAGATCTTTGACGTTGGGGAGAGTTTGTTGGTGCCTGATGAATTCACGGCAGAGGAGAAGAAAACGGGGATGTGGTGGCGACACCTGGTGGCAGGAGGAGGAGCTGGTTGTGTGTCTCGGACTTGCACTGCACCACTGGACCGGCTCAAGGTCCTCATGCAGGTAAAGCATGACACGGAGATGAGCAAGAGGAAGCGACGTTGAGATCTGTGTGAAGCCACGCTGACTGCCCCCCTCCTCTCCCCCAGGTTCACTCCTCAAAGAGCAACAGCATGCACATCACTGGAGGCTTTGTCCAGATGATCCGAGAAGGCGGAGTGAGGTCACTGTGGCGAGGCAACGGCATCAATGTCATCAAAATTGCCCCAGAGTCTGCTATTAAGTTCATGGCCTATGAACAGGTATTCCCTTCACCGCTCTGATCCGTTACACCGTGGATCTCTCACGCTGGCGCATAACGAGAAATGTCCCGTCTGTCAGATGAAGCGATTAATTGGCAGTAACCAGGAGACGCTGGGCATTGCGGAGAGACTGGTGGCAGGCTCTCTGGCTGGAGTGACCTCTCAGAGCAGCATCTACCCCATGGAGGTGAGCGACCAACGAACAGACGGAACAACAAAACAGGATTATACTCATTCTGTAAAGGTTACGTAGCAAATGAGGACTCTGTATGTTTGCGTGTAGAAATATGCGAGTGGATTGTTTGTCTTGTAACGTTTAGCCTCGACCTCATCATGTCAAACTGTACTGTGACTTCACACACAGACCTCCAGTTAGGCACAGTGTGAGCAAGACATGGATGTAAATGTGGTTCATGGGTACACAACCTATTTTAATATGAAGGATCATGCACGGCATGTATATTGATCTGTTTGTTGAAGTCTGAATGATTCGCTCTCAGGTCCTGAAGACGCGGTTAGCTCTGAGGAAGACGGGCCAGTTCTCCGGCATCTTGGATTGTGCCAAACATATCTATCAGAAGGAGGGAGTGGCTGCTTTCTACAAGGGCTACGTCCCCAACATGCTGGGCATCATCCCCTACGCCGGCATCGACCTGGCGGTCTATGAGGTCGGTTGTGCTTGTCGAAGGGATAAGTCGTGGTCTATAGTTGAGTCTTGAGCTCTCTTCTCTCCTCTGTCAGACCCTGAAGAATTACTGGCTGCAGCGCTTCGCCACAGACAGCGCTGATCCGGGCGTGTTTGTGTTGCTGGCTTGTTGCACCACCTCCAGCACGTGTGGCCAGCTAGCCAGCTACCCGCTGGCCCTGGTCAGGACCCGCATGCAGGCCCAAGGTTGGTCACGGCCCAGCTCGGCTGCTCTGTACGGCTACTGTCTGTTTGAATCTCATAACGGTGTGAAATCCATTGATTTGCTATTAGTAATTCATTCAGTCCCAATGATTGGACTTAATGCGTGAACATTATTTTACTCTAAATCTCTTACTTTGTACCTCAGAGCGAGTCCCATGTCAGATTCCACAAACTCGTGATTGCATAAAGTAGTCTTACGTCATCTGTTTCGACCCAATCAGTGCGACTTGTTTATATTTCTGTATTGTAGGATTTGATCTGATAACCTCTTTGTGGCCCAGTAATAACTGGAGGCGCCCACTGGTCTTTTGTAATGCATCTCTAGAGTGGACTTATGACAGTTCACCAAGCAGACTGAAGCCTGGTCCTAGCTACACCCGGCTTAAGTCACAGGCCTTGTACCATGCGTTGCTTCGGTAGATTGTTAACAACCTTGTGCTGTCTTTGCAATGTGTAACTAATCATTCGATGCTTCATGTTAACGTCATTATGAAGATTGGACCATGACTTTACCTTCAGCCAGCACAGATTGACGCCGTGACCTTTAGGTCCAGGTTGAACTCTCGTGTGTATCCCAGACTTATCGTGTGATACAACGCGCGCTGCGTCAGATTTATCATAAACATTTACACCAGCTGTGTTGTTTGTGCTGGCGAGCCACAACTATTCCATCTCAGGTCAGAGGAGCTCAGGAGAAGGCTGCACTCCTCCTTCTGCTGCTGAAACCTAAGATTACGTCCAATAAAAGAATTGCAGAACAGCGTATCCACATCTTCTCACACTGCATAGATCTTCTTTGGTTTGCGTGGCCGTAGTCTTAGCTGATGGTGCAATGGAAGTAACTTTGGTTATGTTGGAACGCCATGTTAGGATCTTAGCTTAAAAACCACATTATCAAAACTTAAAGCTAATGTTTCCGCAAGGACTGCTTTTCTTTCCCTCAGTGTGAATTCTGTGGTTGGCATGGGTCACAGTACTTTAATCATGCACGGGTGCCTCCTGTTTTTACTTCTGTTGTGAGATGATTTTGAATGTGGGCATTGCACATGACGTTCATGGTTCCTAGATTTAGTCGAGTGTCTCCATCCTGCAGCTTCGTGTGCTCAGCCCGTCTTCCTCTGTCTCCCTCAGCTACCTTGGAGGGGGGCCCTCAAATGAGCATGACGGCTCTGTTCAGACACATCATCAGGACTGAGGGACCCAAGGGACTCTACCGAGGCTTGGCGCCCAACTTCATGAAGGTCCTTCCATCTGTCAGCATCAGCTATGTGGTGTACGAGTACCTCAAGATCCGGCTGGGGGTCCAGTCAAAGTGAGGAGGGACATCACGGGGGCTGAGAATTCATTTTGCTTTTCTTTTGAGGCGAAGGTTTAATGTGTGTCGGCTTCTAAGAAACAAACAACATATTGATATAGAATATATTGAAATCGATTATGATATTCTAGTGTTTCAAAGGATGAATGTGAAAGAAGAGGAATCCGAACTTAAAAGATAAGATCGAGGAAAGCTTAACTGTTTTAAGCAATCCAGATTTATGACGAACCGATTGATATTCAACCCTCTGTCTAGATAGATATTCCTCTATCGGTTGATAGATAGACATCCATATATATATAATGCATATATATAATTGATTGATTGAAGTAGTGTAGTTGAGGACGGTGTGGCAGGAGCAGTGCTGCAGGTCTCGTCGTCGTCTTAAAGGGCTTTGCTATGGCAGATCACAAACTCTGAAAATAAAACCTGCTCCCTCTCTACTTAATTGAGCTCATAAATTAAGTAGGTTGAACTAATTAATTTCTAAAATACTTTACATCAAATTTGATTTGACAAGATAATGGAACTTTTAATGTTCCTTTTGATCCTCAAGATTCACCGCTTCCTCGGTCGCTCCAAAGACGTCGCGCTGTATTCAGTCAGCGACGTGTGAGCACGAAGAGCTTTTGATGTGATCAAAACGATCGAGTCAGTGTTTGTTTGGGTAAAAAGGTAAAACTGTCAAGTGTCTCAGAAGCCTCTCTGGGAGTCTTTTCACATGTTTAACTTGGACATCAGGAAAATAGTATGATTAGCTGGATCACTAAGGGGTTTTTCACTTGTGTGTTGGCTACATTCTCAATGATGTAATTAAATAGACCTTTAAGTCCTATTGGAGGACTGGTGTCTGTGTCACATGAAGCGGAGTCCTATGAGTGCCTTATGTGCCTCTCTTACGTAAATGCACTAAATCACTACAAAGGTGGGGTCTGTGAAATGGTGAATGCACTTTAAGGTACTCTGCTTTAATTCATGTTTTATTGTTATTTATGTATTTATTTTAACAGAAAAAGGAGTTTGTGATCTATTAGTAGTGCTGAAATTGATATTCAGGTGCCTTTTAGGGTGATCTGTTAGTGTTCAATACTAAAACAAACCATGAATGAATGCTGTAAAATATGTAACCCATGCTTTGTAAAATGATTGGAGACATTATTAAAATGTGATTCATTGCATTTTGTTATTTGTTGGATAGTTTTATTTCATCATAGACTTAAATGATGCATTTTCCATCTGACGAGTTTTAAAACACGCATTTTTACTTAAGAAGTGGGAGAGATTTTTCACACAGCCATAAACTTTCTACAACCTCATATCACTGGAGTAAAGTTTACAATATATATATTTTAAAGATGTAGTGAGGGAGAAGTAGAAAGTATTATTTGAATGAAATACTGAAGTACCTTAATCAGGAATCAGGAAACATTTATTGCCATAATATGTCAGACATACAAGGAATGTGACTTGGCGGTTGGTGCATAACAGCAGACAGTACGACAACACAACAGTGCACAAGGAATAAAATGTAATGCTATGGGTTAGTTCAAAAATAAAGGAATAAAAGTTAGAAATATTTAAAAATAAAGTGCACCAGCAAACAAAGTGACGTGTGCAGTGTGAAAGAAAGGGACCGGTGGAATGTTATAGTCAGGCAGTGGGGGACCGGCTCTGTTGATGAGCCCGACTGCCGACGGGAAGAAACTGTTGGTGTGGCGGGAGGTCTTAGTCCTGATGGACCTCAGCCTCCTGCCAGATGGAAGGGGCACAAACAGGTTTTGTCCTGGGCGAGAGGGGTCGGCTACCATCTTTTTAGCTGCTTCAGAGACCTGGAAGCGAACAAGTCCTGCAGGGACGGCAGGTTGCAGCCGATCACCCTCTCTGCAGAGCGGAGGACACGCTGCAGCCTGCCCTTGTCCTTGGCTGTGGCTGCAGCGTACCAGACGCTGATGGAGGAGCAGAGGACGGACTCCATGATGGCCGTGTAGAAGTGGACCATCATCGTCTTTGGCAGGTTGAATTTATTCAGCTGCCTCAGGAAGAACAACCTCTGCTGAGCCTTCTTGGTGATGGAGTCCAGGAAACGGAAGGAATCCACAATAGTGACGGGGGAGTCACACAGGGTGATGGGGGAGGGTGGGGCTCTGTTCCGCCGGAAATCCACAACAATCTCCACTGTCTTTAGAGCGTTGAGCTCCAGGTTGTTCTGACTACACCACGACACCAGATGGTCAGACTCCCACCTGTAGGCGGACTCGTCCCCACCAGAGATCAGTCCAATGAGGGTGGTGTCATCCGCAAACTTCAGGAGCTTGACGGACTGGTGGCTGGAGGTGCAGCTGGTGGTGTACAGGGAGAAGAGCAGAGGGGAGAGAACGCAGCCTTGGGGGGAACCGGTGCTGATGGTCCGAGAGGCTGAGACATGTTTCCCCAGCTTCACGTGCTGCTTCCTGTCAGACAGGAAGTCAGTGATCCACGTCTGCCAGGCGGAGTTCATTCATGGAGTGGGGCTTTTGGCTTGTAGTTTGTTACATTGATTTAGTTGAGTAAAGCCCAATCGCAATCTCCCCCTGACCCTTGACCCCTCAGGGACGTCACTGACATGTCCTGGTAAGTGGTTGAGTGTGTGAGTCTGAGGTTTAAATGGTGTAAATATGAATGGGACAGCAATTTGCTGCCTCACGTCGCCATGACAACGTAAAAAATGATTTACAATTGAGTGTATTTATTTCATACTTTTTACTCTTATTTGAATGTCTTCCAGGCTCTTTCCTCATAACAGGATCATTTTAAGATTACATTTCTACAGGGCTTTATTTCTTAAATTGCTTCAATGACAAAATTAGACATTTTATGAATAAATTGGTAAATATTGACTGATCCTGTGGGGTTCTTTATCTTTGACCATTAATGTTTTAAAAGTATACATTTCAATATGACAATGAACGCACGTGTGCGACCTCTTTGTTTACCTATTTTTTACACATGCTTTACCTGGTTGGTTATCCCGTTTTTAACGTCACATCGCAATGACTTATGGGTAATCCCCTCGGCCAAAGCCAGCTTCTAATGCTGACTTACGGAGAGAGTTCACAGAAGCTCAACATGTCTGCCGGAGAGCACCAAACTAGACAGAACCAACTCCTCGCTGCGCCATTAAAAGCCCATGTTTGCGCCCAAATGGACCGAGCCGCTGGTCTCCAGGAAGCCGCTGGGCGCGTGCACGCAGGAAGCGCGTGCAGAGGGGCACTTCCTGCACGCTCCGCACAGCGGGGGGGCTGCTGCTGCTGCTCGAGCGCGCGCGTGAGTTGGTGAGCGGTCAGCTGACGAGGCGCCGAGTCAGCGCGCGTCGGGTCCCGTGGCTCTGCGCGCTGAGCGGAAGCGTGAGAGCCTGAGGTCCGCGTATCCGGTTCTACCGGAGTCCTGCGAGCTGCAGACGGCGTTCGAGCGTCCTGGCTGGCTGTCCGTTACGGGGACACGACATGCTGTCCTTTGAAGGAGCGAAGCGGAGCCTGGAGAGCGCAGGGCAGGCTCACGTCCTGCAGTTTTGGCCCGAGCTGGGTGAGGGGGAGAGACGCGCTTTCCTCCAGGAGTTGTCCCAGCTGGACCTGAAGGGCCTGCGGGATCACTGCGAAGGAGCCGCGAGAGCCGCCGCCTTCCCGCCCTGCAGCCTGGATGAGCACGTGGAGCCCGTTCCCGCCGAGTCCATCGGCAGCGCGAGGACCGGCGACGAAGACTCGCTGGCAGCTTGGGGGAATGAAGGTGAAGGCTCCCGGTAACCGGAGAGGGAAGCCGGAGAAAAGGAGAAAAGGCTTCGCTCACTCTGAGCAAAAGGATAGTTCTGTACCAACGTTCTTCACTTTTATACTCGAAATGCTGCACAGCTCTTTTGACGGCTCTGACCGTTACTCAACATCAGTTTTCATGATTTAATTTAATTTAACATTAAAACATACGCTTACTTTATGAGTAAGAGTTATGCGCTCCATGGGGGGGGCATCTAAGAGGGCTCACAAGGCCAAACTGTATTCCACTGTATATACACTGTGTCGAGAGATTTACCTCTTCATAACTTTATAACATTTCTGATTCAATAAGCAGAGAATGGAAACCTGGTTTAGTGGCTCATACTGTGTGTCACTCACAATAACTGGTTCTACTGAAGCTTTCCCACAGCGTTATGGCAGCCGTAACCGGCCAAATGTTATATTCCAGCTTTAAACCCTTTTTCCCACGTGTCCAGTATTACGGATGGTGTTTAAAGGCCCTGCTGCTCCTGTCACCTCCTCTTTTGACAGGCCTTCTGCAGATCTCAGAGAATCGAGTTGGAGTCCTGCTCTTGGCTGGTGGTCAGGGGACCCGTCTTGGTGTTCAGTATCCAAAAGGGATGTATGACGTTGGACTACCAAGCGGCAAAACCTTGTATCAAATGCAGGCAGAGCGCATTCACAAAATCCAGCAGCTGGCTGACAGAAAGTTTGAGTCTGCATGCACCGTTCCATGGTAAGATCATACGATGGGTCTTCCTCCACTTCTCCCATCATGTGTAGGCTGATGCTGACTATGAAAGAATGAATAAATGAAATGTTAGCTGCTATATCTGCCCTACAAAGCCTGCAGGCAGTACATATTGTATCAAACAATATGTAGTAAATTCAATATGCTATTGATTTGAAACCAAAAGTTAAACCAGAGAGCATTTGAGTTTGTATATGAGGAAACGGTCACATCTGCTTACGATTCTAATTGGATTCCTGTTCGGTGTGGTTAAGCTATTTTGACATACTCATGTATTCATACGATACATTGTGAATGAATCACTTCTATTGGTTTTGAGGTATTAACAAAATTGTTTCGTGGAAAGCTGAAGGAACAGATTGTTGTATCACGTTTCTTTTCCCCATTAAATTCCTTCAAAGATTTTCCAAAAGGCAGTTTTTAGGTCGCATCGATGGTCTACGTCGGACGTCCATATTTTATGTTTTAGAATTTAGAATTTATCAAAGGAGTTGTAAAATTAATTTAGATAAAAATATACAATGTCCAAACACGTATGTCTGGGCATACGTTTCCATGGTGAGAAAAACCATGGAGCAAAAGTTCCGGGATGGAGTATTTGGTATTTGTGGAGCTGGGGGGGACTGTACAGTATTAGCGACCTCTCACATCCCCCATTAGTTCATGTTTGTGACCAAGACGTCTCGTGCTCCTGTTTCAGGTACATAATGACCAGTGAGTTCACTCTGGCTCCCACTGAGAAGTTCTTCAAGGAGAACAACTACTTTGGTCTGCAGCCATCAGACATTGTGATGTTTGAGCAAAGGATGATCCCAGCAGTGACCTTTGACGGAAAGGTCATCCTTCAAGGGAAAGGGAAGATAGCCATGGCCCCAGGTAGGTGCCCACCAGGGTGTACATGCACTACAATGATGGTAATAATTGAATACGGTTCTAGTGAACATAGGGGGGGGTGCGCCTGTCAGGGTAGTGTGAAGAACAAGTTCTGATGTTAAAACAGATCCTTTTCTGATTGTATTTTTATTTTATTTTTTATAAATCATTGTTATGCAACCAATGCACTTTCTGATGTGTTTTCTTCACTTCGAATTTGCTGTTCTGTTTTAGAATAAAGGGTTGGCAATGCTTTTTAAATGCTGTTTTTTATCCGATTAATCGAAAAAAGAATTGCCCGATTAATCGATTTTCAAAATAATCGCAGCCCTACACCAGACAAATACCAGGTAGTGAATCCAATGCATGTTCAGGATAGTTTGGGGTAATGATTCAAAACCTCCACTCCCTGGCAGATGGTAATGGTGGTCTGTACCAGGCACTGGTGGACAACAAGGTGCTGGAGGACATGAAGAAGAGGGGAGTGGAGTACCTACATGTGTACTGTGTGGACAACATCCTGGTGAAAATGGCCGACCCTGTGTTTATTGGGTTCTGTGTGAGCAAAGGGGCTGACTGCGGAGCCAAGGTAGAGTATGAACATACAGTACATATGAAAGAGTCCATTTAAAGTGTGGCTCAATATTTTGGGAATATGCTCATTTACCTTTTGTATCTGAGAGTTAGATGAGAATATTGATTTCATGCCTGTGCATTACACACAATGCTGGAGTAGAGAGGCGTCCTCTTTACATTTCAGTTTGTGTTGAGATTCAAAAGAAATGTGCTAATCGGAGAGCTGTAGCGGTGCTGGAAGTGTTTTTGATCTTTGGACAGAGCTGGGCTAGTTGTTCACACAGTTTTCTGTAGGCTACGCTTAGTCAAGCATCATATGTCAACATGGGCTGTCTTTCTAGTTCTAGCTAGTTGCTGTGCACAAAACAGCGTTTTCTGCACTAAACTCACAGAAATGATCAATCTACCCACCTCACTCTTGCATATAAATCCAAACAATTGTATTTGTATGTATAAATTGGTTGTTTCCTATTAAAAGAAAAGCAGTATGCCACTCACTGCACCAGCCACCTTTTGATTTGATCGAGATTGTTCCTTTAGTTATTTTGAGCAGTGTAGTTGTGCCTTTTTATTGGATGTCTGTGCCAGTCATGAACTCGTCGTAACAAGTAACAAGAAGCACCATATCATTGCTGGTCTAGAAGTAAGAACCGCTTACGTCAGCGGCTGGGGGCGGGGCTACCGTGACCAACAAGACGAGAGAAACTTTGTGATCTGCCATTTTTTGATAGCAGCTAATCGAGCTAACAACAACACAACAACGAATAAAGGCGAGCCGCGCGAACATGTTTGATCCGCCGTGTTTGGATGTCAATGTAGGTCCGCAAAGCCATGAACATCAAAAGCAAAGCAACGTCCGCCATTGTTGATGATGTCTTTGTGTTTGGCACCGCCGCTGTAACGTTGCTGGGAAAGATGAGACGTAACTGTGACGTAGGACTTGGCTCTGCACTGGCTCTTTAGCCTGTGGAAAAGCAAACTGGTACTTTGGAGGCTCGTCAGTTGAACCAACTCCGAACCGGCTCTAGCTCTGGCTCCGAACCAGCACCTGGTTCTTGTTGGTGGAAAAGGGGTATTAGAGTGCATTTTTAACCCCTTGGCTTTTTTACATTTTTTCCTGGGGAGCAATTAGGGGTTAGGTGTCTTGCTCAGGGACACTTCGACAGACAGGGGCAGACGGGGTTCAAACCACCAACCCTGCGGTTCCCAGCACACCTTCTCTACCCCTGCGCCGCGACGACCCTTGTATCCAACGGCAGGAGAGACCCAAACGGGTAGTGAATTGAAAATATCTGGCCGAAGCTTCTGCCCACCCAGCTTTAACTCCCACCTTTGGTGGGATCTCCCTGGTGGGGGACGCTGCCATCAGTTGTGGACACAATGTGGGGCTGCCTGTCTAGCATGTGACCTGAGAACCCGCTGGTAGACACCAGTTATGAAGGAGGCCTTTCCGGCTCTGCATGGCTGAAGCAGCAGTCCGGCCCTAGAAGGCCATAACGCCTTGCTGTTGTTGGTTGTTACGGGGGCGAGGTCCTGCGTTTGGTCATTTGGGTAGACCAGGGAGACGGTTCACCTCATTGAAGTATGGAGTGCTGTTGACCCTGAGTGGAGACATAGAGGAAGTCCGTGCTCTCCACTCACCCGTACTGAGTGGGACGGTAAATAGGATTTGGAATCAGGGGTTAGTTTGAGGCAGAGAGTTTTGGTTACGGTGAAGGTCAGATATAAAGGTGGGGCTCTGGTTGTGATTAGGAACTAAAGCGGCGTGGGAACAGTCAACCACCTCTCGTTACAGGGTTGGCCTGAACTTAGCCAGCAGCAGGTTGCGAAATGGCCTCGGGTCCTCGCTGGGTAAACGGATGGCTTATTTTAAGAGCTTCTCTCCTCAAACTTATTTAACAATCCTCACGCTCATCACACTTTCTCTGATGTTTAAATCATATTTAGTTTGTTCTTCAGTAATTAAAGACAACAAATTAAGACCAATGTTTGGAAAGTCATGGGAGCTTCCAGTAACAATACATCTCAAGGGTCAAATTGTATAAAGTAAAATAAATCTGGCCTCTTGTCTGTATCCTGTCAGGTGGTGGCTAAGGTGCACCCTGCTGAGCCAGTGGGCGTGGTCTGCCGTGTGCAAGGCGTGTCCCAGGTAGTGGAGTACAGCGAGATCCAACCGGAGACAGCGGCGCTCCGAGGACCTGGAGGGGAGCTGGTGTACAGTGCTGGAAACATCTGCAACCACTTTTTTACAAGGAGCTTTCTGCAGGATGTAGCAGAGTAAGTCTTCACTGCGCCGTGTGTTGGTAGGATCGTCCCGTAAGCCCAGTGTGCGATTCACATCGAAGAGGTACATAGATGACACCATAGCTTGCAAAGTGCAACAGGATGTGCCCATCGATGAGGGTAATGTAACGTTTTTCAGTCTGCAATAATTTAGTAATTGAATCCTAAAGAGCAGGTGTGCTCCTAATCTAGGGGTCTGTTTTAGATTCATTTACCCTTTTAAAAACATTGACGTGTGCGCGCGCATTTTGATTGCCTTCTGTCTTTTTACTCTCATCTTACAGGGTGTATAAAGGGCAACTGAAACAACATGTTGCCTTTAAGAAAGTGCCCTTTGTTGACACATGTGGCAATCCAGTCAAACCAAGCAAACCCAACGGCATTAAGATGGAGAAATTTGTTTTTGATGTCTTTCCATTCTCAAGGTATTGTTGGTTATTGTATTGTAAATTCAGATAACGACGTCTGTCAGTGCCTCTAAACTAATGTAATACTAATATAATAAACAAATATGCTGGTCTTTGGAAGGAACTTTGTGGCCTTCGAGGTTGTACGTGAGGACGAGTTTTCCCCGCTGAAAAATGCGGACGGAGCGGCAGTCGATAGCCCAACCACGGCCAGAAACTCTTTGCTGGCTCAACACTGCCGCTGGGCAACAGCCGCAAAAGCCACGCTGTTGGATGAACGAGGGAATCGCCTTCCCCCTTCAGACAGGTCAGAGTTCCTAAATACTCTGATCCCAGCTTAAACCGTTCAACCTGGAATTTGCCTGGAAAAGTAGAACGAACGACGTTAATGATGGCAAGATACTTTCCATAAGAAAGTCACGTAGTTTTATTTTTATAAAGCAGCCTACCAGTACCTCCAAAGCTACACTACATGGTATTTCTTATTTGTTTAATCCACATGTAAAAATGGCTAGTTGTTTTTTACGGGGATCAATCCTGAGAAAAAAGATGATGGCAGGATGCGTAGACGTGTATATGTTTCAATGTGCATCTGGACTGGTGGTCGTCGTGCTTCCGTCCCTAAAATCTGAAATAAAAATGATTCTACAGTGTGTCAGCGGGGGACAACCCCCCAGCACAGTGTGAGATTTCCCCACTGGTCTCCTACTTCGGTGAGGTAAGCATATTCTATACATAGCCTATTTTATTCCGTATAGTTAAATTTGTAAATCGAACATGCCATGTTCTTGCACTATGTTGTCTTGTTGTCCATTGTCTTACTGTCTGATGTTACTCACCAACCGCCATGTCAAATTCCGCGCAGGCGTACGTCTAACATACTTTGGCAATAAATGTTCCTGATTCCTGAAAGTGCCGTCTGACCCACATATAAACATTAAGGATATTAGAGATAAATGTACTGATTGGGTTACAGCAAACCTTTTCTGTCACAACCCTCTGTGAGGATATAGGGACGTTGTGAGGAATCACTGGGTTACAGTAGTGAAACATGTGAAGGTTATTTGAATGAAAGATAATTCCATTTCTCAGCTTATTATTAGATGAATTGTGGCCACTGAATGCTTCTACGCAGTATTTCTATCCCATTCCAGTCGTGTCATTGACTTCCTTCTGCCTTCTGCCAGGGGCTGGAGCAGCTGCTCAAAGGGAGGACGCTGACAACTCCTCTCATCCTCGATGAAGAACTGTCCAAATGCCTGCAGGCTCAGCGACACTGCTCTGATGAATAGACCGGAGCAGATGTCAAGCTCTGCAGCCAGTCTGGATGGAGGTGTTTAGAAGTATCGGCCCAAGAAATCACAGTTTTTATACATCTTTGAACTGTATGTGAAGATAATAAATAATTCTGTCAAAGAGAATGAGCTAGAAATCTTTTGATGTGATGTTTTGGGAATTCATTTTAAGTTGTTTGCTTCTACTTTTACACGTTTACTTTTCTTGGGTATATTACATGAGCGTTTTGTGTCACTGGATATTATCGTGGTCTGCATGACTCGTCACTGTAACCGATGAAGGCCTCTCTTTTGTAGTCCTTCTTCAGAGAAATGCTAGTTTCACCGCTGCAGGCTGACGTCACTAACAAGCGTCTCCCGTCGCATCCGAGCTACGTAGCTTAGTGAAATTGAGGTCTGGCTGGATGTGAATAGTCCCAAAAATGACCTCATGAAGTCTATTCATTGACCTCAGTGAAAAACCTCACAGGGTCAAAGAAAGATGGTCAGGAGAATTCACGAGGAGTTAGGAAAAGACTACAATGTATTGAATATTTCTCTGTAATGTAGCCTCCATAAACACTTTATTGAGACATCGAATACTATGAGCCTAATCACTATTGATGTAGACACCGATGAGGTTCAGGTAGATTTAACATTTAATGTATTGTGATGTTTGTGCTTTTGAGTGGACAAGGACGCTTCTACCTCAAGAGTAACAAGCAGACAAACGGTAGGCGATGCAGTATGGTGTAAAACAACAGTTCTGAGTTCAGTGTTTACCTCGATAATGTTTTATGTGCGTCTTCTATCCAATATCCAACAATATTTTGGTGTAATCCAGTAAAGTTCAGCAGAACCACAAACTACAGCTGTATCGTCTTTAGAGTGACGTTGACAGTCCAGAACAGTATTTAAATGCATTAGCATGGTGACGTCATCATCAGTGCTGTAGTGGTAAAATTAGAGATGGGTAAACTCTGAATTTTGTGATCATACAGACCTCGACGCGATGCGAAGCAACGCAACACAAGGCGTCGCGACTGTAAGGCTGTCCTGGCTATATTGCATTATGTTATCAGTAAAAGTCATATACAATCAATGACAAGGAATAAATGTGTATGACCAACATAGGTTAAGGGAACACTCATGTCCTCCCTATGTCATCATAAATGGCCTATACAGCATGTTTTTTTCACATGGAGAACTGACTTGTTTTCTAATCTACGCGTCCCCAGGCGTTTTTCTTTTGCGGGGCACGCCCTGGGAACACAGGGCGCGGGACTACTACCCCCCCCCCCCCCCCGTCGGACCTTCTCGACCGGTCCGCGAAATATTGTCTGACATGAAACCGGTCCGTGAGGTAAGAAAGGTCGGGGACCACTGGGCTGATACAGCTACAGCCCTGTCCGTACCTACCTCATCTCGTGCTGTGAAGATGATGGGTAGCCTAGATTGTTTTTTTGTAACTTGCACATGAGGGAGAAGGGAAACGCTTTAGTGAGACTGGTGTTAAGTTAATGCTGTTTTCTCATACTGAGAAAGATTTCGTTTTGGTAAACTGTCAATGCTCTATAAATCATATCTTGATCCGGATGAAACCTTTACCCATATCTACATTTTAGATGCAGATTTGAAAATGCTTTATTGCGAAATGTGTAACAGGAAACCCGAACATGTCACAATCTAACGGCTTTTCTACCGGGTCCCTAATGAGCGTTCATGTGCTTGCTCGAGCGATCACGAGCCTCATCTTACAGGCCTGACAAGCCCTAAGTCCCCTAATGCAGCGCTCAGGTCCTCTGCAGGGTGGGTGTTTCCCTCTTTGTTTCAGGGTTGAAGAGCATCATTAGCCTAAACATGAATGTTATTACTAGGAGGGCCCGGGTGAAGGAGAGTTGCAGTTTTCATATTTCACATTAAATAATACATACAGCATAATGCATCCTCTGATGATGAATGCCTACAGTCAAAAGGTCAAAAGCATACAGTGATTGGCTCTATGTAACGCAGGGAATACTGATGGTCAATCATAACCTGCGAAATAAGTGGGTGGGATCATTAAAAAAACCAATCACTAGGTGGCAGCATATTACATTGCATCACATGTCATTTAGCTGACGCTTTGCGACTCACAATAAGTGCTTTCAACCATAGGGGTACAAACTCAGAACAAGAAGAGAACAAGAAACAAGAAAGTGCAATTTCCTCAAATAAGCCAATTTACAATTTGCTATAGATGGGTGGCGTTACGAGTACAATTTAAGTGCTACAATAGTCTTTTAGTCGAGGTAGAGTCTTTACCCCCGCAGACACTCATTTTTAACACACATGGTTATTTTTCATGCATTCCCTTCACGCACAGTTGTCTTTTTGTAACCTGCATTGTATGACAACAATAGGTTGCATATATATTCTTAATTTGTGTAAATCCCTGTAAATGAGTGCTACAATACGTCTTCACTGTGACGCACACTACTCAACAATACTCCACATGAGTCATCTCATGAGTTTGTTGGAGACGGTTCACATATTGCATGGTCATTCTTTTTCCTGCATGCCCTGCTCTCCATTTTGAACTGAGAAAGCCATGTTCCTAATAGTAGAGATGCAGACAATGTATTTGATTAATTATTGTTCTCTTAATGCAGTTAAACAAAATATATATGCTGCATGTTTGCCTTTTACGATGAAGACTTCTTAATCCCGTAGACTGTGGACGTCCTTGTTGATCGTTGAGCCGGCTTGTCAGGCAGCGATCGCTCTGACCTTCTCCACCTACCTGGTCCAGCCCTTCTACTCCACCTGCACAGCCCCTTATGCTGCTGTCCGTCTCACCGCCGCCGTCATCATATGTAAGTCTCTCCCTGTACTAAGCACACTTGCATGCTCTGCTTGATCGGTTGTACGTTTTTAATACTGCCTGCGGTTGTGCACGCTTGTGTTTGCAGTAAATGTTTTGTGAATCTCGTTAAGTCAATTGCAAACTGTTGAGTTTAGGAGATTTCGCAGCAGCTGTAAGGTAGTTCTAAGCAGCGCTACCAGTACATGTTGAATCATGCATGCTGCATTTAAATAGATGCCACATTATATTACAGCCGCCTCACTTGGGCTTTGTTTTCTTTTCAATTAGAGGGATATGTGTGTAAATACACTTAATACTTGGTTTCCTTTTAACTCAGCCTTAAATGTACCAGGCTGGTTTAGTGAATAGAAACCCTAAATATTTGTTATGTGCAGGGCCAAGAATGAAGTCACATCCAATTTAAGGTTTTAAAGATTTTTTTTTCACAAAGCCTAAAAAAGACCACGATTGTGTATTTGCACGTTTGGTGTGTTTCCGTACACACACACACGCATCTTAAAACAAATGCTGCAACACAGACACCGCATAAAGCACACAACTCTCTCCGTTGCGGTTTTAGCTCAAAGGGAGCCAGCGAGCTCAGACGGGATCATTTGAGAAAATAATTCTGCTGACGTAACCGCTTCATGAGCAGGTGTTTAACGGCTGCAGCCGTGTGACTCGCCGTGCAGCACGTGGCTCACGCTTGGCCCCCGCTTGGCTGCATGCGTCTGCCTGAGATGCTGGAATGAATTTGTTGTGCCGCAACTTTTAGGTCTCAGGTCAGTAGTGTTTTTTGCTATTTGTAAACTGCTTTCGTCCCCCCTCTTCTCTCACCAGGTCTGCTGACCTTTGTGAACTGTATGAAAGTGAAATGGGGGGCCAATCTTCAGGTCATCTCCACTGTAGCGAAGGTCCTTCCTCTCATCGTCATCGTCATTACTGGGCTGGTGAAGCTCGCACAAGGTAGGAAAACAAAACTTACCATGAGCAAGAAGGACAAATGTGCAGGGAAGTTATCTGAAGATTACAATAACTAAAATGTAAGACATTAGACGTTAAATATTCAGGAATGATTTAGCCTTAAATGATACTTCTTTATGTCCTGGACGAGTCAAACAACCCTGTGTCGATGTAGGTTTTGACCAGAACTTCGAGGGCTCGTTCAAATGCCCCAAACTGAACCCTGGTGACATGGCCCTGGCCCTCTACTCAGCGCTGTACTCCTACTCGGGCTGGGACACGCTGAACTTGTTAGGGATTTAAGCCAGAAGTGCACCCCTAGTCAGGAAATTATAGTACGTGTAATAATGTTTAGTGTTAGAATTATAGTTTGTGTGATGTTAGATATTAGTTATTACATTAACATGTTAGATGAAGTGAATGCAATTTCAATCAAACACAATTCATAGTCATTTAAATCATATAAACACTGTACACATTAACATTCTGTCACAATGTGATGTTAAAACCTGGGGACGGATGCCAATTGCCGTTCTTTATGGATTTCTCCCAATTTTATCCCCAAAGAGGGTTTTTTGGGAGTTTTTTCTCCTGTCAGGTAATAAATGAACAACTTCATGTAAGGCAGCCGACTGAGGCAAATGTCTTGAGAATTGAACCACACGAACTGTCTTAGATCTTATGATGAAGTGTGATGAACGGTGATCATTAATGATGGGTTGTTGTAATGAAAGTGTACTAGTTATAAGATGAAGACTTAAACGCTGTATGCTTTGTTAGATTCACTCATTGAGGCATAAAGCCGAATGTATCTACATTGAGTGCATTGGAATGTGAGGGACAGCTAGTACAGTGAGGTTTCAGGTTACAGCTGCAGCTTCACACCTCGACGTGGAAGGGACAATGGAGGAGGTGACCCTTTGGAGAAGAAGCCAATGACATTCAAATGCACCAAGGAAGACACACCTCAAGAGTTTTCAAAGGACCATGGCGGGGAAAGACTGTTAGAATTTCTCCTGCAGCCGCGTTGATAAGTCACTTCAGACTTGCTCAGAGGATTCTCTATTTCGCGAAATATTCCACTGTTCGCTTAGTATTTCACTTTGTAATTGTAATCCCTATTACGTTGTTCAGTTATTAAATAACTTTTGATTTTTGAATTTAAACGAATTGACTCATTCGTGTCCTCGTTTCCGGCCGGGACGAGAACAAGGATTGAGGCCTCCCTCGAGAGCTTCCGAAACCCTAACAAACTTCATCACAGAGGAGATCAAAAACCCAGAGAGGTACGAGGTCGCTTTCTTATTAGTCATAATAAGTAATCAGACTTGTGCGTTGGTGGACACCAGCACAAAGCAGCCAAGTCAACCCGCTAATATAACGGCAGGTATCTGCCAATATGTTCCACGCTTGTCTCCTCAAGGCTTTGACAGGGATTTTTCTTTTTCCAAGAAGAACCATGTGGTGGCGGGCGTGGTTTGGCTCGGCTGCAGGGGGGACGGAGAAAGGAACCACTGTTCAGGGAACGGTGCCGGGGGAGGCAATTGGCCTCAGTTGAAATTAATCAGTGTTGGTATTCTGCCTGTTAAGTAGGAGAGATCCGGCGACAGCAGTTAAACAAGGTACGTGTGTAAAATGTATTCTATAAAATACTAATATACCGGTGTGGCGGCCCAAGGGCCACTGCCAGGGTATTTGTGGCTGTGTCCCTGTCTGTGGGTGTTACAGGGTGAACTTCCTGGTGGAGTGGAGCTGAGGCCATCAGGCAGATCAGACCCAGCTGGCCACTGTCTCTTGAGTGCATTAAAACCTGCCCCTTCCTGAGTGTTTGAGGGTGACTGCTGGTTTTCTCCTGTTCCGCAGCACAATGGCGTGTTTCCTTTGCTGTGTTTTGTTTGTTTAACCAGTTACTTTGGTGAATAAAGATCTTTGGCTGGTAATCCCTGGAGCGTGGTTTCCTCTATTTGTTGTGGCCTTTGAGCCAGACCATAACACCGGTACATGCAAAAACCTACAAAGGTTTGATGATAAACTATCACAGTTCACACTAGGCGATATGTCACCATTCACACTCACATTCAAACGTACATACATACAATTATATATACAAATATAAATGCATTCTCTTTACCTCACACTTAACATGAACCATCACAGTTCACATTGTCAGGTCATCATTCACACTCACATACAGACATACGGAGGCAAACAATGGTAAATGGTAAATGGCCTGTACTTGTATAGCGCTTTTCTAGTCTTCTGACCACTCAAAGCGCTTTAACACTACATGACATCATTCACCCATTCACACCCATTCATACACTGATGACAGGAGAACCACACACAGTGACACCTGCCATCAGTAACTACCATTCACACACTGTAGTCGCAGCTACAGGAGCAATGTTGGGTTAAGTGTCTTGCCCAAGGACACAACGGCATGCGGGTTAGCCGGGCCTAAACCACACATACATGCAAAAACCTACATTGGTTTGATCATGAAGATGAATATTTACCCCTCGCTAGAAGGGGATGTCTTATTCTGTTCATCTGTTGAGTTGCGGTTGATTGGATGTGTCTTTTGAATACAACTAAAAGCCATATTCAAATACAGTCATATTTGGTGTAAGTCTTTGTACCTGATTAGAAGGGACGAGGTGCGGTGTATTGGAAATCATTGAAACGGTTTGACTGGCTGCAATTCAAGTCTGAACTCCAGCTGTTAGTAAGCACTGCCGTGGCGATGCTGATGGCAGCATAACATCCTACGTTCACCAGACCTTTAGCAAGGCCAGACCAACTTCTGGCCTGAACCGGTGTCTCCTCCGTCTCATCCATGGGTGTCTCCTCCGTTCTGAATTGTTGGATCTCTGACAGATATTGGTCGTTGGTCTGTTTAAGTAGTTGCATTTGCTCATTTTTCTCCGAGATTGTTCTGTAACATGTTTCAACTTGACTCTGAAGGTCATCAAGATGCTCAGTGACTTTGGTGTGTTCCCTCTCAGCGATCAGGCTCTGGTTCTTCATAGTTCGGTTTTCCTCAACTAGCGCGTTAACATTTGCCTCCAGATTAGAAATCTTTGCCTGATTTCGATCTTTCTCAGATGTCACGCAGGCCAGTTTATCACCAAGAACCTTATTGTCATTGATCAAAGCGTCCTCTCTTTTCTCGGATTGCAGAGCAAAAGCCGAATGATATTTGATCGTTCTGTCTAGTTTCTCATTCAAGTCTTTAAATTGGGTCAAATTCTCGTCATTTCTTTGGTGAGCTTCCTCTTCACTCTGCTTATGGGCAGCGCTAATTCTAGAGAGCTCTTCAAAGTCTGTTTCAATTTTAGCGTTCTGTCGATGAAGGTCATCATTCATTTTCGATTTCTCTGCAAGTTTCCTCTCTGCTTCTTTTAGATGTTCTTTTGAAATGTCTTCATTCTCCCTGAGTGAAGATATTTCCGATTGCAGACGATCAATTTCCCTCTGGCTCACAACAAACAATTTACTTTGTTCCTCCAACTTGATTTTAAGTTGTGATATCGTACCCGTTGCTTCATTATTTGTTGTAGAAAGATGCTCAGTGACTTTGGTGTGTTCCCTCTCAGCGATCAGGCTCTGGTTCTTCATAGTTCGGTTTTCCTCAGCTAGCGCTTCAACAACTGCTTCCAGATTAGAAATCTTTGCCTGATTTAGATCTTTCTCAGATGTCACGCAGGCCAGTTTATCACCAAGAACCTTATTGTCATTGATCAAAGCGTCCTCTCTTTTCTCGGATTGTAGAGCAAAAGCCGAATGATATTTGGTCGTTCTGTCTAGTTTCTCATTCAAGTCTTTAAGTTGGGCCAAATTCTCATGATTTCTTTGGTGAGCTTCCTCTTCACTCTGCTTATGGGCAGCGCTAATTCTAGAGAGCTCTTCAATTTTAGCGTTCTGTCGATGAAGATCATCATTCATATTCGATTTATCTGCAAGTTTCCTCTCTGCTTCTTTTAGATGTTCTTTTGAAACGTCTTCATTCTCTCTGAGTGAAGATATTTCCGAATGCAGATAATCCATCTTCCTCTGGCTCATAACGATCAATTTACTTTGTTCCTCCGACTTGATTCTAAGTTGTAATATCGTTTTCTTTGCTTCATTGAGTTTCCTTTGGGTGTAACGGGCTTCGGTTTGAGATATCCGCTTTTCTTTTGGGACAACAAACGTCTCAGTTACCTCCCGTGGAAGCGTCCTTCCACCGCCCCGTGATTCTGCCATGTCGCTTGGAAGTCTCCACACACGTCCGCTCTCTTGCTTCTCCGAACGCGTATCACTCAAGATGCATTCTGGAGCATTAAGAGCTCTCTGACGTAGGCCATGACGCGTTCCCTTTCATCTTTGTGTGACGTCATAACATTCTATGGGCCACCTGTTTTTCCATCCAGCTTTGGAGACGTGTGGACCGAATGCGTCACAGGTTAAGTCACGTGACGTTGGCGTCTAACGCGCTAGCAAACGTTCACGTTGACGGCGGCTCGCGTATCTGCATCCGACTCTCGGAAAGTATCGTTAACTACGAAAGCCTTTCAATCTCCACAAGAGTTTAGAGTCTAAACTCTCTAGATTGCGGTCCGCGAAATATTGTCTGACATAAACCGGTCCGTGAGGTAAGAAAGGTCGGGGACCACTGGGCTGATCCACAACGTGTGTTTACACACCTCCTGGATCCTGATTGGTCGCTGCTGCAGCCGCAAGGCGCTGATTGGATGCTCACAGACCGTAATACAGCGCAGATGAACATGATTCAGACTACGGCGTTTATATGTTCAACAATAGGAAACGTAGTCTTAGCTGTTTTAAAATTACACCAAGTTTATTTCGGCTTATTCCAACGGAAGAATACAAGGCGCAGGGAACTTTGAGGCGCGTAAACGCTATTTATAGGTGCGTAAACGCTATTTATAGGCGCGTAAACGCTATTTCCAAAATTCCAGAGGTGCGTAAACGGCGTTTACGTGCGTTTACCCTCCACTACGGCCCTGGTCATCAGGTCCGTTCTTCTGTACCCGTGAGTCTACTCTCCCGTATCCGTTCTCCGGAGAGCGCAAGTCCGTTCCCGCAGTCTTGAGAAGGGGCCTCAGTTTGCGCACCTCGCGCCCATTGTCACTTCCGGCCCCCGGAGTGTCTCGTGACCGACGCTGGCCAATCACAGCTCGGCAGTACAGAGGCGACAACACACAACACAAACGCATTAGACCGGAGCTGAATTCATGCATGATGCGTTTCGACCTACATTTAGTGTGCGACTGAACCACGCGGAACCGAGTCCAGTCCAGTCCAGTCGGGCGCCACACGGCCGCTACCGCAGCCGGGACGTCAACGGTCCTTCAGCCGCCGCTAGTCCTCCGCGTCCGTCCGAAGACAGCGATGGACGCGCTAACATGCTAGCGGGCTAGCGCCATGTTCAAGAATGTGTTCGGCTCAGGCTTCCTGGTTCGGACCGCTCATGTGATTCTGACCTGGGTCATAACGTTGATACTCTTCCTCCATGACACAGGTGAGCCCGTTAGCGCGTTCGTTGCGTTACTAAACGCCCCCCCCCCAGCAGGGGGCCTTCTTCATGGCTCCCCCGTGTGTGTTGTCAGAGCTCAGGAAGCAGGAGGAGTCCGGACAGCTCGTCCAGCCGGTGCTCTTCGTCCTGCTGGTGCTGCTCTCCGTGTTGCTCTATTTCGCCGTTTCTCTGATGGACCCGGGCTTCATCTTGTCTGATGACCAGGATTTACAGGTGTGTGTGTGTGTGTGTGTGTGTGTGTGTGTGTGTGTGTGTGTGTGTGTGCACATAAAACATATTGAACATTTGAACAAAATGAAAATGGTAAACAACTAACATTAGTGATTAAGTGTAAATAAAACAATCTAACTGTGATTGTAGGCTGTTATTGTTTGGATGTAAATGACAAGCTAACACACTGAAAAGGCTTTGAATAGATGCTTAGACCACAGGTGTCAAACTCAAGGCCCGCGGGCCGAATGATGACTTTGCTGTTGTGAGGATTACAGAAAGACGTAAATTGCATTTTGATAAAAGACCAGCAGCTGTTCCTAAACATTCTCTGAGTGAGCGCATGCGTTAGACCAGGAGGACCAGGTCCTTCACCGACACGGTGCCGGTAGATCACACGCAAACCACGTCAGGTCCACACGCATGCGTGGTCGCCAGACGAGAGTTTAGTGTCCCAGAATGCAGCGCTGTTGTTCCGTTTGGTACATCGCCACGAGTTGCAGTGAAAAGTTGGCTAGATCGCAAAGCCAGGCGAGTGTGGGGACCGTCTGCGGGTTGGACTGAACGTGGTCAGCGGTTTCTCTGACCAGTTTGTCTTCTGTGTTGTGACAGTTCACGTTGGGCGTGACGGAGGAGCAGCAGGACATGATCCCACACACCACCAAATCTCTGCGACAGCGCCGCTGTGGCCACTGTCTGCTGCAGGTAACCATTCCAATCAATAGTCAATTTGTATACTCATTGTTCTTTGATCTTGTTGTAATGGAGAACAAAGGGTGGAAACAGTAATTCGTCAAAACATGAAACTCAAGGGCCACTTCTGTGCTTTCAACTGCAGTGTCTTCAGTCATGTGTCTCAAGTAATCACCTAAAGCTCAGCAGTGGTTCTGCGTCATGCTGAAGGAGCATTAGACACCAGGGAAGATTCACCGGTTCGCATAGATGCATCGGCGTAAAAGCTCACGATGCGATGGCCCGGATCAAAAAAAGTGTGCACCGGATACCTTGTGCGATGAATCGCGGTGCATCGTTTCCAACATTTTTGCAACGGTATAATCCGATGTATTTATACAGATTCGTGTGTAGGCGAACACACTGTTTCTATGCGCGCTCATCTCCGCTGCTGTCAGTGGCCGATTCTCGTGAAGTCTCGCGCGAGTTGGAGGAGAGCGCGTGGGAGAGCGTTACCATGGCGGATGGAGAGTTAGACGTCCCGAAAACTCGCAATAAATCCGAGTGTTTGGCAACACTTTGGATTTCCAAAGAAAGATGGGAAATTCGATAAATCCTGTGCCATCTGTAAAATATGTCGCGCTGCCTTTAAAGTACACCGGCAGCACAACTAATTTAGGGACGCACCTGAAGGGGCGACATGGTGAGACGTCTGCCTCCTCCTCACATTCAGGTATGGCTACAGTTTGTGGATCAACTCGTATTCCTTAAGAAAAAACCTCAAAATCGGAAATAGTAAATTTAGTGTGTGAGGCGGTTGATCCATATGTTTAGAATGAAGCAAATTCTGTTGTGACTGCCTGGTATAATAAAAAAAAAAAAGTTAGATTAAGAGAACATCTCGTTGAATCGCACTGCATCGCAATAGGGGTGAATCGCATCGCATTAGTAGCTGCTTTTATGTATCTTTAATGTATCGGATCGTTGGCAGTGCATCGAGTGGATGCACATCCCTATTAGACACAGAGATGAGCCTGTGGTTTTGTGCGCACCCACACACTCCGACCCCCTTTGCTCAGGGTCATCGTGTGTGCTGACTCAACGAGGTTCTTCACATGATGTTCATGCAGTTTGTTTTTAAAAAGGACACTGACGAGTTCATCCAGCTTCACGCCTCCAGCACCCACCGCGTGTTGTTGTTGTTGTTGTTGTTATGAACAAAGAGAATGTTTCATCTGATGACCCTGAGCGTTGTTCTAAGCAGCAGCCGATGAGATCAAAGCACTGTCAGACGTGCCAGCACTGCGTGCGGCGGTACGACCATCACTGCCCCTGGATCGAGAACTGCGTCGGCGAGAGGAACCACCGCTGGTTTGTGCTTTACCTCGCCGTCCAGCTGCTGGTGCTGCTGTGGGCGCTGCACATCGCCTGGTGAGTACCACTCCCGTCACCAATCCCCGGCGCTGGCAGGCCAATGCAGAAGGCCCCTCTCGCTTGTTTCACCAGGACGGGTTTCCGGCACGCACCCGGCTGGCAGCTGTGGCTGCGCAGCAACGGCATGCTGCTGACCGTGGCCGCGCTGGTGGCTCTGCTCTCGCTGATCGTGCTGCTCCTGCTGGGCTCCCACGTCTACCTGGTGTCGCTCAACACCACCACCTGGGAGTTCATGTCACGCCACCGCATCTCCTACCTAAAACACTGCGGCGCCGACGAAAACCCCTTCGACCGCGGCACCTTCGACAACCTGTGGTGTTTCTTCTGCGTGTGGGGCACAGTGGTGTGGGAGCAGGTGTACTTCCGGGAGGGCAGTGACCAGGTGTAGGGTCACACGGCGTTAAAAAGACTGAAGGGCATTTCGCTCAGCAACAACCTCGAGTTTTCGGGACCACATAACGTCTGTAGAGGAATCGTGCTTTTGTTCTTGTCCCACATATCCCGTCTTTAGCGTCGCCCCCCCCCCTCAGTGGCCCCTTGGGAGTCCGCAACAGCTTCCCGGCCCTGGTTCAGTTGCTTCCAACCACTCGAGGATACAGTAGCATTTCCCTGTGTGACGTTAGGCTCCACTGGATCCTTTCTGTGAGCAGTGAACACCCCCCCCCCTCTCCCTCCCTGTTCAATCGTTTTTGAAGTTTACCCTTAATACATGTGAAACATTGCATAAACATTCAATACAAAAAGTGAATATACTTCTTTTAGGTGCATGTGTAGACAATCCAGGTGTGGTTGCTATGGTTTCCTGATTGACAGGTTAAATAATTGCTCCATTTGTTTTGACTTATTGTGCACAAAGGTGTGACAGGGTCTGCGGGGCAACGGCGTTACGACAAGCCAACGTGTGAAGTCATTTATGGAATATGAAGGTACCGGTGTTTTTGGCATTGAATCCCACCACGATGTACAGGACACTTCTGCGTTTCAAGCTATTTTATATTGCATATTATTTTGTAAACAATTTTGAACCCAAAAATGTCTCTAGATTTCTATGACGATTAACTGGAAGAGCAGTGAAGAGATCTGTGAGTCCAATACATTGGTTGGCTTCTCTGTGTGCAATAGTTCCCTTGTGAGACAGCAATAAACGTGTGGAATGCACAGCAGTCTTCTTGGACAATATGCGGACTGCCTCCAGATTCATTTTTAGGAATTCAAGTCCCATTGTGTATTTCTGAATTATATGCAATGCTGTCATGCACTGTTTTTACTACTTTAAAATGACTATACATCAATAAATGTTTTCCCTGGTCACTGGAGTCCAGCACATATCAATTTATTCATTCATATTTCCTTCACGTCGTTTACACTTCATCATGATCGGATCATTTTAAAATAACAAATTGGTAAATCAACAGTTGTATTGATTGAGCAAATCTCCCAGAATAATTTAAATTAACATTAGTATGAGTTTTACATCCACTTCTAATGGTTATGATAAATAGATACAGGTTGGCATTGAGATCACAAATATTTACAGCTCAGTTGTTGGACAGAGGCCTTTGTAACTATTGCACTAGTGACATGTTTGGCACAGCGTTAACAGGAATTGATCCCACGGGTTTGTGAGACAGAAAGCATTAAAAAAAAGAGCGGATGGACTGGTGGTGCGTTAGAAGAGACCGGAAGAGGACGCGACCTGCTCCTCCGCTTCTGTGGAATCAGCAGGTCGGACGGAGTCGCCCCAGTCAGCTCATGAAGGAGAAGTCAAAGTCCGCGAAGATGTCCTGCTGCTCCGCAGTGAGGATGCAGGCTGCCCGCGGGGGGGTGAGGACTGGCTTCAGGCGAGTAAACTCCTCATCGAAGTTACTCACGTCCTTCGGCGCTCTGATGGCCGGCAGGAAGGGGGGCTTCATCTTTTTGGCCAGGAGAGCGTCCCAGTCCGTCTCCTGTGGGAACACGAGGAGCAGGAATCACTAGAACTACCTGACGTGTAACATGTACAACAGAAATAGCCCAGTACCGGTCCCACACAGAACTAGAACTACACGAGTCATGTATTCTCGGGTTTCTGCTGCTCCAGTGTTGCTTTAAATGAGCTTTAACGTGAATGAGTGAATGGTAAAATTCTACTAGCTCATCTCTGCAGGATGAAGGAGATGCACCCGTTTGTCCAGAGAGGGACAGTCAGGTGTTCAGCATAATGACCTGAAAGAATTTGTGGCGTTTGATCTCCGAGGCATCTTCCTCGCCTCCTCCCAGTCTCATCTCAGGGTTCTTCCTCAGCAGCTAAAACGATGGAGAGGAGTCAATAAACGATCGGTAGAAAGCTCCTGCAGAGACGGCGCATTGGTTTAGGCCCACCTTTTGAATGAGGGACAGCGCCTCAGGAGAAAGGAAGCGAGGGTACCGCACCTCGTCGTTGACGATGCTGTCGAACACCTCCTCCTCATCGTCCCCTGGGAAAGGAGACTGAGAGCGGAGCACAAAGTGAACGCTGGTCTACGGGGTTCTGGTCCTTCAGTGGTTACGTTACCGCACGCGTAGGTCAAGGAGTTATTGTGCGTCTGCATTGGAGCTGAACTTGAAATAATATACTCACATCTTCTCAAATACATTCAAATTCCTGTGAAATACTGACCTGGTCCCACTAATGATAAAGCCGCACACATTTCACACTGACACAAACCCTTTGTGGTCTTATGCATCAAGCAGTGTGGCACTCAGTGTTCATGTCTAAGCAATCTATAAATAGAATTATTAACAAGTAGGGGGATCAAGATCACACTGAAATGGAGCAGCCACTATCAAGTGTCTATAACTGATAATTGTCAAATTAACTATTAACCATCACTAATCTTCCTCTTGAAGGTCCGTGAGAAATAAATCGCAAGTCAGTCGTGTGACTTTCTACATAACGATTGTTTGTTTGAGGACTTTCAGGGTGTAGAGAGCGTCACAGCGTGATGAGGAGCTGCTTTGCTTTGGCTGCTCATGTTCCTACTGACCTCCCCCACCAGCATCTCATAGACCAGGACCCCCAGCCCCCACCAGTCCACACTGCGGGTGTAGTTGTTGTCCGTCAGCACCTCTGGGGCCAGAAACTCTGGTGTCCCACAGAACGTTGTGGTGCGATCGCCGTGGCCCATACCTACACACACACACACACACACACACACACAATAACTGCATATAACAACACCAACATGCAGTTATGACTTCTGGGATAAGTTCCTTATCCCCACACCAGCTACGAAATGATCATTGGCATGTGCTGCACGTTGAACGGCGACATCACAAATAGAAAAATAATGATCTTACCTTCTTTGCACAAGCCAAAGTCTGCAATCCTGACAAAACCGTCTGCATCCATCAGCAGATTGTCCAGCTTCAGATCCCTGACAGACACAAAGCAACAGGCTCCCGACATGCAGCCACGTACGGAGTCATTCTGAGAGCAGCCAGAGAAGCACTCACCTGTAAACTATTTGGTTCTGGTGTAGAAACTCCAGGCCGAGCAGCACGCAGGACGAGTAGAACCTGAAAGCAGACGATGATGATGATGATGGGGTGAATAGCAGCGCGGCGTGTGTGCGCTCCATGCAGAGTGACGTCTGCTCACCACGCCTGATTCTCGGTGAAGATGCTGGCGTGAATGTGGGTCATGAGGTCTCCCCCGGGGGAGTAGGCCATCACGAAGCACACGTGGTCGGCCGTCTGGAAGCAGCCGTACAGGTTCACCAGGAAAGGATGCTGGGAGACGTTGATCACTTCGAAGATCCGCTTTTCACACATGAGGCTGAACACACACAAACGCACACTTCATCATATAACAACATAACATGTTGTATTACACCCCGTTAAGAATATTTGCTATCACCTAAATGACAAACCCCTTCATTTGTGAAGAGATGGTTTCTGATAAAAATGCTCGCGGTTTGTAATAATTGGGATTATTTTTGTGGTGGTTTTCCTTTTCTTCTTTTGGAGAAGATTCTGAGTGAAATTGCTTGTAACGTGAAGCCAATAAACATGACTATGTTAGCTTACTTTAGAGCGGGTGGGTTCATTTCTTAGACAAATATACATCTCAATTTATTAGAAGATCAACTCTTATAGATTCAACGGGATGTGGGATTCAGGCTCCAGTCACATATTTAAACGCACACACTGCAGACTGAAGCATCCACTCTACAGTTACGTGTCGAGGGATCGCTTACCTGTCAACTTCATCCCGTGTTACGATGTCTCCTTTCTTCAGGGCTTTGATGGCATAGAGTTTGCCTGACTTCTTATGCTCTGCCAGCAGCACCTTTGATCATCAAAGGAGGAACATTTGAAGCCATGAAGATGAATGTGCATCATTGGTTCTCAGGGTTTTCTGACCCAAACGCTGCTACGGACATTCTTACAGCTGGATCCAGTTAGGCGATGCGTACCTTACCGAAGTGACCTCTGCCCAGGACTGAAATGCAGTTGAACTCTTCCATCTGAAGTCCTTCATCCCTGCTGCATGACAGTATAAAGGTGAACACACAAAATTCTCAGTTTTCCATCACATTTCTTCTGTGTTATCTGCCTTCGTGGCATTAATGATGAAGTGCCACTAAATACACGTTCTTCATGAGCAGGACTGTGTGTGTGTGTGTGTGTGTGTGTGTGTGTATACACACACACACACGCGCATGGACGTGACTTACTGTGGCGGTGAGTGAATAGAGGGTTGACGCTTGTTCTCTCGGAGACACTGGTTTCACAGACAAGAGAGATTAAGCGACACATCTGGAACATTAAGACCGGAAAAAAAACAACCAACTGCTCTAGATGACGAGCTGATGGGTCATGAAATACAAAGTTATTGTCGAGCCCTTGTTCCACTGGTGTCTCCGTATGCTCACCGATGGAGAGTCTCTTGTGCTCTTTCTGGTGCGGTGTGGAGATCTGCCGGGTTGTTCTTCATTAAAATGTAGACACATCACAGCAGGCTCTCTGGAAACAAGAGGAACTGGTACTGTGACAACCTTCAGCGATGCACCTCGAGTTCCTAACATTTTTTTGAGCAAAAGCTCCACTATTCTCTGTTATGTCTCTGCAGGATAAGCCGGGACGATTTTGATTTGATTTGAAGAATTTCTTGAACATGTAGACACCAAATAATAAAAAATTTAAAAATCAACAGACGTAGACCACAAAATGAGAAAATACACCTTTTGTTCAAGAAAAGGAGTAGGGGGAAGCAAAAGCTTATAGATACCCACCCCTTTCTTATCCATATTCTCAATTAGTATATATTACTTTGAAGATTAATATCATACATACATACACACACTCTCTCACACACACTCTCACCCACACACACGCACGCATACTCACACGCACAAATAAATACAATTTAAATTTCCTTCACTTAATATTGTGAATATATTATTGTTGAACACACGACAACCACATTTTGTGGCCTCACATATTGGCATCTTAAAGCCTCTGTATCGTACTCCTCATAACTCAGAATGCAGGTCAGTGGTAAAGTCCCGGCTATCCTTCCTCTCTAATTATGACATCATGAGTCGTGGAAAAACAGCCTGAAATCCTTGTGGACAACTACGCAAAGAGGTTAGTAGCCCTCTATAGTAGCAGCTCTTGTGAAAAAGAGATGTTTCGGGGTCCCGGTCTGGAGACTCCATGAAGCTTTACCGTTCTGGAGAAGCGTAGGAGGGCAGGGCGGCAGCGGTCGGGCTCGTGAAGGGAGGGCTCATGGACTCCAGGGAGCTGCAGGGAGGCAGGATGCTCATCACCAAACGGCCCCATGTGGCAAAGTTCATGTTCATCTGGGCCGCCCGCAGGAAGTCCTTCCCTGTGAGGAGACATGCAGACAAGAGAGATCAAATGGGAAGAAGTTAGTAGTGAGAAAAGAAAACCTATACTTTAGAAACACAGGAGCAATTCACTATGCTTCACACACATTAAATACAAAAGGAACATCCAGTATTATCATCATCATCATCATCATCATCATGGATTAATGATCCCGTAGTAACGCGCTAAAATTATCATCATTTGTAAAATCCTTTACTGGTTATGAATATACTCAAACAATGGGTCACAGTGAGGGTGTGATGTAATCAGTATTCTCTTGGGAGGGGCGTCATCAGGCATATCAACCAATGAGCGCATTGGGGGCGGAGCTTAGCGTTCTGCAGGTGAACCCAAACAGAAAACAACTGGCAGAGCGAGATGGAGAAAGGTGACAAACTCTTTTTAATTTAAAATCTTCCAGGCGTTTGAGTCGATAGATACAGAGTTATTAATAAACACCACCATCATACACAAGACGTGAGAACAAGCTGCTCTTAGTTGTAACTCTTTATTCAGGCAACTCCGCCATGACGTTCCCCCCCAGGTTGTTCCATCACCCCCCTGGGAACCTCCAGGTACTTCTGAAATATTCACTGCTTTAACTTATATTTTTGCATGAATAAAAGTGCACAATACACTACTTCTGGATGAATTAAATCACAATTAAACATAATTGCTCCCCAGCACTAATATTAACATAATAGTTATACTCGCTTTGTTGCCATACAGAAACTTAATTGAATGGAATTGACTGATTGGGGTGAGGACATGGTGCTGTATGCCCAGTTGGCAGTTAGTTTAGATAGAGACAATCTGCAACATGTTTGACAGTGACTCACTTGGGCTTCCAATCAACAACATTTGAAAGTGATTAATATCAAATTATGCTAATAAATAAAATTGAATGAGTCTGATTTGTTTACCGTTTATTTTGGTTAAAAAAAAAAAAAAGACTACTGCCCAATAGTCTTATTTCTGCACTTTGATGACAAATGCATATACAGGAAGCCCAAATAGGTATATTTTTTTATGAAATTGCCCCCTAAATAATATGTCAATTTCCTACCCTGATCCACAGAGATTATCCATCTATGTTCAGGAGCACGTGTCCCTGTTAGAGTGAAGCACTAAGGACACGTGTGAGGTTTACTGTGCAGGGACCTTTTAAGTCTGTGAAGTCCATGTTTGTACCGGATGTCTTTTGGAGAAAACACAAAGACTTTGGTGATCCAGGTCATTAAGAACGTTGTCTGAAAGAGATTAACAATGGAAATGTCCATGTAGGAGCTTGCTACATTTCTCTGCTCTGCTTAGCAGCATCTTTGACCCGCCCCCAAATGTTTACTATTGGTTGAGGCGTGTGATGAAGCCGATGCTGATCAACACCTTGTAGTGAGGCACGGTTTGTTCGTATGTATATTCAGAGGCAGTGAGCAACGGACTTTAAAAATAATAATAAAAAAAACTGCACTAACACACGAGAAAATAATTGTTTGTGTTAATGAATGTGTTAATGAGATAATAACGCGTTACCGTGCCCAGCCCTGATTCTTTTCTTTGTTTATTGTTTGGCTGAGAGCCATTTATAAGGATGGAATTGATGTCTGGTTGTTAGTATGACGTCACCGCGTCTCCTATACTCAACATCAACAAACAGAATCATCTTTGACGGTTTTTGTAATTAACTACTTCTCATTTTGACAAAGGTGAACTCAGCCCAAAGTATCAGAAACAAGCCAGTGATTTATCAAGGATCAATGAACAAATGCCATAAGTGCGGTTACCTTTTTCTTTAGGGAAGATTCTCCTCTGCCTCTGGAGTTTGGAGCGCCGCTCGATAACAGGATTGATAAATGTGACCTGGAAATGATTCTGGTGTTAGATTCCTGCAGCATCAGTACCGGTGTCTATGTCATAGTAAGGAAATATGAACGGCTTGGGATACTTGTAACTCATTAATTCACTCACTGCTCGTTCCAATAAACGGTAAATGATTACAAACATAAGAACACGGATTGTGACTTTTCGGTTTTTATGGTGAAACAAGAACAATAAGCTTTAATTCATTTGAAAAATGAATCAACCCTGGAATGAGAAAGTCCAATGTGTAGGCAGGAAGTTATGGGCACTAATGTTAAAGCGAACACTCTACTATTTATTGGGTTCAAAGTGGCCAAACATTTGTAGTGTCTAAATAACGATTTCCCCTCTCGACCTGACGGAGGTTTCTGAGTAATGACGTCGCCACATAGACCCTCGTCTATGGTTTGTGTATCAATGACAAGTACTGTGCTGAGAGTGGACGCCAGTTTGGATCAGAAAGTCACAAAGTGGCGGATGGAGGACGTGGTAGACCAGCAGCGACATGTTGTCAATGGACTCCGGTGGCTTTATAACGGATTTGCTTCCCTTTAAAAAAAGGCTTTTCGGCTATTGACGTTCTGGGTGAACCATGATCATGACACCAAGACAGAATGCGATTAGTGGACAAGGAAAGGTGAAGACTAAATCTCAGACACAGACGCCACAAGTCTCCTGGCCGGAATGAAAATGAGCAGTAAATAAATAGAAAGTAAGAACCTCGATGAAGAGGATGCCCTGAGGTTCCAGCTGGACACACATGCCATGACGGTGGTTGTCCAGGAAATCCTCCAGCCGCAGGAACTTCACCCCACATAACGCTCGCCAGTCTCTCCAGTACACCGCGATCTCCAGCTCCCTGGACTAGATCCACACACACACACACACACACACACACACACACACACACACACACACACACACACACACACACACACACACACACACACACACACACACACACACAGGTACACGAACACATGCATGACTGGATTACTACATCGGGAGGACGGAATGGCTTCATCTTCTGAATTACTAAAGAAAAGAAGAAGAGGGAACAGACAGTTGATATGATACGAAAAAACTTCAGATAGAAACACACAAAAAAGAGGATATTCATGTTTAAATCTGGCTGTGATTAGTCATGTGACCAGCATGTGCTTGTTAAACAGAATGAGAGGAAACGGGGTCTTGGACGGGGATGGCTGACGTGTAAATGTTGGGAACAGGAGCAAATGGAACTCTGCGAATATCTTTGCATACACTTTGTATGTAGCATCTTGTGCACGGTAGAAGTTGAAGTGGGGACACCTCACACACAAGCGTAATGATAATCTTTAGCAACTCGTCAAAGGCAAAGGAGCGAGACCCGTCAGGGGGTAGAAGATGAGCAGGCAGGTCTACATGTGCACAAACAGGTCAAAGTGTGTCTCAATACAAAATCACAGTCATAAGATTGGACACACATTCTCATGAGAACTGTTACTGTGCGTCATTCCAAAAGGAGGCTACAGGAGGCGCCATGTAACAGATACACTTCTGGCTGAGTCGCACGTTGAGGTGCTGAAGTTAAAGCCACTGACCCGTTCCAGCTCCATGCTGAAGCTCTGGCCCCAGGCATCTTTGCCCAGCTGTCGCCATTGCGTGCGCCCCACAATCCGGTTGTCCACCTTTAGCACAGCTCTTATCTCCGCTGAGACACAAACACAAAGAAACACACTGACCAGGGCTGCGAGGACGTCATGAAGAGACAGAAGACAATGGCGGCTGCCGTAGAAACAGTGTGGACAATTCCGAACAAACGCCTCCAGTAGAAAACTATATTCTGCGCTGAAATACACTTCCTGCCTCCTTAGATACCACACACACACACACACACACACACACACACACACACACACACACACACACACACACACACACACACACACACACACACAGAAACAGACACACACACATACACACACAGAAACAGACACACACACATACACACAGAAACACACACACACACACACACACACACACTTATATGGACGTACAGGACAGGTCATCGGCCTTGCTCATCTTGGCACTGGCGCTGCGTCCCGATTGGCCGGCTCTCCCCTTGGCAGACTTCCCTTCCGAGAGGCTCACAGATGTGGCCGGGACGCCGGTCACACGACCCCGGCCAGGGACCGACTCCAACAGGTCCTGGCAGCCCATCAAACAAACCTCCAACCGACCTACGGGGAAGCCGCTCCGTTTTCAATTCAGTCTTTTAAGAAAACACGAAGTTGGATGTAAAACGTATGCTGAAGGAAGGACATTGAACTGTTGCCGATTCTATAAAACAACGTGGAGACATCTCTGCTTTTTGGACAAGTGCCTTCATTTGATGCGAGTCGCTCTGCACTGCTCTGGTTCCCCAGGATCACAGTTAGCTCTGTTAGCTCTGTTAGCTGCCCTGTTGAGAGTCTTGTGGTTCTGGATTCCTCATTAGGATTATTTTTGTGTCGTTGATACGGACGCCTCAATGCAACGGCGTCTGCTGTTGATGGGTGTGGTAGAGCTGGTTGAACCGCTTTATATCATCATTGTACAATAAGAACACACCCTAAGAAGTGCCTATTCAGTCCAAAGAGAATTGTTTGCCTGGTGTGTATTCCAAATTAACCTTGTAGCTTCTGGGTTTACCTCAGCGATAAATGTCCCAATGAATACGCAAAACGGTGTTTCACACTTTTGTAAAACTAAAAAAAAATATGGCTGAATAAAAGAGCCTCCACATTTAAATGCTCCCATGACCCCGTTGCTAAGCAACCCTGAGGACACATTAGTCTTTTAGAGTTTTTTCTCCTACGACGCAGGATCACACGGACGTTGTATACAGGTATTATATCAACATGAAATAAATAGACGATGAATATAACAAGAGCAACCTGTGAGACTGGCTGGTTTGAAGAGGAAGGATGAAGAGGAAGAGGACATCTTCTTTGACATGCCAGAGGAAGGTGGCGTTCCCACAAACAGCTCCTCCCTGATGACAGCATGCTTGGGATGGTCCCGGGGCAGCTCGCTCAAACGCCTCTCCAGGGACAGACTTAACAAATCCACCTTCTGAGAGGACTCCTGCATGCGCGCCTGCGCCTGAGGGACACGCGACGCCAGAATACTCAACCTACAATACTTCTTTTGAGGGGGGGCTTTGTCACATTCAAACAAAAAGGTCACCAGTCAGAACAAAGACGACTCAAAATGATTCAAATATATTAGATGATGTATGTTCTTTGTGCTTGATGTTATTTGTAGTCAAAATGTAATTTCAGTATTTCTCATTCGGGACTTTTAAAAATAAACCATCTTCTGAGTAACGCTTCGAAAACATCCCTCATGATGCAGGCGGCCTTTTCTGTAAAGATCTAAATCCCTCCAACGCTTGCGGTCAGTCAGCCCACCTCTGCTAGGACACGGCGGTCCTGGATCTTGCTGCCACTCAGCTGCTTCACCACTTTTTTTGCTCCTTCTGCTACGGCCGATTCGATCTTCATGTGGTGCAGCAGGTCAGCCATCCGCATCTCCAGAGGATTGATGATCTCCACAGGCTGACCTGAGGGCAGCCGCAGATGTTAAGGAGGATGTATCGGTAAAATACGGGGGCCGAGCAATGAATCAGTATCCCAGTTTTCTGTACAAATTATGAATTTCAAGCAAACTTGAACTGAAAACCAATTAAATAATTTTTGCCGTATTTGAAAAATGTAAAAAAATAATCTTTCAAGTTTCAAGCAGCTCAACTCAAAATGAAAAATAATTTGATTAGCTCACGTGAGATATTGACACATTATTGCTAAGCTAACGGGACCCGCTGAGGGTTCCCTTTGGCAGCGGTGCCGGTGGAGACCATCAGATGGGAGGTTTACCGTGCGAGCCGTCCTGCGAGCCGTCTCGGGCCTGACTGACTTTGATGATCTGCATGCGCAGCAGCTCGATCTTAGTGCGGCTGTCCTGGATCATCTGCTGGGCCGTAGTCATTATCTTCCTGTCCTGGAAAACACACGGAGGCTAGACGCATGTGGTCCAATGCGGATACACGACATGCAGTGAGACTGGGTGGGAACCAGGTATGTGATTGGACCTCCAATGATCGTCAGCAGTATATATATATATATATATATATATATATATATAGGGTAAATTCCTGCTTAATAAAATGTTCACGTGTACTCAAGTAGCATATAATATAATGTCCAGCTTACAGATACTACTACACTTCCTGTGACTGAACCTTTTTGGCCCCCCAATCAATCTACAGACTCTTACAGAACCATTGGTAAGTTATGCAGTTATTTGTAATGCAACCAGCATTTACATCTGCACAGCACCTTGACTGAGCTGTTGCTGTACGTTTGGATCATGTTCTCGGCGCCCTGTTTGACTTTGGTCTCCATGGTGAGCTGTTTCTTCAGCGTTCTGACCCGACTGGCCGCCGGCGATGTGACCTCTTCCCACGGACACGACTGTGCCGATAGGTTGTCCTCCTCCTCCAAGCAGCCTGCATGAAAAATAAAAGCAAATGACGGGTGAGGCTCTAAAAGTCTTGGCACGCCATTGTCTTTTATTGGTGCGGATTCATTTTAGAGGGTTTTCATAACTTATGTGATTACTACGTCTTTCAGTTAATTCACAGGGCTGTTTACATTGAACACAGAAGAAAACGTTGCCGGTGTCAGATATTTACAATAACTAGAGCAAAAGACCGAGGTCCCTCTATCAGGATGGTGATAGTTGTCATGGCAACGGAAAACAATACGTTCGAATAATATCATTCAGATTACTTCCAGGTGCACAACGAGTTTGCTTTGCTGCAATATTGTAATGTAGCGAAGTATTTAAACAGACCAGATACAAACGTAGCGCTCAATAAGGCCTGATGTTTGTCATCATGATGATACACATCTGAGAAGACGAGGTTTCCTGCAGCCGAGTCAGGAATACTTCATCCGCTGATGTTTGCATACATTTCCATTCCCTCCTCCCTTCCTTCATGTGTAGCGCTTAAGAGCAACAAGTAAAGATCTGTTCATGCCTGAATAGCTTTGGTAAGTGTCCTCCTTCATGTGTAAAGCCTGCTCATAAATATGCAGCCTGAATTAGCTTCCCTTTAACAACCGAGTGTCCAACCTGGACGGGGTTTGTCTCCCCTAACTTGAACATATGGCTCAAACTAATACCAAATTGGCCTACAGCATCCCTTGAAGCAGAGCACCTATGACATATGATGATGTCATAGTTAGTGGAGGTAAATGGTTGAAACATGGTGGAGAAAAGCTTTTAAGGCTAAAGCGTGACATCAATGCTCAACTAATCCATCGGAACGTCAATATAAAATCCTTTATCCTTTCTTTATTGAGTGATTTCTTTTCATGCAACGTATATCAGTCTTCGTATCGCTTACAATAACTAAAATTAGTACTATTATTTATTTCAAAGTACTTCTTTGAATATTCGTCATAATACAAAAATCCATAAATAATAAGGAGGGAAAACCGGTTTAAAAAGAGCCTTCTACAGCAAGTATTTGTGTTAAATAGGTGTTTTTGATCTTTAGATTAAAAGTCACTTTGATGCTGATCGGTCCGGAGGTAATTCAGACCTAATGGCGGCACTAGTGTTGGACGTGACGCGGTGCAGCCTCTGTGGTTACCTGTGCTGCAGTCCTTCTCGGTGGCCATGGACCTGGCGTTGAGCTCCTGCAGTTCCCAATGCAACCTCTCCAGCTTGCGGCTGGAGGCTTTGAGCTGGCCCTCCACATCGGCGGCGCCTTTACGATTGGTGAGGGCCCGCCGGAGTCTCTCAGCGGCCTCCTTGATCTTCAGCTCGCGCTGGATCTCCTGCCTGAGCAGAGTACGGGCATCTTCCAGACGCTGCTGAAACTCTGGGTCAAGAATGTCCCCCTCATCCAGAACCTGCATGGTGCCACTCTGGAGGACACATCACAGCGGCTTCAACGTCCGCGCCCCACGCTTCCTGTTTTTGTATCTTATATTGCACATCTTGAAAAGACGGGGCCACCTTTCCTTTACTGGTTCTTAAAAAAAACCCTGCTTCCATCACGTATGATTTGGTGGCGCTGTTTCACACATGTCTCGGTGGAACACACTCACTTGGGGCGGCGGGGGGTGAGAGGGGAGCACGGTCGGGTTGGTGGTTCGATTCCTGGCCTGGCTAACCCGCATGTTGACGTGTCCTTGGGCGAGACACCCCTGTAGCTGCGACTAGTGTGTGAGTGTTATTTCCTGATGGGCAGGTGGCTCTGTGTAGCTCTGTCATCAGGGTGTGAATGGGTGAATGATGGGATGTATCGTTAAAGCGCTTTGAGTGGTCAGAAAACTAGAAAAGTGCTATACAGTCCATTTATTTAAACAAGACCATGGATCAATACACATGGATTCTGCACTACAAGTAGTTTACAACAAATGTACCTTTAAGCTAGACCTCGTGCTTTTTTCAAAATGGGAAATGAAGAGAGAACATTTAATTGCAGGCAGCGTCAACATCACAAAGCCCAGGACGGATCAATGGAGCTCGACACTGCCGGAGGCCCTCAAACCACCAGCTACCACACACACACACACACACACACACACACACACACACACACACACGGTACACACCCGTGTGTGCAGGTATGTAAGGACAACGATCTGCGATCAATGACAAAAGAAACTCCTATTCAAACTTTCAGATGAAAAAAGCACAGGTGGATGAGAACAAAGAAGGAGCGGAACAAGTTAATCAAGGGGAAGCAACTGGCAAAGGTAGAAGTGGTTCAGGAAGACCAGTAAACCCATCGGTGGAGCACCAGCACAAGGCCCCCCTCGTGTGGAGGCAGGTCTGCGTAGCTTTCTACTGTAGGGGCACAGAGTCAGGACTCAGGGGTCCTGCAAAGCCCAATATCAGCCAACAGTCCTGCAGAAGGTCTATTGTCTCCTGTGGGACACGCCCCCTGCCAAGAAAAACACGCCCCTCCCCTGTCCTAGGAAGTGATGTCCAGTCTGGTCATCATGGGGACCAACGGATGGCCTGGTACATTTATTCAAAATCTAAAAAGGAAAAACTCTTTTCACCAAGACCAACAAATATATTCAAAGTAAGCAAACTAATATTCAAATAAAGCATTTGGGGTGGTGAGTGTGTGTAAATAACAACACTGGCGACCAGGGCCAAACAAGACAAACAGGAACATCCAGCTGCCTGTCAAAGTAGCACCAGAGTCACAGCTGAACGTTGGGTAATAGCGGAACGTGGCCCCTGAAGGCCCCACGTCATTCACCTCGATCAGACAGAACCGAACCTGTGGCATTGGTTTTACCTGCGCAGGTAGACCGGACATGGCGGCTCTCGGGTGGCGCACAGCGTCGACGTCTGCTCCAGCAACGGGGGGGCGCCGGTGTTCTTCGGACCAGAGAGTCGGTGATAAGGGTCCAGCAGGAACGGAACCGGCGGCGTTGAATAAACTGCGGGCGGTACGTGGGACCGACTGTCTGTCTCACAGGCGGTCCACGCGGGATGCGGGCGCCGGTTGTTCTGTTTGCCAGGAAAACAAATACCGAGTTAACTTTGAATCGACTTTAGCTCCACGAACAACTGACGTCACGCGACGCGGCCGGATTGGTTGGGGTTCGATATGACGAAACGCCGCAAGAACCAATCACATTTGATTATTCAATGCACCTGTAAAGGTGACCACGTGGTACGCTTACGCGGCCTATGGGATTCCTTCTTGTTTTATACAGCTGATAAGCTTCATTAGAACTCCTCTTTGGATGAAAGGGTTTCAGTATGTGTTGTTTTAAGAGGTTAATAACTAAAGTTAAGGTTGTTAACCAGCAATCTGAAAACCATTAAACCCAATTTTAACAGAATTTGTTGTTGTAGCCTGTGTCAAGTCAAGTCAAGTCAAGTGATTTTTATTGTCGTTCAACCATGTGCAGTGATTACAACACAGAGCAAAACGAGACAACGTTCCTCCAGGACCATGGTGCTACATAAAAACAGCATACAACTAAATAAAATACCTTTATAAAATATCTATATACAATGCACGTGCAGACAAGTGCAGTAAAAGACAATAGTGCAAAGCAAGTTTCTAAAAACACATACACATACATTACATACTATGAGAAAGTGTTCTATATATGCGCATAGCAGTTATTGAGGTGGCAGACAGTAATAAAGTGACAGTTAATAAAGTGCAACTCAGGACTAGTAAAGTAGTAAACGCCATGGATTAAAAATATGTAAGTCGCTTTGGATAAAAGCGTCAGCTAAATGACCTGTAATGTGTGTGTGTGTGTGTGTGTGTGTGTGTGTGTGTGTGTGTGTGTGTGTGTGTGTGTCAACCCAGTCTCTGAGGATTGAGGAGTCTGATGGCTTGGGGGAAGAAGCAGTCTGGTCATGAGGGCCCGAATGCTTCCGTACCTCTTGCCAGATGGCAGGAGGACAAAGAGTTTATGTGAGGGGTGTGTGCGCTCGTCCACAATGCTGGTTGCTTTGGAGATACAGTGTTTTTTGTAGATGTCTTTGATGGAGGGGAGAGAGACCCCCACGATCTCATCAGCTGTCCTCACTATCCTCTGCAGGGCTATGCCGTCCGAAACGGTACCAAAGTACCAAACCAGGCAGTGGCATCGCGCAGGATGCTCTCAATAGCGCCCTCTATATGTGGGAGATGTGCTTACCTCGGCCTTCGAAGAAAGTAGAGACGCTGCTGGGCTTTCTTGGTGTTGACCGGACTGACTGAGGTCTCCCGGTCAGGAAATCCAGGAAATCACAGGAAATGTGGTGAACTTTGACACAAAAACACATACTCGCCGAGGTATATTTTCTATGAGACAAGCATTTAACGAAACTGCAACTGATCATACAAGTCATCTTATCAAGGATGGGTTTAGCACAAAAGTTCAAAGGGAGCAAATACAACGTTTAGAGATTCCGTTGAGAACGTCTGTGGTCCCAAAATACATCAAATACATCAAGTGTTGTTCCACTTTAATGCCATCACAGGACTCCTGCTAGGGCCCCTGCAGTGTGCCATATGGCCAAAGAGGTGAATGGTTGAGGCAATCAATATGGAACTGGACTGAAGCAGGTTTCTGGCATCCATCATCAAGCAGGACCTCAAGTGGATTCCAAACATTGACATCTACAGAAGAGAAGTTCAAAGTTCCGTTGACGGAACAGATTGAACGATGATGGACGCCAAAATGAACTGGCGCTGTCCTTGTGGACCGACACAGATGGATGGAACGAGCCGGCCGTCGCTTTAAGGCTCTGCGGTGCAGTTCGGCACTCCGGCCAGCAGGCGGCGGTAGAGCGCCACGCACGTGTTCCCCGACCAGGCGCCTCCGAGAGAAACAAGCGTGCGAAGCTGCGCTCGTGCGTCTCTTTCGTGGGTTCCGAGACACGCACTGTAAGGTAGAAGTAACTTTTATCCTCCAGAGAAGAGTTATAAACCACCTGGAATATACATCTGGTCCAAGGTCTCACGTCAAACGACAACCATGTCGGCCTCACCGGCGAAAGTCAACAGAAAGGAGAATTCAAATCACGACGCAGCGGACGAGACCTCTGGTAACGTTAAGGAATGGCGGTTATCCCGTACAACGCCATTTTCATTTGTTTTTCGTCATTTTGTTATTTTCATTGTAATTTGTTATGCTGTGTCCAATGGGGTTTATCTATGGACGAACAGCCCTATTTAGCTTTCCGACACGTAATGTTACACACTGGGAATGTTGTGCAGGACTGTGCTGTAGGTAGCATGGTAGCATAGGCTAACTATTTAGCCAGCGTGAGAGGTTAGCTAGCCGTTAGCTTACGTTAGCAACCAACAGTTCACATGAAGATGGCCGGTGTTTGCGTTGCATAAGCTGCAGTTTGCTCAATGTGCAGTTATTGTTCATGCAGATAGTTTGTGGGTGGTTGTAGTTGGGAGTTTTTGCTTAAATCGTTTGCAGCTATGCTCGTACTCGATTGGATCCCAAACTTCAATAACGATTGTCCGCTAGCGTCGCGAGCAAGTGCAGCATTGATGGGACGTTGGCGTTACAATGTTTTTGCATCGGTCTCAATAGGCCGAGCACGTTAATGTGTTTAACTTGAGCACGCTCGAGCTTGGTTGTGGTTTGCCAGGTGACCGAGGAGCTAAACGTCAACAAGCGCCTGCCTTCGCTTACGGCAGCTCTGCTGTCCCGTTGATGGGCTCTAATACTTGTTAACGGAGCCCTAATCCATTCTAATGGAGCTCCCATGAATGTTGTTGGCATGCAGAGCGTCTGTGGTGGACCTCGCTCCTCTAAACCACCGGTCCGCTGCGGCAGCGACACGTCGCTAAGCTCCTCATTCAAACCGAGCCGCCTTCAGCAGCAACAGGAAGCTCCAGAGGCGCGGGTCTGTCCGCCATGGCTGCTCGCGCGCGCAAACACACACACACACACACACACACCGGGGTTGGAGTCCCGAGCATTAAAAAAAGACTTCAAGAATATCATACAATTATTTCTGAAAAGGCGTTTATTTCTAAGAAGGAGTGCCGTTCCTAAAAAATAAAGTTGAGGTTATATGAGGTGGTCCTGGCCTGCAGATGGATGGCTGGCTGAATGAGGAGTCCGTGGGGTCACTCTGGGAAGTGTAAAATTGTTTTTACATTTTATGGAGTTAAATGTATTACCGCTGTATGGCGTGCCAGGTTTTGCCTGCTGTAAACGTGTGACATTAAAGAAAACATTAAATTCCATCCCTTATACGTGCTGTAATAAAAAATATGAAACCTGAGGCTCTCGAGTGTTCCTAAAAATTAGGGCTGGGTAACAGTACCTGGACCTATACTGTAGTATACATAAACTATTTCAATCGGCTCGGGCGCGGTGATGGTTGGACTGGACGGATCAACATTTACCGTGGACAGTTTCCTCTGTTCCATTGAGTTGTCAGTTTGTTTCCGTGAACCTTTTTAACCTGCTAAAACTAACATCTTAAGAGGTTCATTTAAGGCTTTACAGTCTTTTTGGATCTACTTGACTCCAACGTGGCTGCTCACTCACTTCTACTTATACCCCACAATTCCATGTGTCTGCGCTGATCGAATCCATCATGTAATGGGAATGTGTAGATATCATTTATATACTTTTCAATGGCATTGCATGATGACGTGTACCTTTGCTTAATCCCAAAACAAAACCTGTTTTTTCCTTGCAGAAAAAGAGCAACAGGAAGCAATTGAACACATCGACGAAGTACAGAATGAAATTGACAGGTGCGCATGACTCTTGTTTATATTTATTGAAAGATGTGCACCGTGACAACGTTTGGTTATTGACATTTCTTTCTCTACCCTCCAGACTGAACGAACAGGCCAGTGAAGAAATTTTAAAAGTAGAGCAGAAGTACAACAAATTACGCCAGCCCTTCTTTCAGAAACGATCAGATCTCATCGCCAAAATCCCCAACTTCTGGGTCACAACATTCGTCAACCATCCACAAGGTAAACCATGTTCTATTGTTCCATCTGTATCAAGGATACAAACAATCACATGTGCCACAAATCTTCAGAAAGTGCATGAACACACCTGCAGCTAACCGTGTGACCTGCAGCTAACAGTCTCTGTCCTTTAGTTTCAGCTCTTCTGGGGGAGGAGGACGAAGAAGCACTTCATTACTTGTCGAGGGTGGAGGTCACTGAGTTTGAGGACATCAAGTCTGGATATAGAATAGATTTTGTGAGTCGTCACCTTCCCTTTTGTATTTGTACATTCTCAATAGCAACAATGGCATGTACTGATACAGATGTGTTTTTCTTTTCTTAAGTATTTTGATGAGAATCCATATTTTGAGAACAAAGCCCTCTCCAAAGAGTTTAATGTAAACGAGAGCGGAGATCCCGTTTCCAAGTCCTCTGAAATCAAATGGAAGGCTGGAAAGGTTTGTCTTCTTTTCTCTTTCACATGTGTGTGATGTTCATTTTCATTTATTACACTTGGGCTTACTTGATCTTTTTTTAAATAATGCTTGCAAATATTGTTCACTCATTGTATTAGTCACTACTCTAACATTCATTCTTAATGACCACGTTTCCCTCGCCAGGACCTGACGAAGCGCACGGGCCAGACATCAAACAAAGCTGGCAAGAAGAGGCAGCACGAGGAGCCAGAGAGCTTCTTCACCTGGTTCACCGATCACTCCGATGCAGGAGCTGACGAGTTGGGAGAAGTGATCAAGGACGACATCTGGCCTAATCCACTGCAGTACTACTTGGTAGGCTTCGGCCATTTATCTTAGTTCCTCCTGGTCTTACAGAGCCTTCAAACAGAAAGAGGATGTTGCACGTGTACACACTGTAAAGCTCTCTGAGGCAGATTTGTGATTTTGGGCTGTACAATATAAAACAAATTGAATTGAATTGCACGGTGGGTTCTAATCCCTAGGGCGTATGCTTGGAAAGTTATGACAGTGGCTATTAGCTTATCTGTTTATTGGCATTGTTTATAGACATGTACATCTACATGTCTATCAGACATTGGGGTCGGCCCCCCAAAGTGCAGCAGATATGCTCTGAGTAGAAGCAACAATGCTGCTCCGGGGTGCTCCTCTAGTAACGGGTGCTGTAGGAGCTCAGGCTGATACTTCACAAAGTGTTCATGTCTGAATGATCCTAAGGTACCTGACATGGAGGATGAGGAAGGTGATGGTGACGATGACGACGACGAAGACGATGAAGAGGGTCTGGAAGATATTGACGAGGGAGAAGAAGAGGATGGGGAAGACGATGACGAGGATGGTGATGGAGAAGATGGCGAGGTACGAGTACTGTAGATCACGTGACTGTCCCTCCGTGTGTGTTTGATGGAGGAACCAGTTAACTGTTTTTCCTTCTTTCAGGAAGACGGAGACGAGGATTAAACCCTTCAGCCAACACGTGTTCCCCGTCCCGTGATAGTCATCCTGCATCCCAGCGGAGCAAAATACCTGTTTTGTGTGTGTGAGAGTGAGTGAGTGTGTGTGACTTGGGGTGGGAAGGTCGTGTGCCCCGTCCGTCCTCTGCAGACACGTCCTATCCATAGTCCATAACGTTGTATGTGTGTGTATAGACCAGCTCCATACACAGGTCTGCATCGGGGAGGGGGGGTCGTCTATCCTGAAGTCTCACCCGTCACTGTTATTCTTCCTCTCCCAAAGACATTCGTTAAAATCTGTAGCGTTCTGCACGTCATCCTGCGTAGATTTGAGATACGTACTTTAGCAATTTCTATGTAAAATATATCAGTTTCTGTTGTGCGTTCAATAACAATGAAGCCATGGTGCAGTGAGGACTCGGCCGCAGCGTCCATAGCCACCATATCTATAGATCTATATGTGTGTAGATGCATAGATAACATGGAGAGGATGTTGGGACGTGTTACAAGTTGCATTGTCCTTGTACTAATGGAACTGATTGAACCACCAGCTTGTTGCTTTCAATTCTTCTACATGATTTGAGTCAGACCGATAATCAGTGTGCACAGAGTAATGGGGCGGGGCTTCGACACCAAATCTGGACTTCTGTTAAATTAATTCCTATCACCTTTTTTCCAGACACCCACAACAAGGTTTGAATTGTACTTTTTTTTTTATAGAAACAACCTAAAAGATCTAATTTTGAACTCAACATTTTGAGATGGGGGAGAAAAGATTTGTGTAGTCTGCAGTGTTTCTCCTGTTCCACTGGAAACCTGTTGGCATTAAATTAAGTGTACTAGTTGCTTTGTTACAAGAAATAAATGTATACATGATGTCTGGAGTAGTTTGATTACATTTGGCCATTAGTCACCTGCACCAAGGTTTATTTTTCACGTAGGCCCAGAAATTACACAGCACATTACACTTTTGGAAATGTTGCAAAAGTGAATGTATTTATAGAATAATAAAAGACACATGCACTTGTGGCTTTTTGCAGTAACTTCTTTGGCTCGGCCCGGTTAGAATGCAACACCAGACGTGCTGCCTGTGGGTTGAGTGGATGCTGTGGAGCTCTGATTGCCTCAAATGTCCTGGAGGTTCCTCACTAATGTGACCATCGCTAATCATTACTCTTTAGACGTGCCCTGTTATTAAACTAGGACCCAAGTTGCTTTATTATTACATGTCATTTATCTGCCGCTTTTATCCAAAGCGACTTACAATAAGTGCTTTCAACCATAGGGATACAAACTCAGAGCAAGACACAAAGTGCAGCCAATTTACAGTTTGCTATAGATTAGTGGCGTTATAAGTACAATTTAAGTGCTACAGTTAGTGTGTTAGTGGAGGTAGAGTCTGAAGAGGTGTGTCTTTAGTCTGAAGATGTGAAGGCTCTCTGTGGTCCTGATGTCTTCAGAGAGCTCGTTCCACCATTTAGGAGCAGGACAGCAAAGAGTGGAGATCTAGTCGAGTGTTTTGCTCTCAGTGAGGAGGAACAAGCAGTTTATCACATGCAGAGCGGAGAGTGCGGGTTGGGATGTCCTGGATGTAAGCTGGACCTGATCCATTCACAGCATGGTACGTGAGCACCAATGTTTAGCACTGGATGAGCCACCGGTACCAGTGAAGAGAGTGGAGTGGTGTGGAAGATGAATATTGCAAAGATAAATGAAAAAGAACATGCAAGCGCTACAACCTTTTAACAAAAGCACCAAATGAACTGGTGGTATGTTTTAGGGCAAAACATTCATATTCTACGGCAGAGGTCTTCAACAGAGGGTCCGCGGAGGTACTGCAGGGGAGGGTCGCGATTAAAAAAAAAAGTCAACCAATTTTTTCCCCCACAAGTTTAAATGTCTTCAGAATCAGAATTGTTTTTATTGCCTTTAAATACACATTGACATGAATCCAACATATTGTAGCAAACGGATAAATTGATGGAGAAGACGTCATCTTTCAGTCCCACAGCAGCTCTCAAGCTGGACACCGGTTCACTCACAGCACCTTTCATGCTGTTACGTCATCACAGTCACCAGCCAATCAGATCCATTCATGCTCACGTCTAAAGAGCGCAAAGCTCAAAAATAAAAGATGGCGGGCCAAACTCCGTAGAATCGGGGGTCCCTGCTCCATCTCGCCATCAGTTTGGGGTCCTTGGCCTGGAACACGTGCCCCTGTTCTACGGTTAGGTATTTGGTAATTACACAGTTGAGTTAGCACCTACACGAGCCCTTCTCTCGAGGGTCTACTCAAAGCATTAACACCAGCTGGATTATGTAACTGAACTATAGAATGTTCCACATTGTAAAGAACTGAATTACTAGACTCACATTGGGTTTCATGCATTAGAAGTGTTCATTGGAGTAAACCGCTCCCGCGCACGCACACGTGTATGTTGAAAGGCTGTGCAGGTGATACCAGGTGCTGTAAGTACTTTAAAATTAACGTGTACGGTGCATCCGGAAAGTTCGGTGTCTATTTCAACATTTTATGTTGCAGCCTTAATTTCAAAATGGATTCGTTAGATTTTTTTCCTCAATTCACACAATAACACCCCACAATAATACGGCGAAAGAGCTTGGTTACATGTATTTAAAAAGAACAAGAATATTCCATGTAGTATTCACGGGCTTTGCGCCTTTGTTGTGCTACGCGCGTCAACATCCGGGACCCAAATTGTGACCTTCACAATAAGATCCCACTGCGATGCCTCAAAATGCTTTAAAAGCTCTTCCATCATTGCCCGAGTGTTCTTGCTTTCTCTCACCAAAGTAACTTTCCTGTAGTAATTGTCCATGTAAATGTTTGTATATATTCTTTACATGTATGAATTAATATTACTTAACGTCAGGTTTCGGTGGCGATCGCCAAAAAAAGGACCGGAAACGGCGTCACGCCGCAAATGACCGGTTTAGGAACACCTTTCTTAAGCGATTTAGACACCTTTTAACAATTCAAGTGGACGTCATGAGCAATGTGAATGAACACAGCAGACACACGTACGGGGTCTATTTTCTCTAAGCTAGCTGAATGCGATACACACCATTTGGTGGCTATAACTATTTTGTACAGCAGCTTACTATTTACTTACTATTTATAATGTTGCTCCCAGCCGTATTACAAAAGCCCAACAACACACTTGAATAGCACGTTATCGGACGATAAAGTAGAGCCTCTCGTACCTTATTGCTTAAATGAAGGGGCCACCCGCCATTAATGACGGAAGTGGTTTTCCGTTAATCTCCGTAACCAAGGAGACGGCAGCTTTGAGGCAAACGGCCCGCGCGTGAGCTTCGGCCGCTAGCGGAGGCCGCTGAGAGGAAAGTCGCGCATTTACCACTCAGACCCCGTCAGAAGGCAGCGGACGTCGTTCGGGTTTACTGTTGGACTTTTACTCCGCCAGAGAAAATCTCCCATCAGCGGCATGTTTACCGACGAAGCCCAGGAGCCAGTGAGCATCCGCTCTGCGTGGAGGACGTCTCAGCAGTCAGCGCAGGACTCGGTACGTTTGACCTCCATGGCCGCTGTCGTAGTATGAATGTTATATGATATCTGTAGTTAGCGAATATTTCATGTTTTACAGAAACCGTGTGACCACAGACGTTCGCGTTAGCTGACACATGTCACGTTCAGGTGTTGCTCGGAAATGTAACAACCTGTTGCTTTGCCCATTTTACAGTTTTTCTCAGTCGCTTGTGGTACATTTCTCAGATTAACATGATCAAAAAAACTACCTGTTCAATCTTCACGTCATTGTGTCATTGTGCACATCAACTGTTTGGGGACAGTTTCCGTGGCTCCAACATCATCAGGTGATGGTTTGCGACCTGAAACAGGATGCTGATGGCGTTTCTTCCACCCTACTCCACATCCCTCAACCCCATGGAGGAATTCTTCTCCGCATGGAGATGGAAAGTGTGTGATCGCCAGCCACAAACACAGATGAACCTTCTGGCTGCCATGGATGCAGCATACGATGACATCACAGCAGACGCCTGCAGAGGCGGGATAAGACACTCTAAAAGATTCTTTCCACGCTGCATCGCAAGAGTTCATTGATTTTCGTCGACTTTGGCCCATCAGACAGGAACGTCAAGAGGTGTATAAGACTGCACTGTAACTCCTACAGCACTGCATGTACAGTTTTCCCTGAGGAGATTGTCCTACGTTGTTTTCTTTGTGATATGCAGTGATGTCTTTTCCTCTGTAGCACAATGACGTGGTCCGTCAACAAATTACGGTACAAACAGTAAAAGCGTAAATGTGAATCCAGTCTCTTGCAATCAATCTCCCACATACACACAGGTGTAACTTACAATTTACAATAATTGTCATCAAAACTTGGTTTACATCAGAACAGAACCTCCAGAGTACATTGTTCTACTGACAACATGACTCGGCAATCTGACTGTCTGGTCCGTACACGATGACACGAGGACTCGTCATTCTGATGGACTGACATGTTCATCCACGCAGACATTTACTTTTGAGAGATGAACAAAGGACTTTGAGCAGGAGACTGGCTTTGCAGGCAATCCGTGGTGTTTTGCTATATGTACTAATAGTTTTGAGAAATGTACCAAAGCAACTGAGAAAAGCTGTAATCTGAGAAGCGAATGCATTCATTTAACTTTTCGAACTCAAAATCACGATTGCAGCTGCAATATGCTTGATATGTATCCATAAATAGAACAGCCTTTATTTGTCGGTGATCAGATCGGCTGTCAGACCCGAGCTGTGCACAGTGCTGAGGCTGAGGTCCAGACTCTGTCGACCGCCGTCAGCTGGACCCAAACGCAGCCACACGACGAGGCCCAGGAGCTGCTCCTCCAGCCCGCCGCTGACCGGCTGGACCCGCCCGGCCTCAAGGCCTTCCTGCAGCGGGTCGAGGACACGGTCATCAGAGAGCTGGACCGAAATGGCAGGAGTCACGCCTTTGATGAATTCCAGGTGAACTGGGAAGATCAGAGTCAGCCGGTAAGTAAGCAACAGAACTTCGGACTCCGTAAGGCAGGTGGCAGACAATCTGAAAGTCTTGCTGCTGCTTGTGATTTGGTGCTCAAACATCTTGGAGCATTTTCTTTGGACACTGACAGTGGATGATCTTCATGACGGGTTCTTTTTATGACACTGTGTCCATGTTCAGACCCCAAATCTGTTCATCATGTCTGCAGGTTTCATGCCTCCATTGCCTTCAACATCCCAGCGCTCAAGAGAGAGGTCTTCATGTAACCAGTGTGTCCTGGAGCTGTACAGGCTCAGTTATTGCCTGTGCCTTTGGTCGGTATGTCAGTGCTTCACCTAATCCACCTCCCTCGCTTTACACACACACACTCACACACACACACACACACACACTCACACACACACACACACACACACACACTCTGTATTTAAATTCCTGTTTTTGGTGGGCAGGACTGACGATGGCGACTGGATCACTGAGCCCTCGTGTGTTTGTACGTGGAACCTGGACCGTCGCGGTCTGAATCCCAAACAAGCAGACCTGGTCATCGATGTTGCCACTGCGGTGACGGCTCTGTGCTGTCATCCCCAGCAGCCCGCCCTCATCGCAGGTACTCCAGTCCGCCTGCACATCCTCAACTCATGACACTGTTCCTGCAGCAGCAGCTCTCAGGTTCACTTCGCTCACTTCTAATAATTGTATCATTCCAAAGCAGTGGCACAAAGCAAGCTGGACTCCCTTATTAAGTTTCTAATGTTCTTTTTTTTTACTCTTCCAAAAACACAATGTCGTCAATTTCCTATAAAGCAACTCAAATTCATCTTGCAGAATGGGCCCCACCTGCCTGTTAAATAATCTATAATCTAATGCAAGTTCAGAGCCACGAACACGTTAAACAGCAGTGCTCACTGACCGTGTTCTTCATCAGCATCAGCTCAGGGACCCTTCAGAGGACTGAGAGCGTGCAGACAGCAGAATAATCCCCGCTAACGTGGACGTGTTTCGTTCTCTCCGCTGAGGTTATTGTTGTGGCTGCAGGTGGTCTTTACAGTGGAGAGGTGGTGGTCTGGGACACCAGTCGGACTCAGGACCCTGTGCTGGTCCAAACTGGGATGTCGGCAGACAGCCACAGGGAGCCCGTCTATCAGGTGAGTGGACGCACTCAGTGGGGCTCCTGTTGGAGGACGGGTTAGTCTACTCTGATCATTGACGCCACAGGCTCAGCATCCTCCACTTCCCCTTCAGAGGCGTCAGCAAAGTCCCGATAATAAAGCTGGAACAAAGAATGCGCTTCTGTCCTGAGAGGCGAACTGCGAACAGGAAACCCGATTGGTGGATTCAAAGTGCCGTGTGTGTGCGTGCAGGTTGCCTGGGTGCCTCTACAGAAGGCGGGAGAGTTTGGGGTGCTCAGCGCGTGTTCAGGAGGACGGGTGCTGCTGTGGACGGGGGACCTGAACGAGGGCCGGTTTGTCCTTAATGCTGCCTACGCCCTGGTGCCACAGCAGGTTCCCCACAGCAGCTACGTCAGCTTCAAGGTGAGCCTCAGGGGGAAAAACTGAAACCAAGCGCAGCGCTCCTACCGTCAGCACAAACAGTGAGCACTTCCATACCATGATCCCACTTATGTCTGTTCTCCACTTCCCTTAGTTATTTATTCGTTTATTTTCTGCAACATTGCATCACTGCCTCCTGCACAGGAGGGACATACACAGGCTCATATGAACGAGGACATGATGTGTACGTTCCAAGCTTCTCCCGTGTGCTGCTTTGTGTTGCTCGTAGGCCCGAGGCAGCAGCACCGTGGGCGTCACCTCGCTGGCTCTGTCCCCTTGGGACCCGGACACCTTCTTGGTGGGTTCCGAGGGCGGCCTGCTGCTGCGATGCTCCTTCTCCTCCCAGACGCCAGCGGCGGTGCCCTCTGAAGGCCACAACGTGACACTGAGAGCCCCGGCGGTCTTCGTGTTTAGGCCCCGCAGCGGCCCCGTCCACTCCATACACTGCTCCCCTTTCCACAGGTCACCGCTCCCGTCCTGGACCAGTCGCTTCACAGGTGATTGGCGAGGAGTTGACGTGTGATTCAACGGTGACTTTGTGTGCAGGAATCTGTTTGTGAGTGCGGGGACTGACGGCCGGGCCCACCTCCACTCCCTGCTGCAGGCCGACCCACTGCTCTCCCTCAGGGTGTCCGACTCCTCTGTGTTCCAGGTGCAGTGGTCCCCAAGCAGACCACTGGTGTTCGCAGCAGCCGCTGCACAAGGTACAGTGGAGAACGTGAGAAGTATGTGTGCGTGACATCGTTAAAAGATGCAGACTCCAGTTCTCCACGGTGAACTTGGAGCCATGTATCCCCCCCCCCCACCATATTCTACAGGTCACATGTCATTAACATGCACTGCTCAAACGAATTAAGGGAACGCTTTGAAAACACATCAGATGTGAAAAAATATGTTGGACATCTATACTGATGGACAGTTTAATGTCTTAATATGAAGTCTGTTTCTGATGGGCAGAGACATTCAGACCAGTGGCCTGCTGGAGGTCATTCTGTAGGACTCTGGCGGTGCTCAACCTGTTCCTCCGTGCACAAAGCAGCAGATTTCGGTGATGCTGATGGGTTGAGGACCTTCTATGGCCCCGTCCAGCTCTCCTAGAGTAACTGCCTGTCTCCTGAATCGCCTCCATGTCCTGGCGATTGTGCTGGGAGACACATTAAATCTCCTTGGATGTGCCACCCTGGAGGGGTTGGACACTCTGTGAATCTTAGGGTTAAGAAATGGCCTCATGCTCCCTGTAGTGATGACTAGCTAAATTCATCCATCCATTTTCAACCGCTTATCCGGGGTCGGGTCGCGGGGGCAACAGCTCCAGCAGGGGACCCCAAACTAAATTCAATTCATTTTATTTTGTATAAAATGCTTTTGCTTTCTGATAAAAGCAGTGTTCCTTTCATTTCTTTGAGCGGTGTATACACAGCTGAATGAAGCAACAGTACTTGAGGTATTTGTATCCACTCTGACTTCCTGCTGGTCTGCGTCCAAGGTGAGGTGCACATATTTGACCTGGGCCGCAGGTCCCTGAGGCCGGCAGCCACCATCGAGCAGGGAGGTGCGGACCAAGCGGCAACTTGTTTGGCCTTCAACAGCCAGAACTCTCACCTCTTGGCATTGGGGAGAACAAATGGGACGGTCTGCATTTGGCAGCTGAGCCACGATTTGACGGAGCAGAGTCCCCGAGAGATCAGCCAGCTGGAGCAGATCGCCAATCAGGTGGCAGCATGAGAAGCACGGACAGTTGAAAAATTGCCACATTTTTGTGATTGACGAGGATTTCTGTGAACTGTTTTCTGAAAAATAAAAATCTGAACAACTCAATTGTTGGAGTGAAATCATCACAGTAGAGGTTACCAGTTCTAACCAGTAGCGTTTATTAAAGCACACTGCAGTTGTTAGGTAACAACATCATTATTACTATTAGGTTCTTAAATGTATTGAAAGCACAAGCTAAAACAATCACATTCAAATGGAGACGGATCCACGATGCTGTGATGAGAAGCACAAATAATTAGGGGTAGTGAGATAAATAGAGAGAGTACAGACAGTTGTTATTAGTGAGTATTCTTGGTGCAACAATCATGCACTTTCAGCGGTGTGTGTGTGTGTGTGTGTGTGTGTGTGTGTGGGGGGGAAAACGCGTCCCGATTGGTCCCTGGAGGACGAAGGATCAGTTGACGAAGAGCGAGCGCGTGAATTCAACGAAGTCGAAGGCTGACGGCAGCTCCCGGCCCTTGCTGTCGAGGTAGGGCTTCATGTGCGAGAGGCAGTAGTCGGCCTGCTCCTTGCTCAGGTTCTGAAAGAGAAGAGGACAGTTAGTCCTCCACAAAGACACAAAGCCACGGTGGCGGCGTCCCGACGGCCCGGGCGAGCGCGCACACACCTGGTAGAGCTCTTCTTTAGTGACGTAGGGTTTGTTCTCTGTGCTGAGGGCTCGGAAGGCACTCTCGATCTCCTCGCTGGACTTGACGTTCTCTGTCTCGCGGCTGATCATGAACGCCATGTACTCCTGCAACGAGACGTTGCCATCCCTGCAGACAGACCCCCCCCCATAGTTAGGCAGCGTGTTAAATACCGTACCGCCAAGTTAGTTTCCTTCAACGTTCCAGTGACGGACCTGTTTGGATCCACGGTGTCGAGTATGGCCTCAAACTCCGGATCAGGTTCTCCTTCCTCCACCATGGGCAGGTCGTATCCTAGTGAGCGCAGACACGACTTGAACTCTTGGTGGTTCAGACGGCCGGACTTCTCCTTGTCGAAGTGCCTGCAAGTGTAGATGTGTAGGTGAGGACACGTCGTCACCAGACAACACATAGCGACGTGTGAGCAGGAAGCCACGTACTTGAACATCATGCTGAACTCCTTCAGGGCCTCCTCGGTCACTCCAGTGGTGTTCCTGCAAGATGAAGAGGGAGGAACGTGGGCTGAGGGCAGCAACGCTTTTCCCACATTGGGGAACATTGTCTGGATTGCAGGTGAAGTCGGTGGCAGGACGTGTTGCTGTGTACCTGGCCTGTATCTGCTGCTCCAGGTTGTGCTGCATCCTCATTCCCAGCTGGTCCAGCTGGTCCCACTGCTGGGCCAGGCCCACTGTGCTGTGCTCGGTGTACTTGTTGTCCAAGATCAGGGCTTCCTCCATAGCTGCACCCAGGTCTTCAATCTTCTTCAGCTGACTGCGCATGGCCCGGATCTCCTGGTGCTTACGCTACACACACACACACACACACACACACACACGTTACCTCAGCTAACGACAGTCTTGCTCTTCTAGTTCTTGTCCAATGGAAGGACTTGTGTCAACGTGCCACAGGGATTGATATGTACCTTAGTGGCCTCCAGCTGGGACTCCAGGGTACCCGACTCCTCCACCATACACGAGCTGTTAGAGGGAGCAGAGCAGTCTGATAAGACACTTACTAAAAAGCACTTCTCTACTCCAACCGGTATCCCAGAGAAGCTTGAATCGTACTCCAAAGTGGACCTCTGACGGTGAAGTGACCCAAACCATGCAGGGTTCTGTTCTGTCGTGGTCACTGCGCACGTGACCTAATGACAATGACCCAATTGGACCAAACACCTTTGGAAGAGTCTTTCGGATTGTTTAGCATGCGTGTGGATAAGTTGCTGATTCCATCCCTAAAGGTAAACGAGGTGATGACCAGCCAGTCCACTGAGGCCCGGCTGGATGGGACATGAGCTCATGGCGCCCTCATGGCAAACGGAGCAGGACGTGAAAAGAGATTAGCGGCTAGGAGCATTTATGTCCTCAGCAAGCGCTTCAACACAACTAATAAAGAGGAAAGGTGATACTGACCCATCCAGAAGATATGTCCTGGTTACAGCCGTCGGTGATGACGCGGGGGGGGGGGGGGGGGGGGGGGGGACCCCAAAACCGGGTTAACTTGGGGGACTTCCCCCCCCTCCCTGGAAAAACATTTGTAATCCTTTTTGAAAAAGCCGCGGGGAAAAAAAGAGATTTCCACACGCCCGGAGGTGTTGTGTGTGTCCTCTGTAAAAAAGCTCCCCGGGGGGGGGGGGGGGTCACCTGGTCTCCTGCAGCCATTGGTGGAAAGCATTGGCGTGCTGCGCGAACTCTTGACGCAACTTGTCGTTTTCTTCCTGCCTCCTCTGCTCCTTCTGCAGCTCCAGCTCTCGCTCCTGCACCCACATGGACGGAGGGGCGACAGAGGGCAGGGGGGGTCAGCGAGGATCTACTAAAGACTTCAGCAGGGCGGCTTTGTGAATAACAATGCATGAATGCGGTTTGATGTGGACACCTTGATGATCTTCTGCAGGTTCCTCCAGGTCTCCTCCAGGGCCTCCATGGTGAACCACGTGTAAGGGTTGGACACCACCTGGTAACTCTTGATCTGCTGGTCCAGCTCGGCCAGCTGGTTGAAGTCGGCCTGAGCCGAGCTCAGCGAGGAGCGGAAGGCCTCGTGGGCTTCACGCAGCGCCCGGATCTCCTCCAGAGAGTTGCATCTAACGGGGTCCGTCAGATCCTCTTCTGCATTTTCAAACCAACTGTTGAAGGCAGAGGCCTTCTTGGCGAAGGTCAGGAACAAGTCCTCAACCTGTGAAGAAGACGGGACCCTTGAACCGATTCTAATTCGTTGCTGAGATGCTTCAAACAGATGACGCGCTCGTGGCCTCTGACCTTTCTGAAGTGCTCTTGAGCCTCCAGAAGCTTCTTCTTGCGAGCGCCCGAGTTGGACAGCAGCTGGTTCCAGCGCTTGATCAAGGAGGCGTGACGAGCTTCGATGGCTTTCGATTGGACGTGCTTGGCGGCCAGCAGCTGGTCCTTGAGCGCCGTGATGTTGGTGATGCCCTCCTGCTGGAAGGCCTGCAGACCGGCATCAAAGGTCTCCTGCAGACACACAGAAAGAGAGGCGGTCAGAGAGGAGCACCTGGCCGGGGTACAAGGACACTGCTGCAGGAGATGAGTACCTGCTTGGTGAGCAGCGTCTGGACAGAGGACAGGTCTCTGCCGTAGTCATCGGTCTTCAGGCTGTTCTCTTTCTCTCCTAGACACAAAACCCATCACAGGTTGGAAATGATCGATCGCTCAGACTAGAAAAGGTGCATCATGCCGCCTCCAACTGAGGAATTCTTGAGGAGCGAGAGCATAAAACTTACAATGACAGTTAACACAAACCTGTGTAATGATGCATTAACAGAAAAACTGATGAAATCTCTTCTGAAAGCTCCATCAGCTTTTCTAGAATAAAAGCTCACGCTACAGAAATGCTACAAAGAACAAACGACTGTTGAGTGAATGTATTGTAGCGGCAGGATTTCAGTCTGTGGACGATTGAAGCTTTCTGGACCATCCAGTATTCAGTCCCTTCTGTCTGGGGGGAGGAGGACAGACGTGGTTGTGTGTTCTCACCAATCCAGGACTCCACCACGTCGGCCTTCCAGTTGAACTGCAGGAAGGCGGAGTTTTCATCCAGCTTGGCCTTCCTCTGAGCGGCGGCCCTCTCCAGCTCCGACACTTTGCCTCGCAGAGCCGACATCTTGGCACTGATGTTGTCCACGTGATGGTTGTTCTACGGGACGCACACAGACAGACGGCATCAGCAACCCCGCACGCATCAACGCGGAGGATTAGTCCTCTCTCTGCTATTCAGTGAGCACCTTCTTGATCAGCTCCTCTCCGTTAGTGCAGACATCGCTGACTCGGTCCCTGTGCACAGTGAAGTCCGTCTCAAACGCTTCATGCTTTTTCAGCAGGCCCTGAGGACAAAAAGGAAGGTTCCCGTTTCACGTCGTCATCCCCCATTTGGAAGCTTTGCGATGGAGGCGTCTCATGAACGGTGTCAGATACGCACCTGCACGGCAGCCAGTGTGTCTCCGTAGTCCTCGCTCCCCACTAGATTCAACTTCTCATTAATCCAAGCCTCTTCCTCCTCCACGTTGGCCACAAACTGCTGGTACTCCAGTGACTCCTCCAGCCTCTGTCCCCTGGGAGCACACACACAGTCACACACCTATTCCTATCTGTGTGTGTGTGTGGCTGGATGGCTGTGTAGCGCAGCAGGCTTACCGGGCTCCAGACAAGTCTTTGAGTTCCTTCCAGTGGTCCACAAACTGAGCCAGCCTCTGCTGGATCTCCTCCTGGCCGATGGTGTTGTCATCAGACAGCTTCTTCCCAGTGTCCAGCACCGACTGGCAGCACACAAACACACACAACAAATCATTGAATGGCAAAGCTACAATACCTTTGAAAATACCCAATGGGATCATTCCATTCAGAAATGGGAATGCACAGTATTTATCACTACAAATAAGATCATCCTTAATTAGTCCACACAACACAACACCTTTCATGCGGCTTTGACGGCGGCATTACTGCACACTAAAGACGCAGGTTTTACATCCATTTCTCCACAAACAACATTTAACATCCGGGTCCAGTGACTCACACGTGTAGCGAGTCCACTCACACGAACATCAATGGAATGAAGCGATTCCCACCTGAATGGCCGGCTCGTGGGCTCCCAGCTCGGCCTCCAGCCTCTTGTGTTTCTTCCTCAGGTTCTGTACTCCCGTCAAATCACGTCCGTAGTCCTCCGAACTCACCAGCAACTTCTTCTCTCTGTGAAGGTCAAGCTTTATTGTTCTGTTGCCAAACAACAATCTCTGCCTCCCTACTCCTGCTAAGGCTGCATCCTTTGTTGTTGTACATTGTTATATAAAAAGGAAAGAAGTGGGCAGTAAATCGGTTTTGTTCCGCTGCGAGCTGTAATGATCAGAATGTAGTTGTTGGTTTGGAGCATTGACAGTCTGCCATCATAACGTTGCTGTTCATGCCGTCCGCA